CCCGGACCATGTGCATGGTCCTAACAACAATAATGACACGAAGGCCGCAAAGACAGAAGAGAAGACTGGACGTTGGTAAAAGAGCTTTTTACTGTATCAAAACAACAGTCAAAATAAAGGTTGACAGCTGTTGCGTACTCATATGTTTGAAATAACCTTGAGAAACACTTATGCCACTGATAAACTAAGACAGTGACAGACAACGGGCAATATGGAAACCGGCATAAAATGGACTCACACAAAAAACCTGGAGGATCTGAACTTCGCCGATGATATATGTCTGATTTCCCACAAGCTGGAAGACATGCAAGCGAAAAGCAACAAGTTGGCAGAAGAAGCATCAAAGATAGGACTTCAAGTGAACATAGATAAAACAGAGGTGATGAAGATTCTTGGCCAACACCAACACCAACAACAACAGACAACAATCAGCATTAATGGGAGGAACCTGAAAGTAACAACCTCCTTCCCCTACCTGGGAAGCATCGTTTCAACTACAGGTGGAAGTGACGGGGATATCAAAACCAGAATCGGAAAAGAAAGACAAGCTTTCATTACGCTCAAGTCTGTGTGGAGATCAACAGCAGCCCTCAGCATGAAAATGAGAATAAGATCCGGATTTTCAACTCCAATGTGAAGCCAGTCAGTGCTACTCACTCTACGGATCAGAGACTTGCACTGCGCGTCATAAAGAGCATCTCAAGCAAACTACAGACCTTCATTAACAACTGTCTTCGCTCAATACTACTCAAGATCAGATGGCCGGCCAGAAAAGATCAGCAATAGTGAGGGATTTCTGGGAGCGAACCAACCCATCAGGAACCGATTGCGCAACAAATGGGCAGGAAGAAATGGAGATGGATAGACTGGCCATACTCTGACGAATCCATCAAGTGAGTGACATCACTAGACAAGCCATTGCGTGTGGACAGACTTGGAGCGGGGTGAAAAGTTGGCAGAAAACAGAAGGCAATGGAGATGCGCAGCTCAAACCTTATGTTCCCCTAGAAATTAAAGGATATAATGATGATAATAATAATAATAATATAACCAATAGGATTTCAAAGGCGATAAGTAGCATGAGAGAAATACAAACAGACATGGATTCCATCACCATTCACAAGGGATTTGCAGTGACATCCGGTTGATATATTCCAGAGAGAACAGAATGAACATCCTAGATTACACTCTGTTAGTCACCATACACTAAATAATAAATTTAATTATCAACGTGAAAATTTGCACAAAAGTATGACACTTCAAGTTGTCAAATTTTACAGAAGCATAAATCAAAGTAGAGGAAAGAAATATAAAGAAACTACCAGTAGACTAGTTGGGAATGTACGAACGGGATAAAGAATGATTATATGAAGTGAGGAGTTTTAGAATTTGAATGATGACGTGGAGTAAAAACAGCTACGCTATCGAGAACAATTTCAACCCCCTATCACTAACATTCCCCCAACATTTGATTCTTTACATCCCAAGTATCCTAGTCAGACAGTCTACGCCTATCTTAAATCCATAGTCGAAGACTTCAGAGATTGGTTGGCTAATGCTGATCATCGAGGGAGGTATTGGATTGATTTTGTATGATAAGATGTTAAAGTACAAGGAATAAACTCGTCAAACAATGAAGCAATAATTTTAAGAATGTATATTCAAAAGAAATTAGTTGAATAAATCGAACAAGTGATGAATACCATCTATGAAGATATGGAGGCTAGCTACACAGATTTAATTCCCGGCCGACACACTTTTAAACCTCGCCTACGTGGTAGTAGTAGTAAGCCTGGAAAATAGAAGAAGGTTTAAAGTGAGGCGCTAGCAGCCCTAGTTCGTTGAAAACAACACCGACTCCACTGAAATTCCAAAAAGCCATATATTCCACTTGGAATGACGAAGGAAAGAAAAGAGAAATCTCTGAAATTATTGGTCTGTTCACCCAATAATACACAGCAGTGAACTAAATAAACACAAAGAGAAAGATAATAAGATGGTTGGAGGCAATCGGTCACAGAAAGCCTTGGACCTAAGTTTTGGGCTACTTGGCACCACAGAAAGGACTAGAAACATTACACTAGTTACTAACTAAAGTCCAATCAAAGTGTACGTTTTATTCTTGATGAGAAAGCTGACACAAATGAAATATAAATAAAATTTAATGATGCAAATCCATCACCCATCTTCACTTGTGAAGAAGAACATGATAGTGGACTATACTTCCTTGACATCCAACTGAGCAGAAGAGAGGATGGTTCACTCCAGAGAGATTTCCACAGAAAACCTACATCTGTAGGACAATATACATATTTCCTTAGTTTTGTACCAATCCGGTACAAAATCAGTTTGGTCAGATGCCTCACGAATAGGGCAAGACGGATCTGTACAGATGACTCCCTACAAAATGAGCTAAGACACATTCAAAATAGGCCGGTCCAAATCGGTCATCCTTGCAGGTCTTTAAGGAGACACACGAACTCCAGGTACAGTAAAGAGAAACTGACAACAGCTAAAAAGAAACGACTGCTCCTAAATTTGCATTCTAGTGGGGACGTGGCTAGTAGAGTCTTGCATCTAAGATTATCGAGAGCAATAAAACTGACTTATACTGCTGCTACCCTTTGTTTATCATTTTCCAGCTGCCGACCAATTATGACTGCTCAAGTGAAAGACAAGTTACCTAGCTGTGCCACTTCTATATGTGTCTACAAATTTAGCTACTCCTATGGAGAGAGCTGTACAGAACGAACAACTAGACATATTAAAAAACGTATTAATGAGCATCTTCCTTCATGGCTCGGAAAAGGTCAAATAAAATCTATGAGAAGTTCTATTCTGACTCATTTGATTAATGATAGCGGCTACCAAGTGGACAGAAGAACAAGTGCCTTCAAAGTTATCCATTGCATTCCATCCAGCCTTTCGAACGGAATTCGAACCCGCCTGCTAAACACATAGCCGAAGAGACTAGGGGAATTAATTCGAGTGAACAATCCTAGTCTTTTTATATAAAAGAAGTTTGTTCTGCCTTTGTCTCTCCCTTGCTTACCTAGGTAAATTCTAAACAAAACTCTCCCACCCTTTCTTATTTTCCATTTTCTTAGTATTTTTATGGTATTTATTTAAACTCTGTTTATCTGTCCACTTCTTCACTCCACTGTATTACGTAACTTTTAGGATTTGACCTAATTATCTATTTATTGACTTGTCTACATGTACTCATATTACTACCTTCGTTATTCTTATCGCCACCTGCATAAATCTTAATCTTATTATTATCATTACTAATGACGTTCAAAACATAATAAGGTGAGCAACATTGAGGTTAGGCGTAGAGTGCTAGGTAAACAGGGGAAATCAATCGACGAAGTCGTGAAGTTACAAAGACTGAGATGGTTAGGACATGTGTTACGCATGCCTAGTCACCGCCTCCCTCGACGAGCAATGTTAGCGGATATAGGGTCAGGCTGGAAAAAATCTAGCGGCGGTCAAACAAAAACTTGGCCTCACCAGTCGATGAAATCTACAACAGTTGGTCTAAGCCACGTAGGAAGGTGTAGACCTCCAGGCTGGGGTCCTCGGGACGGTAAAAATCTATGGTTGGAAACAATTGGTGACATGGCTCAAAATCGTTCTCAGTGGCTGGTGCAGATGCATTCACTCCTTGTGACTTATGATCTCCAATGAAACTGTTTTGTTCTTCGTTATTACTCCTCCTTTGTCTCACCCCTCTGCTCACAGTTTCTATTATGCTTTTCTTATACTTTCTTTTCTTGCTTCGCGTGCTACACGGAGTGTAGCGACTTGAACTTCCGCACATTTGTGCAATGTTCAATGTCGAAAACAGACAGACAGATTATTATTATTTGATCTACAAAATCACCATCATTAATTAAAGTATTTATATATAAATTTATGTAAATTAGAGTTAAGCCAGAAGAAGATCTAATTGAAAACAATAATATTGTTCGCTTATATATCTTGTTCTAATATTAATCATGGGAATATATTAAAGATCCAATTAAACTCTTAAAATTGAACTTGGTTTGGACATATATAATCCAAACAAAGTATCCAAAACAGCGCTATAGGAGACCAATCCCTAGACCGCAAAGCTCAGAGGCGACACCCCTTACTGCAGCACTCGCCAGGTGACGTGGGTTCAAGTCTCAGAAGGAACATGAATTCCTTTAAATTTGAAGATACGCCTTGCTGACTGACTGGTGAGTGTCAAGTAGCACTAAAACCTACGTCCACGGCTTCCTTCCGACTGCCTCCAACCATCTAATACCAACAATTCACTTTCCACCACTACAAACGTAACTGAAAGATATTCAAGTGTTGGTTTGTCAAGATTTAATTGGTTACAGGATTTCATCATGAGCTGACATCAGTTGGAGAACCACTGAAAAACCTGGGAGTACTGGAAAGCTATTTCATCCTAGTGCTTGAGACTCTTCAGCAGCACGCAACCACTGGGGTTCGAACCAAGAACCTTCTGGAAACTTGTACTATTTAGGTAGGTAGTTACCTGGGGTTTTAGTGAGAAGTCGTGACCAGTAGGTTGCAGCAGGTCAGGTGTGAGGACAAATACTCGCCCCTAAGACATTGGCTAGGGATAGCGTTATGTCGTGAATTGGCATAAGTTAGAATTCATTGGCTAGCCATTGGATCAGGTCCCAGTGACTAAATGGTATACAAGCTCGCTAGCCTTGTAACCAGAAGGTCGTGGGTTCGAACCCTGGCGGTGGGCGCGTGCTGATGAAGAGTCCCAAACAAGGCTGACGAAACAGCTATCCAGTACTCCCAGGTTTTCCAATGGTTCTCTAACTAATGTCAGCTCATGATGAAATCCTGTAACTGATAGAATTCAGACTAGACACATCACTCTAGTTACTTAGTAGTGTCCAATCAAAAACAAAGGGAAAGAATAGAGTTGTAAACACGTAAACAGAAGTAATATTATTGATTTTTTTTTGTTGAAAGATATCACTTACATAAGTAAATGTGGATCAGTTTTCAATTCTGGACGAATACTAACATGTTCACCAACAGCTGGAATTTTATCTAAATCATATTCGTCCTCTTCTTCTTGTTGTTCAACATCACCAATCACTACACCTCCATTGTAATCATCTCCTCGACCACTCGCACTGCCTAATTCACCAGTATAACCTCCATCAGTTGGTTGTTCATCAAAATCAAATATATTCTTTTGTTTTCTTTCAGTTTTAAACATTGGTACGATGAATTCTCTACCGGTGACTTGTTTCAATTTCACATGACTACTTATATGCATCACAAGCATTAAATCAATAAAACCAGAACGTAATGGTCCAGGCATATCTAGAAGAAAGAAGAAGTTTTGATAAGTGAATTATAAAAAGCAGATTTTGGTAGATTCATGAATGAAAGTTTACTCGAATTCTATGAATGCATATAAAAATAATCTTTGAGAATAAGATAAATTCAACTTTCAACCATTGAGAGTAGAGTAGAGATCATCACACTCCATCAGAGCAAATATTTCAAGTGTTGGTTTGTAGGGATTTGATTGGTTTCAGGATTTCATCATGAGCTGACATTAGTTAGAGAACCATTGGAAAACCTGGGAGTACTGGACAGCTGTTTCGTCAACCTAGTTTGGGACTCTTCAGCAGTACGCACCCACCGACCAGGGTTCGAACCCGGGACCTTCCGGTTACAAGGCGAGCTCGTATACCATTAAGCCACTGGACCCGATCCAATGGTCAGCGCATGAATTCTAACTTCTGCCAATTCACGACATAGCGCGACCGCTAGCCAATGTCTTTGGCGAGTATTTGTCCTCACACCCGACCAGTTGCACCCTACTGGTCACGACTTCCCACTGGAACCCAGTTAACTACCTACCTGAATAGGGCCAGTCGCCAGTGAGCATCTCATTGGTATTCAAGTGGCTTAATGGTATACGAGCTCACTGGCCCTGTAACCAGAAGGTCCTGGGTTCGAATCCCGGTGGGTGCGTACTGGTGAAGAGTCCCAAACTAGGACGAAAAAGCTGTCTGGCAGTGCTCCCAGATTTTCCAATGGTTCTCTAACTAATGTCAGCTCATGATGAAATCCTGAAAGCAAAGATTTCAGTTGTTTCAAGTCTTCTTAGACACGCACACACTCTGATAACGGATGAGCAAGAAAGAGAAGAAGAAATATCAGACATTAATGAAACTCTCAAGCAAAACAACTACCCGAAGATCTTTATCAACAAAATCAACACTGACACTAAGTATGGCCGAAAAACATGGACGTAAACAGTCGTCATTCCATACAGAGCAGAGACGATATCAGAAGAGTACTTAATCAGCTCGACATTAGAGTTTTCTTCAAAACATTAGACACACTACGAAACAACCTTCTCCACAGAAAAGACCAAATTCCTAAAGATCCTCTATCTAATTGTGTCTAAAAAATAAAATGCTTGGAATGTGATGCTATATACATCAGATAAACATCAGCAGAGAGAAATCAAAATCAGAGGAAATGAACACCGTAGAGCACCTGTTCTACCACCGAGAAATCCAGCTAGTGAACTAGAAAAAACTTGAAACATAACCAGCCATAGCCTGTTTACACGCTACGCTATGCGATCAGGCCACAAAATTGATTTTGACAATAATGAAATAATCCAGAAAAAGCACTTCAGAAATCACAAAGAACGTCTCATGTCATCAGAAGCACTTCATATTAAGTGGAATCTAAATTGTCTGAGCTGAATAGGAATGATCCACTGAAACAGAATCTGACCTGGTTACAACATCTCCCTCCCCCAAGAAATGACAAAATCAACACGAATGTGACAAACAAGTTCACTATGTAAACACACACTACTTTCATAATTTTACACACTGATCAAAACGAACAATCTACACTTGGTTTTGTTATCTTTACCAATTGGCCAACCTGACAACGAAAAATACTCCCAGACTGACGGATGATGATCAAGTTAGTAAACTTTGTTTTGATATCCTAACAGATGAACTATTACATTTATAAAGTTTTATTTGTAAAATCTCAGCGAAATTGAAATGATTAATTCCAACGTTTCGTTCAGCAAACTGGTCCGAACTTCTTCAGGAAAATTAATCGAAATTAACATAACAAACCTTTATATATATATATATATATATAGGGACACCTCTTGTTTTTTAAATTTTTGTCCAATCATGAGTCGTGCAACAGGTATCAACATGTATAATAACCTTTGTTATTTCGTTTAGTGATCTTCATTGGTATTTTGACTTTCAATATGTCCTTTTAACTTGACCTAAGTAGTCTATTTTCTCACCTCTTAACTCTTAGTTATATATATGATGAGATTTTGTAAAGTCCGGTTGAATATTGCTACTTTGATAAATTTATTAGCATTAAATAGCGAAACGTCAGTAAAAATAATGACTAATTAAAAGTCAATCTGAACGATGAATATTCTTTTCAATAATTTCTCCTCTTCAGGTTCTTACAATTATAAAATATAATATAACTGTTGTCGTTACAATAATGGCCAGTTATGCGGCGGATACATTTTTTAACGTAGAATAACAGATTAGTAGTTATGGGGTGTCAAAATAAATAGTCGTATTTGTGTGACAAACGTGCTCTGGGCTGAAATCGATTACAAAATATTTCGATGAAATGGGAGACAATATTGGTGATTAATCATAATAGATTAGTAGAGTTCGGGATAGGAAAAAACTGACAAGCCAGATCAAGGTTATAAAAGGTGTCAGATGAGTGAGTGGCGAGTAGAAAGTGGTATGTCTACGGGTTCGAGAACATTCACCAGTTTGGTTCAGCACGGGGGGGGGAATTAAGTGCATAAAAAGCTCGATTCTATCACACTTTGTCGATAATGGACATAGCATAGACGCCAATACAGTTTTCAGGATTATGTACCTAATTTAGAGGTTGTTATCACACACAGTTCGCTTACGTCTGCTACAGACAGCTGAAGTTGTTTCAATACTATCAACTAAACTGGAACTTTGTATTTAAAAAAGAACATGTCCAGACGATGTTCCTACCGTGGCCAAACTTCGCTTGATGGTTATGCTTCTTACCAAGAGTGCTTCTTCCCTTTAACCCTCTTGGTTTTCTTTCTTTCTTTGCTTATTATTACAGTTATCGTTATTACTATTCATCATAATTTATGCCCTTCAAGCAAATATTCCCTCAATACTATCGAATTTTCATTTATACAGACTTATTATTAGCGATACTATCTCTTTTCTCAATATATGCCGCCTCCACCTGTTTCTTCAATTCACACATTGGTTATTTCATGATGAACCTCTCATTGCAGTCTTACTATCTCCTGTTTACCACAGAACACTTTCTACTAGCCACTTTGTACCTGACACCTTTTATAACCTTGAACTGACTTGTAAATTTTTCCTACCCCACACTCTACAAATCTATGATGATTAATTAGCACCATTGTCTCCCATTTTCCCAAATTTTGGTAATCGATTTCAGCCTAGCAAATTTTTTTAGATTCATCAATGAAAGTTTACGCTAATTCAATCAATGGATATAAAATAATCTTAGAAATAAGATAAATTCAATTTTGAACCATTGAAAGTAAACTGGGAGCATTCACCAGTCGGGATTCTAACCCAAGAACCATCAAGTTACAAGGCCATTTCGTAGATCATCCAGCCACCGGGAGCCAACTCAATGGCTCATGAATTCTAACCCCATACCAAAAAGTGAGGGTAACTATTCGCTGATGACACCGATTGGTGGTCACGACAATATCACGAATAATTTAAAAAATTGAATAATAAAATATTTAAAAAAATAGGGTGAACTGTTAATTTTGCTTACCCGAAGCTGTTATCACATGCAGTAATTGATGTTGATCAACATGATTAGTTAAATATTGTGCCACATTATGATTAGCATGACAACATAAGGCACGATAAAGTTCCAGAGTGTATGAGTGAAACCTGTTAAAAAAAGAGTGAAATATAGCGTCAAAGATGTGTTTGAACTCGTAGACAAAATAAACGATAATAATATCAAGGACAAAACATCGTTATTCACAAATGTACCTCTCATAGGAACGGTTAACTACGTATGTGAAGAAGCGAATATCCAGTCATTGGTATCCATACTGAAATCTTAAAAGAATTGTTATTCAGATACACCATGAATGTAAACTTCAAATTTGACGGCACGCTTTATAGGTAAGTGGACGCGGTGGCGATGGGCTCCCCATTGGGTCCCATTCTGGTTGATTTCTTTCTAAGCAAACTAGAAAATGTACCTTTGAACAACCTTATCAGTAAGCTCTCATTTTATTGCCGATATATGCATGAAAACTTCATCCTTTGTGATAATGGTTCTCACAAGAGTACAAGAATTACTGAATTCAATAATGAAGTACATTCGGCTATGAAATTCACATGCGAAGAGGAATCCCAAGACAGAATTGTCACCCTGGATATCCTCCTTACAAGAAAACTAGATGGTAGCATAAAAAGAAATTTGCATAGAAGGAGTACTTGGACAGGACAATATACACATTTTAACAGCTTCGTTCCTATCAAGTACAAAAGAAATTTAGTATGGACCCTCAGTCACAGAGTTAGAGCTATATGCTCAGAAGAAGTAAGTGAAGATGAATTAAGCATTGTATATGATACTTTGATCGAAAGTGGCTATCCCGACAAATTTACCAAGAAACACATGACAAAGAAGGCAGAAAAGGACTACTCACTTTCCGTAAACAAGAAGCCTCTTTACATACGACTGCAATTCAAGGGTGATATACCAAATGAGATAATTACGAAGAAATTAAGAAAATCAGTTCAAATAACTGTTAATCTTGGTGAACTACACGTCTTATTCTCTGCATAACCGATGGTGATTCCTCAACTGGAAGTTGAAGTACCTAGACTAGGCACTTCAAATTGTATCTACCAATTCAACGACGCCTTTGGTGGAGCGAGTTATATTGGCTGTCGCTCCACGAACTTGATGTTTCGTGCCCGAGAACGTCTACCTGAGTGAATAAATAAGGGTGTAGTGAAAACCAATAATAGTTCGATATTGGACCATCAGGTGCACACTGACAACAAAGCCAGTCAGCGTGGAAGAATCCTTCCCTATCATCATCATCTACCGGGTGCCTAATAAATTGCCAAAATCATCGAAATACCGCATGTTCCAAACAGCAGACGCTATTGCAATCCATCTCAAACAACCAGTGCTCTGGGTTCAAAAGAAGCAAGTCCAGCCCCTATTACTGCCCTGACCTTCAGTAGAGACTATAAACTCATGAATTTGTAATATTATCTTTCCTAATTTTTCTGACATTCAGTTTATTTTATGTTGATGCTATTGAACTGTAATCCAGTGATACTATTATTGATTCGATGTTATTTAAACAGCAACATTAATGTTGCTCATAACACTAATTCATTCATTCACTATAATGTATATAAAACTGTAGAGCCTGATGATGATGATGAGGTTATCGAAAGAGTACTCTTTGTTCAGTATCTATTCTTTTGAAATTGGTTTATTGATTTGTGAAGTATAAACGTATCATAATGATTTTTAGTTGAGACTGACTTGCTCTTATTCATATGTCTGGCTGATGGCTGTACATACGCAAGAGACCTATGCTGCACAAGGCCTCTTTGCGGATTATATCCAACTATATAAAACTATTAAACACATTACCCAGAATGTATTTTTCTAAGGTGGTGATTTATGGAAACTAAATGCGATTTCAAAGATTTTCAGTAAAAATTGGTTACCAATTTGCAATCTTCACACAGTTTAAGTGGTGGAATTTCACCATAGTGTAGTTGCCTTTAGAAACTAGGTTATTCCGATGACTACAATATGTAGTCTGCATGACACCAATAAGTAGTAATCAAGAAACCAAGGATATTGATTGGAGGATTTCATTTGAGCTGACATCAGTTACAGAACCACTGGAAAAACAACACGGAGTACTCCCAGACAGCTGTTTCGTCCTGGTTTGAGATCCTTCATCAGTATGCATTCACCGCAAAAGCTTCTAACCCAGGACCTTCTGGTTACAAGGCCAGCGAGCTCGTATACCATTAAGTCACTGGGACCTGATCTAGTGGCGAGTGTATGAATTCTAACTTCTGCAAATTCATAACGTAACGCAGCCACATCACAACGTCTCCTTTGATGAGTTACTGCCTCACCTTCAACCTGCTGCACCCCAATGGTCACGACTTGGTTGAGAAAATCCTCCAATCCATCAAATAATATCCCTTTAAAAAAATCAATACTTGAAAAAAAAACCAAGCATATATTTGTTTGTTTCAGATTTTGAGAAAACTAGAATAAACCCGGTTTACAAACATAATACTACCAGCAACGACAATACTAGTAGAGTAACCAGTTAGGAAATTGTCAGGTATGCCTTAACTCAGATTTGATGTTTCCTGGCATTCATAAGCATAATTCAGTTGTACCAATACCAAGAACTGCACGAATGACATTGGTTACTCATTACTGCCCAATCAACGTAGCAAAATATCTTGGTAGTGATAAGAGAATGATAATATCGGAAGAATGGTGAAGATCATTTAGTTTAGACCTTTGAAGTAGTAAAAAGTATGCTGATTGAAAAGGCTAGAAGAAATGAAAGTATCCAGTCCTGAGTTTCCCAATATTGAAAGAACTCAGAAAGCCACCGAGAGAAAAATCTATGAAAAAGCGTTGGAAAGACTTTCATTCAAGGGTGCAAGATTATTATGCAATGCTATTTATTAATACTATTTATTCCCTCGGGTTCTGAGTAGAACATAGGGCTTCAACAACACATCTCCAACTTTCATCCGTTCCGCCTGTAGTTGAAATGATCCTTCCTAGATAAGTGAAGGAGGTAAACTGTGTTCAATCTTCCCTGCTGATGGTGATTGGTGCTGGTTGTTGTTGTTGCGGTTCTTTGATTATCTTCATCAACTCTGTCTTCTCTATGTGTTGTTTACCTGTCCCTTCCGCCATTTTGTTGGTGGTTTTCGCCTGCCTGCCTGCCTGCTTGCAAGTCTTTGAGTTTGTGTGACCTTAAACATAAATCATCCAAGTGTTGGTTTGTAGCGATTTGATTGATTTTAGGATTTCATCATGAGCTGACATTAGTTAGAGAACCATTGGAAAACCTGGGAGTACTGGACAGCTGTTTCGTCAACCTAGTTTGGGACTCTTCAGCAGTACGCACACACCGACCAGGGTTCGAACCCAGGACCTTCCGGTTACAAGGCGAGCTCGTATACCATTAAGCCACTGGGACCCGATCCAATGGTCAGCGCATGAATTCTAACTTCTACCAATTCACGACATAGCGCGACCGCTAGCCAATGTCTTCGGCGAGTATTTGTCCTCACACCCGACCAGCTGCACCCTACTGGTCACGACTTCCCACTGGAACCCAGGTAACTACCTACCTGAATAGGGCCAGTCGCCAGTGAGCATCTCATTGGTATTCAAGTGTTGGTTTGTAGGGATTTGATTGATTTCAGGATTTCATCCACGCATGAAATCCAGGAGTCTTCTTATCGGTCGTCCAGTGTATTCCTGTCTACTCGCTCCCAATGCATAGTCTTACGCATAATCCAGTTCACCACAATTAAGAATATCATCGGTGATAATAGGCAGGCAGTCTTGTCTTACTCCTGTATGTCCTACGAAAGCCTCACTGAGTTTTCCGTTGTGGATCACTTGACACGTGGCACTGTCATATAGCCAGCTGTTGAGTGAGGTTGATAAAAGCCTGGGCGCCTGCACACCGTAGTGTCGAAGAAGTTTCCGTATTACTTCTCAGTCAACACTGTTTATTGAAGGCCTTTTGGAAGTCTATGAAGTTGAGTTTGAGTGAGGTTTGAATACCATTCTATGCTTTGTTCTAAGATGACGATGCGTAGAGTTGCAATTTGATCAGCATATGATTTGTCTGCCTTTTTCTGAATCCAGCCAGCTTGTGCCAATGGTTGGCGGAGGTCTTTATCCAGTTCATATTTTATTCTCTCCAGAATGATGGAACTTAGTATTTTACTTGGCGTGGGTGGAAAAGAGGATTATTCCACGCCACTTCTTGCACCAGTCTAAGTCACCCTACTTTGGCAGCTTGACTAGAGAGCCTTTTTTTTCAATCGGTAGGTACCTTTCCTTCTTTCCAAACCTTTTGCAGTAATGGCGTGAGCACACAGTGTTATTGGTAGACACATTCTTCCATAAAAGTGATGTCGTCGATTCTAACTTAACTTTCTGTGCCATAAACAAACATAGTAATGGATTTTTTTTATTTGACACTACTAACTAGTGTGATGTGTCTAGTCCTCTCATTGGTGCAGACTGAATTCTATCAGTCAGGTTGTAATGTGGCCACCATTCTGGGTAGCTCGCCATCACAGTGCACATTCATTTGATGGCATTAGATGGTTGGAAGCAATCGGCCACAGGAAGCCTTGCTTCACTTGGGCTTCGTGCTAGTTGGCAGTTAATAGTCAGCAAGGCGTATCTGCTACCTCGGAGGAACTCATTTCCCTTCTGAGATTCGAACCCACGTCACTCAGTGCCACCTGCAGTCAGAGACGTTACCACTGAGCTATTCGAGCTCGCGATTGTCCCTCTGTAGGACTGTAATGGATATTTTGGTTTGATACTAGTAACTAGTGTGTGCGTCGGTTGCATAGCGCTTAAGACGCTCGCCGACCATGTATATGGTCCGGGGTTCGATCCCCGGCCACCGACGCACTCCCTAACCTCGCTAAGCCAGAAATAATACTGGTAAGGAGGAGAGGTTGGGCATGGGGCTACCAGGGAATAATCTCGTTGACTTGGAATATGCAGACGATATAGTCCTTCTAGGCGAAGATGCTGACGAAATGCAGAGTCTTCTAAACACCTTGAGTCGCAATCTACGAATGTTTGGCATGCGATTCGCTCCCGCCGTGAAATGCAAGATGATGTTACAGGACTGGACTGCAGCGACTCCTAGATTAGAAATAGGGAGTGAAGTGGTAGAGCACGTTGACCGCTTCACTTATTTGGGAAGTACCATCAGCCCCAAAGGGTCGATCTCTGACGAAATCTCGGCACGGATACAGGGGGCTCGTTTCGCATTTGCCAGTTTATGCCGACTCTGGCGTAGACGAGATGTTCGACTATCGACCAAAGGGCGGGTGTACTGCTCATCAGTCCGCGCCGTCCTCCTTTATGGCTAGCTGTGAGACCTGGCCACTGGGAGTGGAAGACATGAAAAGGCTAGCTGTCTTTGATCATAGGTGCCTGCCCTCTATTTCCCGTGTAAAGTGGCATAATAAGGTGAGCAATATTGAGGTTAGGCGTAGAGTTCTAGGTAAACAGGGGAAATCAATCGACGAAGTCGTGAAGCTACAAAGACTGAGATGGTTAGGACATGTGTTACGTGTGCCAAGTCATCGCCTCCCTCGACGAGCAATGTTAGCGGATGTAGGGTCAGGCTGGAAAAAAGCTAGCGGCGGTCAAACAAAAACTTGGAACCAGTCAATGAAATCCACAACAGTTGGTCTAAGCCACGTAGGAAGGTGTAGACTTCCAGGCTGGGGTCCTCGGGACGGTAAAAGTCTATGGTTGGAAACAATTGGTGACATGGCTCAAAATCGTTCTCAGTGGCGCAGATGCATCCACTCCCTGTGACTTATGATCTCCAATGAAACTGTTTTGTTCTTCGTTACTACTATTCCTTTGTCTCACACCTCTGTTTACTGTCTCTATTATGCTTTTCTTGTACTTTCTTCTCTTGCTTCGCGTGCTACACGGAGTGTGGTGACTTGAACTTCCGCACATTTGTACAAAGTTCTATGTGGAAAACAGACAGACAAACATGGGGCTAGCAACCCCATCCTGTAAAGCAAACACTGATACAGAAACGTCAAGCCACTAGCTTGAAGGCGCCCTATGTTCCACTGGGGAACGTGAAGGAAAGAAAAAAAAACTAGTGTGATGTGTCTAGTCCTCTTATTGGTGCAGACTGAATTCTATCACTCAGGTCGTTACGTTAGTAGTGGACTACTACGTTATGCAGAGGCAGCAGCAATTAATTCATTAAAACCTAACTTTTATGCACAGGAAGATTCTGTAGTCTACCTCACATTGCTCTGATAATTTTCTTTGTATTTATTTCTCATTTCAAACTCTGATTAAAAGATACCTACTTGTACTAGATCAAGTTGTAGGTCTTCAGTACCATTCAACCAACGGTATCCACAACAGTTTTAAAAAGAGAGATACATTAAAACTGTGAATTGAAAAGAAAACAACGGTAAAATCAACCAACCAACCAACCAACCAACCCACTGCACAAACAAACAATCAAATGTAGACAGTAATATGCATATATGTAGAAAGAAACTAACTTTAATAATTCAGGCATTTCATCTAATTCAAGTGCTGTAAAGCATCGATCCGATTCTGGTAATCGTACAACAATTTCAGAGACTGGATATTCAATAACTGTACTCCAACCGCGTAGTTCACTTATTTTCATACTATGCATTTTAATAGCTTTAGGTGGTACACGTGCCCAATGAACACGCTAAAAAATGGAATAGAAATAAAACAGCATTTAAAATTCAAGAAATATTAAATTCTGACTATTATTCATTCATCCATTCATTAGTTATTATTATTATTGTTATCATCCCCTTGGGTGCCGAGTGGAACATAGGGATTCAACAAAACATCTTCACTTTGTTTTGTTTTCTGTCATCCTCTTCAGCTGGATTCATGATTGCCAATAATCTCTGATCTCCTCTTCCCACGATCTCCTCCAGGTCACTCTAGGGATCTCAGCTTCACCTTGAAGGTTCCTTGAACTAGATGATGGTCTGAGCCCATATCTGATCGTCTTATCGACTTTGTATGCAGCAGATCAGCTGCGTCCTTACTCCTCTGAGCAACACTGAGATGAAGTCTGTCTGGTTTGTGGTGTGTCCGTTGGGCGAAATCTATGTTGCTTTATGTATATCTTTGTTTTTGTACACGCTGCCTCCGATCAAGAAATCGTTGAAAGCGTAGAAGTCTGCGAATAAAATTCTCCGTTCTCATTCATTTCTCCGAGCGACAGCCTCTCAACAAACACGATGAGTTCTCTTCCTGTAATATCTGCTCCCAGTCCAGTTGGCATTTATATCTCCCTTGAGGATTTGATGTCCCCATTCAAGATGTTATTCCTTCCCTCCTTTTGAGTTGAATCTTCTTTGTCATGATTCTGGATGAAATTGGTTCCCACTGCATTAGAGCTTTGACTGCCACTGGTGACATCATGATAGCCACTCACCGCCTCTGTGTGTTTGTGGTTATCGGAGTATATTACTGACCCTTCAGTTGACAATTTTGACAGTCCACATCCATTTTATCTGCTCTCGCAGATTTCCAGCACTTGTATGCCATATCTTTGCATTTCTTTGGCTACCTAGGCAGCCTTCCCAGGCTAGGCAAGCTAGTTAACTTAGCGAAGCTCATTCATTAGTAGTTAGTGTATGTGATATGTATATCAGGGTAAATTTCATCATGAATAACCATCTTCTAGAGAACCAATGGAAACAATCATTCGTTTTAGTTTAAAAAACCATGCGGTAGTAATACACACTTATGACTTGTAGAGAGACGAAACCTAGTGTAACAACAGAAGACAATGGTCAGGCAACAGATCGTTTTATTATGAAAATCAACACGTATTTATACATATTTCACATACATTATTATAGCTTATGCAAGTAGACAAGCGCAGTCATCTGATTGGTTGTTTATCAGAAGTTAGGCAGACAAACGCAGGCTTCTGATTGGTTGTTTCGGGATTCCTCGACAAATAGAGTTCTCTATCTGCGAATCATATTTTTCCACGTTATGTCTGCTGTGATTGGTTGTTGAATCAGCCTTGCTCATATTTTCTCACGGCCTGCTCTCACCACACTAGAAGCATCATGTTACGGGATCACATTTTTAGCCACTGAGTTGGAATTCACAAATCCTATCGGGTCTTTGGATGTATAATACTATTAAATCCTAGACTACGGCGAAATAGCCGACGTTCATAGGTCTTATGCTATTCATACTTCTTCGCTAATTGATGTAGGTTCTTGACGAAATCGACCACGATCATCATCAGTCTACTGAATAATGTAACAGTAGTAGGTAGACCTTATTAGTTGTTAGATTTTACTCAAAGTTAATAGTACCCAGCATTCCACATGTCGGGGAGTTTATATCAACAACGTTTTGTAAAGTCCAATAAAGGAAATTCCTCCCGTCCATTTCATTCCCCAATACGGAATGGATACAACAAATTACGAGTAACTAAACTTATACATTTCTGATAAATTAACCGTTTTCATATCAAAAATTGAAATCAGCTTTAGATAAGATCAGATTTTTCATAAATTCATCTGCTTAACGACAAATTTAAAATTCACTAATTGGCAAATTAATCCGCAATCCACACATAACAAAGGGGGAAGGGAGGGCGAATTTCATCACAGTTTCCTAAGGAAAACGAAATTATCCACATCATAATATTAATAGGCAGGAAGAAATGGAGATGGATTGGCCATACGCTGAGGAAACCATCAAGTGAGTGACATCACTAGACAAGCCATTGCTCGAGTGGAACCCGAAGAGGAGGCGGTGAGTTGGTCGTCCAAGGGTGACTTGGAGGAGGTCATGCGAGGAGGAGATGAAAGCATGTGGACAGACCTGGAGCGGGGTGAAAAAGTTGTCAGAAAACAGAAGGCAATGGAGGTGCGCAGCTGAAGCCCTATGTTCCTCTAGGAACTAAAGGATACAATAATAATATTAATATTTATAATCTACTTGATACCATAAATAGTAATCAAGAAACTAAGTGTTAAATAGGTAAATACTACATACTATTGATTGATTGGTTAAGATGGTTGAGTATTACTCACATCAGCTGGCCAGCCCCAAACTTAATAGTCCTCTGTTGGATATCAACAAGTGGTCTAAGTCAAATGGTCTTATGTTAAATCCTTCCAAATGTCAGACAGTTAAATTTACTTTCAAGCATCAACGTGACTTACATGAACTAGTTAGTCCTCATGATCCCTGTAGCATAGATGGCACTGAAATTGAAACCAAGTCAAGCATCATTAAATACCTTGGATTAGTTCTTTCCTCTGACCTTTCATGGTCATCCCACATCTTATCTATCTCTAAGAGAATGTTTTGTCTTACCTCCTACATTAAAAAGTTAAGACAATCAACCAACCTTTAGTTCTGCAATTTCTAAACTCCTGTATTTTACCTATTGTACTCTATTGCTCTCCATTAATCTTTCCTGGACTTCTAAAAAAAGACTATCATGTCATATTATAAAGGGTATTAAATGCTGTGAGTAGGGCTTGTGGTCTGCCACTGCGTGAGCTTGCCAATACTATAGTCGAGAGACACATAAATTCCTGTACAAAGTGAGCAAAGGCCGTGCTATCAGACCCTCTGCACCCCCTTTATTCACAACTATCCCCTTGTATCTCATCAGATAGGACGAGAAGTCAATATAAGAAGTTAAATGCTCGCACCACAAAGTACAGAAATTCTACAATACCGTATTTAGCCCGTATTTTATGTGATGAAGACACTGTTAGACGTGAAACATACAAGAAGTTACTATGTAATTAACAAAGTGAATCGACCCTTTCATTGTTCATCTTTCTGTATTACATGGTGTCACACTTTCTATCGTTTAATTATAACTTTGCTATTTTATTTTAGTTGTTATTACTACAATTTTAAACTTTATGAATATTTCTCTCCTTATCGCATACTGTAATTGCGACATAGCTGCTATAATAACGTTTTGTTATTATTATTATTATGTAATGTTTATTTTTTTGTCTTTTTAAGTAAATTAGATGCAATATTGTACTGAATGCTGAAAATTCCCTGCTATATCCCTAGTACTGTTTTTGGAATAAAGCAAAATTATTATTAGTGCTTGCTAGACAGGCCGAGTGCTCATTTTACCGTTTGTGAGTGAACTTATCAGTGGTGAAACCGGTTTTGCACAGCTAAGAGAAGAGAATCATTTCGAATCGACCACACTGTAGCTAGCTACTTGGGTTGTAGTCAGTCGTTATTTGATTTAGAACAGTAAACCTATTGGTTGACTATCATTAGCTCATATGTAATTATTGGTTGGAGGATTTTATCATGAACTGACATCAGTTAGAGAACCATTTGTTTCATCCTAGTTTGGGGGTCTTCAGCAGTACGCATCCACTACATGAGGTTCAAACCCCAGGATCTTTTAGTTGCAAAGGCCAGCGAGCTCGTAGACCATTAAGCCATTGCTGATTTGGTGTTGTTTGTTTGTCTTTTTTCTTTTTCAAATAAAGCCAGTATAGCTAATTCATCTTTCTGCACTTACCTCTAATGCTTGAACTCTTAAACGATGCGGTAGAACAGTCAATGCATGTCTAGGCGGTCGTAGCATACTTGCTGTTATCGGTAGGGTATAACGATTACGTCGACTAAATTCAAAATGTATTGCTTCTTTAACAGTTGGTCGATAGAAAACAGCAGCAAACAGACGTGTAGATGGTTCAACCTTAAATAAATAAATAAATAAATAAAAAAGGAAATTGAAATAAAACATTAAAAATTTGTAGAAAGCAAATGGGTTCATAACTGATTCAGGCGGCAAAGTCGATAACATTAAAAACTTGACGAAAATTCTGAACGTTAGATAGTTGGAGGCAATCGGCCACAGGAAGCCTTGATTCACCTAGGTTTCATGATAGTTGGCACTCATCAGCAAGGCGTATCTGCAACCTTGAAGGAACGCATGTCCCTTCTGAGAGTCGAACCCACGTCACCCAGTGAGAACTGCATTCAGAGACGCTACCACTGAGGAGCTATTCGGGCTGGCGATTGACTTCCTGTAGGACTGTATCGCATATTTTTTATTAGACACTAGTCAGTGTGTCTAGTCCTATCTTCGGTTCAGACTGAAGACTATTGGTAGTCAAGTTTTCAATGTGTCCAACATTCTAGGTGGCTCACCGTCACGGTGCACTGTGAATTGTTGGTATTAGATTAGTGTCCAATAAAAATATCCACTACAGTTCTACAGGAGGTTCATCGCGAGTCCGAATAGCTCAACGGTAACGTCTCTAACTGAAGCTCTCACTGGGTGACGTGGGTTCGAATCACACAAGGGACATGAGTTCCTTCAAGGTTGCAGATACGCCTTGCTGATAAGTGAGTGCCAACTAGCACGAAACCTAGGTCAGATAGGGCTTCCCGCCGATTGCCTCCAACCATCTAATATCATCAAACCAATGTGCACCGTGATGGTGAGCCACCTAGAATGGTGGTCACATTGCAAACCTGACTAACGATAGAATTCACTCTGCGCCAAAGAAAGGACTAGATACGTCACACTAGTTACTAGTGTCCAATCAAAACACCCACTACAGTCCTACAGGGGGGGTGGATCGATAGCTTAAATAGCTCCTCAGTGATAACGTCTCTGACAACAGTCCTCACCGGGGGCCCAGGTGGGAATCTAAAAAGCGACATGAGTTCCTTCAAGGTAACCGGTGAGTCATGCTGCCCGGTGAGGGCCGACTAGCACGGGACCTAAGTCCACGGCTTACTTCCAATTGTCTCCAGCCATATAATATCAACTATATAAGGTATGTTGCTAAGTCATTCAAAAGACAGAAGATTATGAGTGGGCGAGCATTTGGATGGATTTGTTCTGATGCATTTAAGTAACCCAAACATCACTGTCTTTTATTGTCAGTGAAATCTACGTTTATCATACACAATAATATGTATTTAACTCATTTTGATCCTCTAGGCTTAAAGATAATGCTTTCATTGTGTTCAGCTTGACTGAGAAGGCTATATTTTAAACTCAAAATTTATAGGATAATACGATGGTGAATATAAACTGTGCAATTAGTCATAATAGTAGTAATGAGAATAATAATAATAACGATAAAAATAGTGGGTTTTTATTAGATTTACAGCTGATTCCACACCGTATTTTTAGTACAAGTATGGAATTTTCAGCATGGATATCGGTAGCCCAAATTTCGCAGGCCGACCATAGATATCAGGTGTGCGCCGGCGTGGGCTCGAACCCCGGACCATGTGCATGGTCGGCGAGAGTCCTAACCACTGTGCTACCGACGCAGTAATAAGGATGAAAAAGTGAGGCAATCTGTGATAACACGAAAAATGAAAAAACAGCATGATTAAACAAACAAATGTTCAGGTAGAAGTGGTAGTCGATCAAGGCTAGTAAAAACAAATGAACCGATTAAGTAATGCTAGACTGATTGTAAGGGAAGTAAATGAGACACGTTTTTAATGAAGATGTGATAACATTAAAGGATGATAAGAAAGGGGTTGAAAATATAAACAAGTGGTGGTGTAGAAGTCATTAGTTGGTTATGTCCTAATAGGCCAACAAGGGAGGGATAATGGCTGTGGGTACGAACTTCTTTTGAATGCATAGTTTAGGAGTCTAATGGTTTGAATGCCTATCGCCTCAGCTGTGTGCGTGCAGTAGACGAATACGAATTCTATCGGAAAGATTCGGTGGGATACGATGAATTACTTTGAAAGCTCTCGTTTTTTCCCCACTACATGACCACTATCAACTAAATGTGACAAAATTAAGCTATGGATTGCTTTTTGTCTGTTCTTTGTCAAACGTTCACAATGACAGATGTTCACTAACACGTTGGCTAAGCTATCTAGTGGTATGCCCAACATAACTGTCACCCCAGGTGCAGTTGAAATGATAAATGCACATAGATGTGGCAAAACTATCTAGCTTATCCTTCGTTTGTGTCCCAATCATTCGTCGGCTAGAGAATGACAAACATAGGTGTGCTGCATAAAACGTTCTCCGTATACTCCTGGGTTAAAAGTTGAATATTTGCAATCAACTAGACGATAGCTGCAGTGGACCTCGAAAGATCGTTCAAAATTATCAATAGGCAAAAGAGTTCAATTCTCCTCAAGTTTTGTTGAAGTCATCTTCATCAAGTGCCTGAAACCTGATTTATGCTTTCAGAAAGAAACAATTATCAGTTTTTCCTTGCTCTGCTTCCTGGTAACTGGGGTGTTTTCACCTCTGTTTCATCTGATTACGTAATGTTGAAATTTTCCATTGTATATGATTATTATTGTTCGGAATAGTACTTAATATATTGATTTATTGATTGATTTTTTTTGTTTAGAAATGAACTGTCTGTACAAGGATGTTAAAACTGTTTCTGTAGATAAACCCAGTAATATCTTTGAGCTGTAAGCAGCTGATGAGAAGCCAGCGAAATAAACAATAATGGTGCCATTTTATTCTGCAAAAACCGATGTTGTCCTTGCTTTATTCAAAAGAAATTATATTGATGATAAAAATTAATTTAAAAGAAAAAATAATTACCTGAAATCTTATCCCACTGTCACGACCATTTAAATCAAATCCTAGTGTACCAGTTGCTATATCAACCCAACATGTTAAGGATAAACCTTGACTCATTCGTTTGCCTAAATCTTCTGGAGTAGCCATTTGATTCAGCAGTTGTCCAAGATTGACCATAAATGATGCACGTTCAGCAACAGCGGACTACATTTATAAAAAAAACAATAAGAATATTTCAATGGAATGTCAAAGCATTAAACAACTGTGTTAATTATTCACTAATATTCAGTAATGGCTTAAATGATTGACTGACTGGCTGAATGGTTTCAACGTAGAACTTTGTACAGATGTGCTGCAGTTTCACTTGCCACACTCCATCCTTGGGGCACACAAACGAAAAGAAGAGAGCAGTGAGAGGTTTAAAATAAACAGAGAGAGATAATGAATAGGGATATGAGGCAAAAGAATAGTAACATGACGGAAGAACAATACAATTTTATTGGATATTACAAGTCCCTACAAAGAGTGAATACATCTGTACCAGCCATTGAAAACGAGGATTTTGATTCATATCGCCAATCGTCTCCAGCCATTGGTGTTTACCGTCCCGAGGACCTCAACCACACAGTATACACCTACCTACGTGGCTGGCTTCAACTAACTGTTGTGAATTTCACTTACTGATGCCGTGTTTTGGTTAGAACACCACCACTAGCTCTTTTCTAAACCTCGCCTAGTTTTCTAGCCGGTTCCAAGCCCAGGTAAAGAAGAAGAGTTGGAAGTGAGGCTAGCAACCCCACACCACTAAATCAGTCAGTCAATCAATCAAGCTGCTAGAGAAACTCCAGCGCACAATAAAATTATTAAAAATACATAAAATTCAAATAACAACAATCTTATTATTCACCGGAATAGGCGAAGCAAAATGACACAGCGGGCTAATGAAAGCCTTCGGGAAGCCAGTCAAACACACTACCAGACCCAGAAAGGCAGTTATCTTAAGAGGACAGTGGAGTAACATCAAAAGCTGCCTTCTCGTGGTTGCTGGTGACCAAAACAAGTTCATACATTTATATACATAAAAGTAAAATAAATAATGATAGTAGTGATAGTGATAATAATAATATTAATGACGACATGCATGTCAAACATGCACAGGATAATGACAACACCAACAATGAGAAATCTAAATCATCAGTAATAATTCCATACAAGGAAGGAACCTCGGGAACATGACGGTGGGGAATTCCTAACAAGGCAGGCAGGAATAAAAGTGGCTGGCATTCAAACCAACCACAAACTCAATTAGAAACAAGCTTTGTCGGTTAAAGGATCAATCCTGTTGAGCCAAATAAACAAAACAATTTAGTTTACCTAATACCCTGCCTGCAGTGATTGTCAGGTCAAATACATAGGTCAAACTAGTAGGACAGGTTCAGGCAGACAGACTAGCCGAACATAAAAACCTGGAAAAATTTAGATTGGCTGATCGAATAAGATAAGAAATCTAGAGAATAGTTCAGCTATACCACTCACTACATGCAATTACACACAACCATACGACAGGATGGATGGGATAAGATGACAGTTTTAAAATCTAATGTCACAAGGTAGGAGGAGAGGTTGATAACAGAAGCTTTGTTTATCGAATCAACTGCAAATACGTGTAACAGGAATGATTCAATACCTGTCCACCTAGATATCTGGAAAATTCCACTACGCCAACGACGATAATTATGAGAAAACAAAGAGAACTATAAAACTCAAGTTTCAAGGTCTCAGGATTACAATTGATATGATTAGGAACAGTAATAAATTTTGTTCGAAACTGTGTCATCCAGTAAATAATAATACTGTTTCACTGATTGTGTTATACATCCATCTAATAAACAAACTAATATGGAATTACTTACTACCATAGTACCCAAGTTTTACACATATATTAATAAATTCTTAGCAATATGGCATAATATACACTTTGAATTACCTTTAATGTTAAATCCGATTCTAGGAGGCATACAGCTGCTTGACGAACAGTGAATAAATCGACAACATGCGGTGATGCTATACCACCGCCGCTAGTATCACCAAGCATAGAGTGTTGATGACTAGATAGACCATGCGGTTGTCCTGGTGCTGCGTCATAATGTCCTTGTGAATGAGGTGATAATGAAGAGGCTGACGATGGATGTGGAAATCCACTCAGATAATCCGCTGGATTTGTTTTTGTCAATTTAAAATAACTTGTCACCCAACCAATATGTACTAGACCAGGATCTTGTCCAGGTAGAACTAACACTGTGAATGAGAATTCGTCGACTAGATTAGCTAATGGACTAGTATGCCCACCAGAAGTTGGCTAAAAATATAAAAAAATAATTGTGAAGAGAAGGAAAGGATGAGATTAAGATTTATAAATGAAGGATTAAAATATTTTTTTTTAACCGTTATTATTTATTATTATTATTGTTTCCTTTAGATCTACGTCTCCATTGCGTTCGGTTCTCCGCCGACGTCTTGACCCACCTCTGCCCACACGCTTTCATCTCTTATTCGCATCACCTCCTCCATGTTACTCTTACACTAACGACCAACTCACCGCTTCCCATAAAGGTTCCACCTCGAGCGATGGCCTAGCGTGAAATGACACCTTACGGTTTCATGTTGGCTCGCCCACAGAGATCCCTCCCTACTGATGACCTTTTCTGACCATCTGATCTTGAGTATTTAGCGAAAACAGCTACTGATGAAGGTCTGTAGTTTGTTCGAAGTGCCCTATGTGACGCGACGCGACGCTACGTCAGGTCTCTAATCTGCATAGAAGCACTTCACACTGAGTTTTAAAAATCCGGATCTTATTTTTTATGCTGAAAGAGAGAGAGAGAGTAATGAAAGCTTGCCTTGCTCTCCCGATGATCCTCGCTTTGATATCCTCGACAACAAAAACACTTACCTTTCTGACCAAGGTAGTTCATTCACATAACATCAGCAGTTTAGATAATTTCATCTCTAAAAAAACGGAAACTTCAAAGGTCTAGCTTGAAGCCCTAGGTTCCACTGTGAATGTAAAGAAATGAAATTTTTTAAAATAAATATAATAAAAATCCCTAAAAACAGCTACCAAGAAGCTTGTAAACTGATAATCCTTAGACTTATAGATGTAAATATAGCTAAGAAAATATTACGTGCTTTCGTAATGTGTACTACTGATGAGGTTTTGTATTTATTATTATTATTTCCTTCAATTCCTAGAGGAACATAGGGCTTCAAACGCGCGTCTCTATTGCGTTCGGTTCTCTGCCAACGTTTTCACCTGGCTCCAAGTCTGCCCACATGCTTTCATCTCCTCATCATATGACCTCCTCCATGTCACCCTCGCACTGACGACCATCTTGCCGCTTCCCGACCGGGTTTCACTCGAGCGATGGCTTGCCTAGTGATGTCACTCACTTGATGGTCTGTTTTCTCAGAACATGACTTATCCACCTCCATTTCTTTCTGCCTATTTGTTTCACAATCGGTTCCTGGTTGGTTCGCTCACAGAGATCTTTGTTGCTGGTCTTTTCTGGCCATCTGATCCTGAGTATTGAGCGAAGACAGCTGTTAATGAAGGTTTGTAGTTTGTTTGAGATGCTGTTTACGATGTGCCAATTCTCTGATCCGTATAGTGACAGCACTGACTTCACATTGGAGTTGAAAATCCGGATCTTATTTGTCACTCTGAGTGCTGTTGACCTCCACACAGACTTGAGAGTAATGAAAGCTTGTCTTGCTTTTCCGATCCTCACTGCTTTCATATCCTTGTCAGTTCCATCCGCCTGTGGTTGAGACGGTGCTTCCCAGGTAGGTGAAGGAGGTTGTTTCTTTCAGATTCCTCGCATTTATGCAGGCTGATTGTTGTCTGTTGTTGGTGTTGCTGTTTTTGTTGGCCCGGAAGATTGTCTCAATGCTTTTCCAATACAATCTTGACAAGCTTCAAACTTCCTTATTGCAGGTAAATGGAAGAGACAAGTTCCTTTAGATTTCTTCGAATGACGTTGCCTAGTTGGCATTCGATACATCAGTTAAATGTGAGCGGAGAGACAGAGAGAGCTTATGACTCAAAACTAAAATAAAGCATCCTTGTGCTTGATATTACACAAACAATCACATTCTTAGATATAAGCGTGTTTAGCTTATGGTGAGGTATTTACTGAAATTCAGCTTTCACGAATCACCGACTATTGTTGAGTATTTGACATTAAAAATCACTCATTTTATTCAAAAACCGTCGGTTCCATACTCAGAACAATAAAACTTTATCCTCACTCACCAAGAATAAATCAATTTCATCTGGGCTAGTTGCACCGGCTCTAGCATTCTTCATCATACCACTAGGAGCAACACCTGATGCTGGCATTCCTGCATGCTGCATCTGTAATTGACCACCAACCATTCCAGGAATGCTGTGATCAAGCTGGCCAGGATGTTGAGACATTTGACCATGAGGTAATTGTGAACCAGTGATACCAGGTGAAAAGCCTCCAGCTGTTGCAGATAGTAGACTACCAGATCCGCACTTCCTTGGCCACCTCCAGCAGCACCAACACTTGTTGGGCCTAAAGATCCAGTTGTGGCGTGTTGACCGCCTCGTTTACCACCGGTAAGACTACTGCCACCACCACTTAATAAAGAACCACCAGCTAAAAGAAAGGTAGAAATAAAGCAGAGAAGATTTAGGCAAAATTGAATCTTCAAGTGTTGGTTTCTAGGGATTTGACTGGTTGCAGGATTTCGTCATGGGCTGACACTAGTTAGAGAACCATGGAAAACCTGCAGTTCTGGAGTAATGGACAGATGTTTCGTCCCAGTTTGGGACTCTTCATCAGTATGCACTCACCACCAGGGTTCGAAACCAGGACCTTCTGGTTTTATTTTTTATTGTTATTTTATTTTCAGTTACAGCTTGATTCCACACTGTATTTTTGGTACAAGTATGGAATTTTCAGCATGGATATCGGTAGCCCAAATTTCGCAGGCCGACCATAGATATCAGATGTGCTTAGTCGGCAGGGGATCGAACCTCGGACCATATGAATGGTTGGTGAGAGTCCTAGCCACTGTGCCACCGACGCACAAAGCAAATTCTGAGTAGTGCCATATTTGATTAAATATATATATGCAATCTGTCTTCTTATAACTTACTTTTTATAAAATCACTTCAATATGAATGGAGTTCTCCAATAATAATAACCCCGGCTTCTTGCGACCAGTCATTTTACTTAAATATAATTCAGTAGCTTATATAATTATAAGTCATCCAATGGCCAGTCCATGAATTCTGACTTCTGCCAATTCACGACATAGTGCGACTCCTAGTGACTTGCCCTATTCACGACATTGGCTAGTGGTCACGGTATATCGTGAATTGGCAGAATTTAGAATTCATGGACTGGCCATTGGACCGGGTCTCAATGGCTTAATGGTGTACGATCTCACTAGCCTTGTAACCAGAAGGTCCTCGGTTCGACCCCTGGTGGTGGGTGTGTACTGCTGAAGAGTCCCAAACTAAGACGGGACTGCAGGTTTTCCAATGGTTCTCTAACTAATGTCAGCTCATGATGAAATCCTGTAACAAAAATTGAATCATTAGAGAATCTCTCCAATCAAAGCTCATATAAGCAGATCACAAAAACAGTAATATAAGATTAACTTAAATTACTGACAAACTGCAATGAAATTGTTTCAGGTTGGTCTAGTGAACAGATTTCGCACACACAGAGAGAGATTAAGGTATCAAGATGCAGAACTGTACAAAAAGATATTGATCCATACAGATTTGAGTAATGGCTCATCGGGATTTGATTGACTAGAGGATTTCATTATCAGCTGACATCGGTTAGAGAACTATTAGAAAACCACCAGAAAGTACTGAACAGCTGATTTGTCCTAGTACGGGACTCTTCAGCAATAGGTGGTTGTTTTTTTTTATTGCGGCGTTCTACCACCGAATCACCGGTGTATATTAGACTCCAATATTCTATTTAATGAATTTAATACACTTGAAAAGTAAAAATGTGAAATGAAATTTTAGAAAAAATTAAATTTTTTTTTATACGACTAACCTCCTCCACCTAAGGTAGATGTAACCTCTGGGCTTGGATCTCTAGATCTAGCCTTTTTAAACATATTACCGAGTCGAATTTTCTTTCCACGTCTATCACGAACTTCCAGTGATGAAGCTGACATATCCTATGCAACAAAAACCACAGAAAAAATAATAGTAAAACAAGATGAGAGAGGGATTAAAATATCTAATTTGTGTAATAATAATAATAATAAAATAATAATAATTTTTCCTTCACGTTCCCAGTGGAACATAGGGCTCCAAGCTAGTGGCTTGAAGTTTCTGTAGCAGTGTTTAATTTTTACAGGATGGGGTTGCTAGCCTCATGCCCAACCTTTCCTCTTTACCGGCATTATTTCTGGCTCAGTGAGGTAGAGGAGTGCGCCGGCCGGGGGTTGAACTCCGGACCATATGCATGGTCGGCGAGCGTCCTAACCGCTATACCACTGACGCACTTGTGTAATAATATGAATTAAAAATTTCCGTTAGAACCAGCTGAAAGATATATTGCTCAAAGTTACAAACTAAACTATAGAAAGTTGATCTGATACTCGCTAGTGACTTGCTACAGGATGGAGTTTCCTGGAGTGAGTTCTAGTGACAAGTCACGACCAGTGAGGTCCATCCAGATGTCACCTGTGAGGATGAATGTCCCACCTATGACAATGGTTGGGGTCGAGCTAAATCACGAATTGGTAGAAGTTAGAATTCATGGACTGGCCATTGGATCGGGTCCCGGTGAGTGGCTGAATCATATACGAGCTAGCTTGCCTTGTAACTGGAAGGTCCTGGGTTCGAACCCTGGCTGGTGTTCGGTGCGTACTGCCGATAATTCCCAAGCACTAGGATGAAACATCTGGCTGTCCAGTACTCCCTGTGGCTGGTTTTCAATGGTTCTCTAACTGATATCAATCCATGATCAACTCACAGAAACATAACTAACCCTTACAAACCAAACTATAGAAAACTAAGTTAAATTGCATAAGATGTAAACAGTAATCCAAACTTACATAACCATGACGTGTGCTACTGATAAGATTTATCAGTAGTAATAATGATAATAGAAACAATATTTATACAATATACACAATTTTCAGCGGTACTTATTGTCCATAGTCATCAAATAAACGAATAATCGACAGTAAATCGTGTGACACAGTTCTTCCTATCTGACCTGAAGCACAACACCAATCCATCATTATGATGTCTCTTCGAGAAATGCATCCCGATATTTTGTTGAATGTTGATTATATAAAAGGCTCAGGAGTACATTTTGTGAGCTAAGGATACTATTCAGGAATGGTCATCTCATACACTGTGGGATAAGCTTCCATCGAGTATAATGCTTTTTCACATGTTTAGTAAGAACTTGAGGAACTGCAGGTTGTTAATGTATCAAATACTAGCCAGAGTAAACAATACCGTTAGAGGTCATATTTTACTAAATTTTTATTTTATTTTTGATTACAGCTCGATTCCACACCGTATTTTTAGTACAAGTATGGAATTTTCAGCATGGATGTCGGTAGCCCAAATTTTGCAGGCCGACGATAGATATGAGATGTGCTTCGTCGGCAGGGGGATCGAACCTCAGACCATGTAAATGGTCGACGAGAGTCCTAACCTCTGTGCCACCGACGCACAAACTGAATAAGAGGCTTAGTAAGGTGCCTCTACTGTAGAATACAACAAATATGTACAGAAGACACACTTGATGATGGGAAAGAGGAAAGAAAGTTGACGCAAACTCTGGTTGATAAAAATTATCCAGACAAGTTCATCAGGAGATATAAAGTAGTCAGAACACCAAAATCCACTCTACAACTCGCCCCTAAGAAAGACACGTGTACAACAAGCTACCCTATATGGGGCATCATATCAGCTTGATAAATAGAAAAAGACTGAACGCTGCTGTTAAAACGACTTTTTATGCAGCTAATATCATAATAACTGAGGATGTAAAGCCAATATATCCATCCATTTAAGCCCTTCGAACATGCGAAAAATGATATCACATCCCACTGGATTTACCAATTTGAATGTACCTGTGGACACACACATACATACATACATAGGGAGGACTCATCGACCTCTGCAAGTAAGGACTGGCTTCACAGCATATATCTTGAATGGCTCTAGAAGCAAATAAAATCTCCAAAACCCATTAATGGTGAGAACATGAGACCTAGCTCCTCTATCGGGAAAAATATTATAGAGACAGGACATAAAACTGATGTTTACACCTCTTTTATTAAACCTATCTATAGAACGTGTTTGGCGGTGGCCATATCCCAAAGTTTTTGGAAGCCCTAGCTAGCAATTATGAATTTTAAACCTCCTCTATGCGATCAAAGCAACAATCCGTCATTACACTAAATCCTATTTGGTAAACATTTTCGATACCATAGCAGATATACTATGACCTCTTTTAGTATAGATTTGGTGGATGGTGGCTAGCAGTGGAATCCAGGACAACACGTATTTCGTTCTACTTGGGACTCGTCCGCTAGCTGGATGTACCTGCATTTCTCAGTGAGTGGTGATGTTCCCACTGAAGCCGAGCACTTCAGTCCAATCAATCGACGGGAAAATCAAAAATTCAATTCAATATGACCTCTTTTATTTGGTTTAGTTATCTTAATTGTTATTTTCATCTTCAAAATGTCTTTTGTTTAACCTGACCTAAATTTATTCTTTTCACCTCTTACCCTTTTATTATTTGCATATATGTATATTCCTATGACAATTCCATGTGTGTGTGTGTGTGTGGTCAGATTGTTCGAAATGTGTTGGGCGCAAATACACATAACACGAATCAGACAAATTACATCTTCTTAGTCAAAATTCATAAAGGGAATTCATTGTTTTAAAATGAATAAAAGAAATTATATGAACCATATTGATGAACTTTTCATGTAGTTGATCATGTTAGTTGATGGAGGTTTTCTGTAGCCATAGTTTTAAACACGTTGCCCTGTTGTTCATCGGTACACAAAAATATCAAATAGTGGCGAGAGATATTTGACGTCAGAGAGAGAGAAAATGATTCAACATTGTTGTAAAACATAGGAGACGCGAAAAGAAGATAAAGAAAGGCAATACGAAGAGTAGAAGAAGCACAACATGGAAGATCTTTGCAGAGGACGAATTCCACCAGATAAGGTGTACATAATTTCGTGATATAGATATATACCCAATTCAAAAATAAACGATTCGTTATCGAATCTGTTGTCTTCCACTTTTATACTACTTGTCATAAAAGACACCACATTAGTTAGTAGAAAGTTATCATATATGTTATACATATATATGAACAGAGTTACTCATATATGTTCAAACTAAGATCACTTTTAATAGTTTGAAAAAATTTAAGTATTGGGTATGTGATATTCATTAGCATAAAAGGCCTTTATTATTTCCCAATGAATCAAAAACAACGATATGGTTGCTTTTATTGACGTTTCGCGAAATCAAAGTAGTTATCTTAAACCAGAATTCACAAAATCTCGCCCTACATATAACAGCTTAATCATCATCATTCTCGAGTACGAGGTAAGTTTCGTGTAGTTGTCAATTTAGTCAATCGGTAAAGATAACAAAATTGGGATGGAGATTGTTGGATTTATCGAAATCAGCACCAGCATTTAACATGGTCGAAAACGTTACCATAAGATAGATATGCAGCCCAACAGTTATTCTTCCATATAGATCAGAAACATCATGCAATAGCAGAGGAACACTCTATAATCACAACATTAGAGTTTTCTTGAAACACACCAGACACACTAAAAAGCAACCTTGTTTGTGGAAAGATTAAATCCCTTAGGATTCACAATCTAATTGTGTTCATAAAAAAAGTCAATCTGAAAGATGAATATTCTTTTCAATAATTTCTCCTCCTCAGGTGCTTACAATTATAAAATATAATATTCATTGTTATCATTACAATAATCATAGCCAGTTAGTTATCCGGCGGATACATTTTTTACGTAGAAAAACAGATTAGTTATGGGGTATCAAAATAAATAGTCGTATATGTGTAACAAACGTGCTCGGCTGAAATCTTCGTTCCGATTGACTTTTAATTCATGATATGGGAATATTTCACACTATTAAATCTTATAAAATAAAGTGCTTGGAATGTGATGCGATATACATCGGAGAAACCTCGCGAGAAATCAAAATCAGAAGAAATGAGCACTGTAGAGCATCTAAGTACGACCATCAAGAAATCCAGTTGAACTAGAAAAGCTTGAAAAATCATCAGCCATAGTTGACCTACACGCTATGCTATAGAATCAGGCCACAAAATTGATTTTGACACTGTTGAATTAATCCATAAAAACTTTAGAAATCACAAAGAATATCTCATATCATCAGAAGCGCTTCGTACTAAAATGAATCTAAGTTGTCTGAATAGGAATGATGGAATAAAACGGAATTTGACCTGGTTACAACACCCCCCTCCCCCATGAAGTAGCGAAATCAACACAAATGTGATAAACAAGTTCACTATGTAAAAACACACATTACTTTCATAATGTTACACACTGATTAAATCCAACAATCTACACCTGGCTTTGTTGTCTTTACCAACGTAAAATAACCTCACGCTGAAGAACGATGATCAAGTTCGTATATATAAGGAGAAGTTTTGTAAACCCTGTTTCATTTCACTACTTTGATCAATCGAAGTGTTACTAAAAGCTAAATCACGAATTGGTAGAAGTTAGAATTCATGAGCTGGTCATTTAATCGGGTCCCGGTGAGTGGCTGAATCATATACGAGCTAGCTTGCCTTGTAACTGGAAGGTCCTGGGTTCGAACCCTGGCTGGTGTTCGGTGCGTACTGCCGATAATTCCCAAGCACTAGGATGAAACAGCTGGCTGTCCGGTACTCTCTGTGGCTGGTTTTCAATGGTTCTCTAACTGATATCAATTTGTGATAAACACGTAAAAACAAAACTAATCCCTACAAACCAACTTTAGTAAAAGCAACAATATCGTTTTGTTTTTCCTTTATTGGGGAATAGAAAAATTTTTATAATGCTGAAGAGTCAATAACACTTTAACTGAGGTTTTGATTTGTTACAAAATGGTGTGATCTCTTCAACAACTATTGAAACCTTACTATTTGAGATTGTAGCTGAGTAAAGCTAAGAAAAGTAGTTCAAAGAACTTTTATTGGTGGTGGTACCTCGGGAACATCTCCGAGCATGGCTAAATAAAGACGTAGTGAGAAGCACCAACAGTTCGATATTACACCACCTGGTCCAAACCGGCCGGCCACAAAGCCAGCCAGCCAGCATTGAAGAATCCTTCTCTATCATCATCTACCAGGTACCAAATAAACTGCCAAAAACATCGAGGTATCGCATGCTTCAAAGAGCAGAGGCTATCGCAATTTGCGTGAAACAACCAGTGCTTTGTGTGCAACAGAAGAAAGTCCAGCTAGCACCTACTGTTGCACTAGCTGGCCTTCAGTAGAGACTCTAATTCATGAATTTGTATTATTAGGTTTCCTAATTTTTCAGATATCCAGCTCAATCAAAAATTAAACAGAATACACTTAAACAACAAATAATCGGGTGAACAAACAAACAAACAAACTTACCTGAGCCATCATAACCAAATTACTGGAATCTGTTACTCCAGGAACTTGAGTGTATACCGGTTCTGGTTCAAGTTGACGTCTCAAAGCATCAAGATGGGCATGACGATCCTTCAAACTCCTATAGTAATAAGATGAGGGTGATTTTTTTAAATGGGTTTTAAGAGAATCTCAATACATTTAAAGAATAGTAGTCAAATGCAGATATATTGCTGATATCGTTAGTGTGATTATCTTCGTAAACTCATCCTCCATCGGTTGGCTGGCAAACAAAGACAAGGGGATTGAGAATGTGTTATTTATCATAGAGATAATTAAATTTACCATTGGGTGCTAAAGAAAAATTTGAATAATTTACGCATATCCAGGAGCTCATTTATCCTTTGCTGAAAATTCTTGGCGACTCGATATTAATTTACATGTAGGGTACAGCAGGTTGAAGCTGAGGCAGTAACTCATCGAAAAAGACATTGCGAAATGGTTGCGCTATGTCGTGAATTGGCAGAAGTTAGAATTCATTCACTGGTCACTGGATCGGGTTCCAGTGGCTCAATGGTCTACGCCTTGTAACCAGAGGGTCGTGTGTTCGAACCTCGGCATTGGGTGCGTACTGATGAAGAGTCCCAAACTAGGATGAAATAGCTGTCCAGTACTCCCAGGTTTTCCAGTGGTTCTCTAGCTGATGTCAACTCATGATGAAATCCTCCATCCAATCTAACGAAATCCCTACAAAACCAATACTTGAAAATACATACATACCTTTTGGGCTTCAACAGCCCATCTCCCCATTTTCCTATTTTCTGCTCTCTTATTCAGCTGGCCCCATGACTGCCTATAACCTCTGATCTCCTTCTCACACGATTGCCTCCATGTCATCCTCAGACATACAACCAACTCTTCATTTCCCATTTCGATTTCACTCAGACGACGGCACCTGTTAGTCGCGATATCATTCGACAGTGTCGTCAGCGTGTGACTGATCAATCCCCATTTCCTCCTACATATTTATTTAGAAATAGGTTACCGATTGTTTTTTTCTAACAGTTTCTTGTTGACGTTTTTTTTCCCGCTGGCCAGTTGATCTTCAGTATATAGCCAGTGAAGGCAACTGTTGATAAAAGTCTGCAATGACCAGTTTGGAAACGTTTTCCATGACGCAGACGGTAAGTTTCTGACTCCAATAGAAGAAGTAACTTTAACACTGGTATTGAAGATCTGAATCTTGTTCTTCATCATGTTCTTCATGCAAAAGATTCGCAAACTAATTTCATAGTGATGAAGGTCTGTCTTGCCTTTTTCCGTCCCATCCGGGCACCACTCGAAATATGGCCAGCATTGTGTGCGATGTCATTCGATAGCCTTCTGTATTAGTTTTTTTATTAGATGTATCACACAGGGAAACAGTAATATTTACTGGATGACAAGGTTTAGAACAAAATTTATTGTTTATAATCATATCAACTATAATCAAATGACTTTGGAACTTGAGTTTTATAGTTTTCTTTGTCTTCTCCTATTTTTCGTCGTTGGGGTAGTAGAATTTTCCAGATATCCAACTAGACAGGTGTTGAATCATTCCAATTACACGTGTTTGCAGTTGATTCGATAAATAAAGCTTCTGTTATAGAGCATAATATCTAAGTAGTACCAAGGAAAATCTAAGACAGGAAGTGTGGAATATAAGAGAAGCCTTGAAACTTAATAATTACCCTGATAAATTAGTCAGAAAGTATGTAAGGAAATGTGAATATAAAATAAATAATGATAGTAGTGATAATGAAAATGATAATAATAGCAAAATTAATGACGACATGCATGTCAAATGTGCGCAAGACAACATCAAAATAAGGAAACTGAATCATCAGTGGTGATCCCATACAAAGAAGGAACCTCAGAAACCACCTTACGCAGAATTATTAACAAGGCAGGAATAAAAGTGGCTGCCATTCAAACCAACCACAAACTCAATTAGAAACAAGCTTTATCGGTTAAAGGATCATCCTGTGGAGCCTTTAAAACAAAACAATTTAGTTTATCTAATACTCTACCTGCAATTATCGTCAGGTCAAATACATAGTTCAAACTAGTAGAACAGGATCAGTGAGTCAGACTAGCCGAGCGTAAAAACCTAGAAAAATCTAGATTGGTTGACCCAAATAAGATAAGAAATCTAGAGAATAGTTGAGCCGTAGATAGCACTCACTACATATAGTTACACACAATCATACAATAGGATGGGATAGGATGAGTTTTAAAATCTAATGCAGCAGCAGGATGGAGGGAGAGAGATTGATAACAGAAGCTTTGTTTATCGAATCAACTGAGAGGGAATACGTGTAATAGGAATGATTCAACACCTGTCCAGTTGGACATCTGGAAAATTCTACTACCCTTACGACGACGAATAGGAGAAGACAAAGAAGACTATTAAACTCAAGTTTCGAAGTCGTGTGATTATAATCGATATGATTAAGAAGAGTAATAAATTGTTTTCGACACCTTGTTATCCAGTAAATGATAATACTGTTTCACTGACTGTGTGATATATCTAATAAACAAACTAATATGGAATTACTTCCTATCACACTGCCCAAGTTTTAGGCACTTATATAATAACAGTTTATAGAGAAAAATAAAGTTGTCCTAAGGAAAGAGATATAAGTCACTTATGCAAATGAATTGGTGTATTAAAAATCAACTACTACTGGTGAATGAACTTACTTTGATGTAAAATGATCTTTACATCGTGTACCCAAGCTTAAACGTAAGAATTGTGTTTCGTCAGATGACATATAATCAGCTTGTTTAACAGTTACTTTGAAGGTAGGAGTCCTAAAGGAAAATAAAAGTGGAATAATAACACGAATAGACATATTACACTACTTACTGACTAGTGTCCAATCAAAAATATCCAGTACAGTCCTACAAGAGGTTGTCAATCGCGAGACCGAATAGCTCCTCAGTGATAATATCTCTGACTGCAGCACTGCACTGGGTGACGCGGGTTCGAATCACAGAAGGGACATGAATTCATTCAAGGAGGTTGCAGATACGCCTTGCTGACTAATGAGTGCCAATTAGTGCGAAACTTAGGTCCAAGGCTTCCTGTAACCGATTGCCTCCAACCATCTAATTTTTTTTATTCCTTCACGTTCCCAGTGGAATATAGAAGCTAGAAGCTTGAAGTTTCTGTAGCAGTGTTTATATTTACAGGATGGGGTTGCTAGCCTCATGCCCAACCTTTTCCTCTTTGCCAGCTTTTATTTCTGGCTTAGTGAGGTAAAGGAGTGCGTCGGTGGCCGGGGACCGAACCCAAGACCTTGTGCATGGTCGGGAGCGTCCTAACCGCTATGCCACCGACGCACTGGCTCCCGCGCCGGGAGTCGAACTCGGGCCGCCTGGGTGAGAGCCAGGAATCCTAACCGCTAGACCATCTAATACTAACAGCAAAATTATTTTGTTGTATTTGTGATTTACTGTTAAGTTACAAAGAGGTGTTTTGCATGTCAATAATATCGAAGATACAAGGTTGATATTACTGTATAACATAAGTAACGGAATACTTAAATAGTGATATCATCGGATGGTTGGAAGGAATTAGTAGAAATCTCTGGACGGATTTATCGTATTTGTTAACAGTCATCAGCATGGTGTAGCTGAAGTCTTGAAGAAATTGTTGTCCCCTCAGAAACTCAGCCATGACTCACTCAGTCCTTTAATCAAACATGCTGCATGGTTTGTTTGTGATAGATAGTGAAACAATCTACGATAGCGTAGGATTGAAAGTGTGATGGAAGCTGTCCCCTAGTCAAAATTGGTAGACAGCAATTTACGTCAATCTTAACGTCCCAAATCTTGGCCATGAGAAAAGAACCAGAATAAAGACTAATTCAACAACCAATCATAGCAGACGTTGTTTGGGCTGATGTGATTCGCAGATATATGGTCTGACCTTCCAAGAAATGGCCTCAAAAGGATGACAGAAAACAACCAATCAGAAGACGCTGTCTCTCTTTTAATAATAACGAATAATAATGTAAATAACAATATATAAATATCTGTCGATTTCCTCATTAAGCAATCTGTTGCCTGGTGCTTGTCTTCTGTCATTACAAAAGATTACCACTGATTCAATGGGTGATGATTATAAAAATTGAATAAAAAATTAGGGACATTGAAGGGTTCCATTTATTAAAGTCTGCAGAGTAGTAGGTTAGAGGTAACCTAGCTGAAGTAGACGACCATTTATACTCAGATTAAAAGCTTTGAAGTAATTTTCCCAAATATAACATTAATGTAACAATTTTTTGAATAAAAATGAATAATACTCACGTTCCAGAAGATACGCTGACTTTTAATGAAGGATGTTGTCGGCTGATATCGACAAATAATGATGGATCTTCTCGAGAATACCACATAGGTAATGGTCGACACATATTTCTAAAATGATCAAAAGATAAACCATATATTAAAGTTAGTCGGTAAATCATACTAATGTTATTGTACTATTATTGTATATAAATAAAAATGGGAATCCGAGTCGAAGAAAACACATGGACTTTATTCTTATACAAAATGCTTGAGTAACACCAAACACTTTGACAGCGTGAACTGAGAAGACAGGCAAACATAGTGTAAGGAGCAAAATTGTTCAGAAAATCCCTTCACCTGAACGATCTAATCGTAATATTTATACTTAAACTGGCAACTCTAAACTATAGCAGCCCAAACCGAAACTACCTAGGGAACGGACAAATGACCTTGAGCAACCAATCAGGTGATTCTGTTTTATCCAGAGGTAATTACGGATGTTCTAAACATTTCGCATTGCAAATTCGTTCCAGATCTAGTTTTTGATTACTGTTTGGAGAAGGGAGTGATTAGAAGGTCAAAAATTTGTCAATGTGGAGTTGTCATGCGTATTCAAAGACACACAAACTGTATTGATGGGTTTGTGTACAGGTGCAGTGAGTACCGAAGCAGAAAGTCAGTTCGAGAAGGTATGTCGTTCTTTTTTAGTTTACAGATTCCTTAGGCACTTTTGTTCTCAAAGTCTAAATTACCTTTAACAAAAATTTTAATGATCTGTCATTTCTAGTTACTGAACAGACCGGTTATAGCAACAGCTTACGAAACAGAAAATTCACAAGTATCTGTAGTGCAATGGTACCACTACTGCAGAGACGTATCATTCTGGAAAATGAACACGCTTACTCAAGTACTTGGAGGAGATGGCGTAATCGTTCATGTTGATGAGACCGTGTTAATCAAAAGAAAATATAATAGAGGCAGACTACACGCAAATCAGCAATAGATATTGGGGATCTATGACACCACCCTCCACAAAGGATACATTGAAGTGATCCCTAATCGGAGTGCAAATGTATTATCACCTATTATCCAACGATTAGTGCTGTCTGGGACGATTATTCATACAGATGAATGGAGTAGTTACGGTCAGTTATCAAATCTCAGCTATATCATGTCGTCAACCATACAAATGGTTTTCGCAATCCTTTTGATGGAAATCACACTAATTCCATCGAAGGTTTTTGGAGTCACTTTAAAAAAACGGATCAGATCGGTAAATGAATCAAGAGATCGAATGATATACAGTTATCTGGATGAGTTTACGTATAGAACTTGGTTTAACATGAGTATGAAGACTCCTCTGAGAAATTGGGAGGTTTCTTTGGAAGATATACGAGAACATTGTCCTTTGTAACTATTTTTTTTAACATTGCATTACTTTTATATAAACGATTTATTACAATTATGCGCCGATTTCTTTTTTAACCTTCTGATTGGTCAGATTTGTCCTTTTCAAAGTCATTTATCCGTTCATTAGGTAGTTTCGGTTTGAGCTACTATAGTTTAGAGTTGCCGATAAATTTTATGTGTCAATTAACTTTGTAATGAAATCCTGAAAACAATCAAACTCCTGTAAACCAACACTTGAATATTAATCTGGTGCTCACTAGCGATGAGTCCTATTTCACGTAGGTAGTTACATGAGTTATAGTAGGAAGTCGTGAGCAGTAGGGTACAACAGGTCGGGTGTGACTACAAAATACTCGCCACCGATGATATTCGCTAGTGATCGCGCCATATCATGAATTAGCAGAAGTTGGAATTCATAGCTTTCGGCTATTGGATTGGTATACGAGCTCACTGGCCTTGTAACCAGAAGGTTCTGGGTTCAAATCCCGTTGGAGGTTGCACCAGGACGAAACAACTTTCCAGTACTCCCATTAGGTTTTCCAATGGTTCTCTAATCCATGTGAGTTCATGATGAAATCCTGAAACCAATCAAATCCCTGCAAACCAACACGTGAACTTCTACTAGACTGTATGTCACCCTTGTGATATTTGGATATAAGTTTATTTGATCCTCATAATTTGTCTTTGTTTCTGTTTAACCCTTAATTTTAATACTTCTCTTTGTAGTTGTGTGTATACTGATAATATGTTTCTTTTGCTATTTGACTTTGTTTGAGTGAATCAAGGTCATTTCTGTTCTTCCATTGTCCGCAGGAAGTGTTGGTGTGATTCTTGTGGACAGAGCGTGTTGTAAATATTCTATTTGATTGTATTTTTATTTCCTTTAATTCCTAGAGGGAAATAGGGCTTCAGCCGTGCGCCTCCATTGCGCTCGAATCTCTGCTAAAGTTTTCACTTGGCTCCGCATCTGCTCACATGCTTTCATCTTCTCTTCACATCATCGCCTCCAAGTCACCCTTCAATGACCAGCTTGCCGCTTTCCTTTCCGGTTCCACTCGAGCAATGGCTTGTCTAGTGATCCCACTCACTTAATGGTATTTTGATGTGGTATTGTTCTCTGCGCTGGATGGTTAGTTTACGAAGCTTTCATCACCTACTGGGTGACATCTTCAGCGCCCATACTTCAATTCACTGAAGTCAGCTTTTAGATTTCTCCACGAGTTTATTAATCATCTCTCCTGATGACCTCAGCCGTGATTGGTTGTTTATGTGTGTTTTCACATCTTCTAGGTTCCTTGTATTCGAACTGACTGTTTCTTTGACTTGAACTTTGACTCTTTGTGTGTGAAGTTTCTTTCTTATTGGTTGATAAATTTTGTCTATCACGATGTGTCTATTGATTGATGATTCACTGAAATGCCAAGCTTCCAAAAATTCTCTAGCATTCTCGTTATTTCCTTTGTCTAATATTTGAACGTTGTCCCAGTCGAATTGATGTCCATGGTTGTCTGTATGTAGTGATATGAGCGATGGAGTGGATATCATGTCTTTTGACGGCTAACTTATGTTCGTGGATACGAAGAATAAGAAAGAAAATTCACACACAAAGGGTCAAAGTTCAAGCCAAAGAAACAGCCAACGCCAATACCAATACAAGTAACCTAGAAGATGTGAAAACACACATAAACAACCAATCACGTCCAAGGTCACCGATCAGGAGAGATGATTAATAAACTCGTGGAGAAATCTAAAAGCTCACTTCAGTAAATTGAAGTATGGGCACTGAAGATGTCACCCAGTAGGGTGATGAAAGCTTCGCAAATTAACCATCCATCTCAGAGAAAAAAACCACATCAAAATCATCCGCCTGAGCTACAAATCTTCTCTATCATAACTTAATGGTATGTTTTTTCAAAGCATGGCCAAGCCAATTCACCTCCATTTCTTCTTGCTTATTTGTTGCAGAATCGGTTCCTGGTTGATTCACTCCCAGAAATCCCTCATCATTGCTGATCTTTTCTGGCCGGTCATCTGATCTTGAGTGAAGTATTGAGCGAAGACAGCTGTTGATGAAGGTGTGTAGTTTGTTTGAGGTGCTCTTCATGATGCGTCAAGTCTCTGATCCATAAAGTAGCACTGACTAAATTCATATTGAAGTTGAAAATCCGGATCTTATTTTTGATGCTGAGTGCTATTGATCTGCACACAGACTTGAGAGTAATGAAAGCTTGCCTCGCTTTCCCGATCCTCTCTGCTTTCTTATCCTTGATTGATTGTAGGTACTTGTTTTGTTCTTAGACTGGACTGTACAGCTGCTTAACGCCAATGTTGAAGTAATTTTGAGTTTCTAAAGTTATTATTATTTATTATTCAACGGAACCACAGAGCTGTTGAAAAATAATCATCTTTTTTCCGTCTCTGGAGCGTTTCATGACTGCGTATGTCCTGGGGGATATTTTGTCAGCTCTACAGCTGTACCCAAAGATCGGTTTTCTGGCTCCAGGATCACAACAAATATGTTTGGGTCGTAACACAGGGGATGCACAAAAAGAGACACAAAAGTGTTTTAAAAAAAACTGCGCTATATCAAAAAGGAAATCGAGGAGTTAAGCTTAAAACTAATGGGAACAGTTACCAATGAGGATTACGATCCTATATATATATACTGTCCTCTGGCAATGCCAAATCAGAAACTTTCAAAAATTCAAAGAATACTCAAATCAAAAAGTTTCAGTAAATTACTGGACGAGATCAGAAATCTGAAGTCAATAGCAATCGGTAAAACAAAGTGGGTTATCAATCTCTTAACACATGTATTAAGTCCAACAGAAATAAGTGTATTAGAAAAGGGACTAAATTTCAATGTAGCGGTAGACAGGTTGAAACGTGAGAATGTCATCCCTAAAATAGAGCGAGTTATATTAGCCGTTGCTCTAAGAATTTGATTTTTCGTGCTCACTCGAGAACATCTCCTACTATGGCTAAGTAAAACTGTTGTGAAAACCATTAACAGTTCGATATTAGACCACCTGGTCCAAACTGGCTGGCCACAAAGCCAGCCATCCTTCAAGATTCCTTCTCTATCATCTACCGTGTGCCTAATAAATTGCCGAAATCATCATCGAAGCACCACATGCTCCAAACAGCAGAGGCTATTGCAATTCGACTTAAACAACCAGTTCTCTGTGTGCAAAAAGAAGCAAGTCCAGCCAGCCACTACTACTGCCCTGGCTGACCTTCAGTAGAGACTATAAATTCAAGAGTTTGTAATATTATCTTTCCAAATTTTTTCTGACATTCAGCTCATTTTATGTTGATGCTATTGAGCTGTTGTAATCTATCAATAATATTATTGATTCGATGTTATTTGAACAGAAACATTAATGTTGTTCATAACACTAATTCATTCCTTCACTATAATGTATATATAACTGTAGAGGCTGATGAAGAAGGGGCTATTGAAAAGAGTATTCTTTGTTCAGTATCCATTCTTTTGAAAAATACAGATATGCTGTTGACGCCCTATGTTCCACTGAGAACCTGTGGAGATAATGATAACAATAACGAAAATTGCTCCTGGGTCACTTTTATAAGTCCAAAATTTTCAAATCACTAAACTGTGCTTGGTGACCACCGCAAGTTTTAACAAAAGACATACTACTGGTTGACCTGAATGGTTATCAACTACTATTATCGATCAGTGGTATGTGTAAAGGTGAACAGTGTCGGAAGTACACAATTCTCAACAAATCATTCACATGAAAATAAATAAAATTTTAAAATATATATACATATATATGATGCTCACTAGTGACTGGCCCTATTCAGGCAGTTTACCTGGGGTTCTAGTGGAAAGCCGTGACCAGTAGCGTACAGAAGGTTGAAGATGAGGCAGTAACTCATCGAAGAAGACATTGCGAAATGGTCGCGCTATGTCGTGAATTGGCAGAAACTAGAATTCATGCACTGGCCACTGGATCGGGTCCCAGTGGCTCAATGGTCTACAAGCTCGCCAGCCTTGTAACCAGATGGTTCTGGGTTCGAACCCTGCTGGTATGTGCGTACTGATGAAGAGTCACAAACCAGGACGAAACAGCTGTCAAGTACTCCCAGGTTTTCCAGTGGTTCTCCAAGTGATATCAGCTCATGATGGAATCCTCCATGCAATCAAACAAAATCCCTACGAAACCAATACTTGAAAAAATATATATGAAATAAAAGATTAGGTTGAAATGTCTTACACTCCTAATGGTTTATATCCTTCTTGTAGACCGCAATAGGTAAAGAATTTCAGTGATTGAACATCATTGCCATAATTGATTTTTACTTGTTGACCAGATCCAAGCGAGAATGCTGGCACATAACCTTCAAATAAATGATAATAATAAAAATAAAGGTGAAAGACATTAAACTTAGAACATCAAAAAAGGAACTTTTTTCTACAAAAGCCTTTTTGTACCATACACAAAGTATTTGTGTGCCTAGTTTTCTCAAATTATTTTTTCACGGATAATATATGGTGTAAAACTTGGGCACTGTGGTAGTAAGCAATTCCATACTACAAAGTAAGAAGTAGTCTTCCGGAAGGTGTACGAATCAGACTTCTTCAAACTGCAGAAGCAATGGCGATTCACTTGCTAAGTCATGAACTCTGCATACAGAAGAAGTTCGTTCCATCACTACACTTGCAATCGACGTAATCTATATCATTACCCGACAAGTAAATTCTACCTAATCTTTTTTCTCTTCTGTCTCTTCATTCGTATTATTTTGTCTTATCAATTGTAACATTTTACACTTTCAACCTTCTTGTTCTCTACTCCCACCCTACTTAATTTCTACACTTCACTACCACTGTTACTGACTTGACCAACGCTCAATTTCTAGTCACTTATGTTGCGTCATCCAATTGATTTGCTCAACTTTAGTCCTAATTTAAATGGCATTACTCTCTATCCCCCTCCACTTAGTCTCTACCTGTAATTACCTCTGTTTCTATCCTGACCTAAGTTGAAGCAATTTAGTCAATTATATTACGTCATCTAACTTACTTACTCAATCTTACTTTAGTTGCTGTCCGATTAACCTTGTTTCTATATTAGATCATTCTTCTATTACCTGATCAATTATCTAAACTTGACAAACCTCATGTACACACACACACAAATATTTATGTATAAATGCGATTGCACAGCTGCTATGTGAATGGATTCGCCATCGAAAAGAGTCTCTTCGCTGAACGCCTTCCCTTTTTCATATGACTTAATGGGGATTTTCAAGCAATTCCATTGCTGAACGTCTTCTCTTTTTCATAATTCCATATTAGTTTGTTTATTAGATGGATATATCACACAGTCAGTGAAACAGTATTATTTATTTTATTTTTATTTTTTATTTTTTCAAATTTTTTTTTATTACAGCTTGATTCCACACCGTATTTTTGGTACAGGTATGGAATTTCAGCATGGATATCAGTAGCCCAAGTTTAGCAGGCCGACTATAGATATCAAGTGTGCGTCGGCAGGGGATCGAACCTCGGACCATGTGCATGGCCGGTGAGAGTCCTAACCACTGTGCCACCGATGACAAGGTATCCAACAAAATTTATTGCTGTTCATAATCATATCATCAATTATAATCGCACGACTTCGAAACCTGACTTTTATAGTTTTCTTTCTTCTCTCCTGTTTGTCGTTGTTGGCGTAGTAGAACGCATTTTCCAGATATTTGGGTGGACAGGTGTTGAATCATTCCTATTACGCGTATTCCCGTATTCGATAACTAAAGTTTCTGTCATCAATCTCTCCCTCCACCTAGCTGTTACATTAGATTTTAAGACTGTCATCTTATCCCATCCATCCTATTGTATGGTTTGGTTGTGTGTAATTGTATGTAGTGCTTGCGATAGCCGAACTATTCTCTAGATTTCTGTCCTTATTCGGGTCAACTAATCTAGATTTTGCTGTTGGGTTTTTATGCTCAGCTAGTCTGACTGACTGACCCTGTTCTACTAGTTTGACCTATGTATTTGACCTCACTGACAATCGTTGCAGACAGGGTATCAGATAAACTAAATTTTTTTGTTTTTAAACGGTTCATATCAATTATGAACAATCAACTGTGTTCGAAACCTTATCATCCAGTAAATAATACTGTTTCACTGACTGTATGATATATCCATCTAATAAACAAACTAATATGGGATTTTTCAGGGATTATATTGATTTCTAGTTTATTCGTGAACTGACTTCAGTTATAAACCCACAGAGATATAGGAAGTATCGGACAGCTGTTTCATCCTTTTGTGGACTTATCATCGATACATACGTACCTATGACCAAGTCAAGGATCGAACTCAGGATCTTCAAGAAGTAACTTCAGAAAACTGTATGCTCGCACGTCTAAGTATAAGAATTCTATGATACCATACTTGTCACGTATTTTATGTGATGAAAATAGTGTCAGGCAAGAATTAACTAACTTTTTTTCGTCTAGTAAATAAACATCCATCCATCCATCCTTATATACCTTCAAGTTTCACTTTTATTATTTCTATTATATTTATGGTCCTGTTGCTTCTGTGTTTGTTTTACTCTCATAATTGCAAATACCAGCTTATCTCTATGACTGTTGTAATCTTTGTTTTTCCCCTCACCATATCATGTAAAGAGAACATTATATTAAATATCTTTGAACATGCTAGGATTTCTATATCACATTGCCAATACTGTGTGACACAAGCCAACGGCAATTTTCACTTGTATTCTTATTATTATTACCCTACCTTAGCTGTTATCATTATTATTGCTATTTCCATTTTATATGCTGCATGTTTTTGACATTACCCACCCCTATTGTGAATGTGGAAAATTTTCTGTGTGATTAATTTTTATCTACAATTTGAGGAAATTAGATGGAATATTGTGATTAATGCTGAAAATTCCATTCTGTATCACAAGTACTGTTTTTGGAATAAAGTAAATTATTATTATTATTAAGATACGCCTTATGTATTATTCTATATATGATATTAATTGTTTTGCTACCTGACATTTAACTATGATTATATATTTGAATAAGACATTAAGAAGACAAATTTCGCAAGATGATGGCATCATTTCGTAGTTTCTTTACAACCGCTTTACAACTGTTATGGTTAACAATAATAAAATAAACATCATGACAATTACTCAGTTATTTTCATTTTAATTTATTATTGTTAACCATAACAGTTGTAAAGCGGTTGTAAAGAAACTATGAAATGACGGTATCATCTCGCGAAATTTGTCTTCTTAATGCCCTTGCTCAAATTTATCAAAGGGACTAGTTGTTTTAATATATATATATATATATATATATATATATATATATGCTTAAAAATGTCAAAATTACCCAAACTGTAAAAAAACGTTACGCTTAGATATGATAGAGAAGATTTGTAGTTCAGGTGAATGATTTTGATGTAGTTTTGTTCTCTGAGCTGGATGGTTAGTTTGCGAAGCTTTCATCACCCTATTGGGTGACATCTTCAGCGCATACTTCAATTTGAAGTGAGCTTTTAGATTTCTCCACGAGTTTATTAGTCATCTCTCCTGGTGGGCGAACTTGGACGTGATTGGTTGTTTATGTGTGTTTTCACACCATCTAGGTTACTTGTATTGGAACCGGTTGTTTCTTTGACTTGAACTTTGACCCTTTGTGTGTGAAGTTTCTTTCTTATTGGTTGATAAATTTTGTCTATCTCGATGTGTCTATTGATTGATGATTCACTGGAATGCCCAGCTTCTCAGAATTTTTAGAAGCTCGCCTGGTATTCCAGGCTTCACACACAAAGGGTCAAAGTTCAAGTCAAAGAAACAGCCAACGCCAACACCAATACAAGTAACCTAGATGGTGTGAAAACACACATAAACAACCAATCACGTCCAAGTTCGCCCACCAGGAGAGATGATTAATAAACTCGTGGAGAAATCTAAAAGCTGACTTCAGCGAATTGAAGTATGGGCGCTGAAGATGTCACCCAGTAGGGTGATGAAAGCTTCACAAACTAACCATCCAGCTCAGAGAACAAAAACACATCAAAAACTTTTCACTTGTTAACATTTATCATGCAATGTAATAGTTATAAAGAGAAATTATAATTGGAAAGTCTTCTAGACATATATTTATGCATGTATTTACCTTCATCCACTTTGATATGCTTAAATGCAATCTCTAAACCTAATGGATCCATCATTAATTCACCATTCAATGAAAAAGCTGAAAGGGAAAAGAAGAGTTCCTGTTTCTTCTTTACAGTAGTAATTAGAAAAGAAATGATATCGCAATTACAAACTATTTGTAGCACAAGAATAAAAATTCTACCGAAATTTATCCATTATTTTCATTCCTTTTTGCGCTTCCGGTGCAATATGGGCGGCGGGGGGGGAATTCAGTAGCCATAAAGTTTCTTCATTACTAGCCTTAATGTCGACTGTCCTTGTTTAGCGGTCTTAATACCGGCACAGCAAGGTGTGGGATTGTTTCGACTAAGAGACTCGAACCTGGATACCAGGCTTCTAGGAGTTACTTGATGATTTTTGATACTTCGACCGTGTAAAATTACCACACATATTTTCACATTGAGACTGTTGTTCATTTCATCTCCTGTATGCTGCAATATGAAAGAATACATGGAGGTCTCTTGGAGGTTAGTTTATGATCGTGGTTTCAAAGTTGAAGATGGATTCCACTTCAACCTGTTTAATGTTTATTAAACTAGGTAAAATTTATTTTGTAGATGGTGTGGATCTTGTCTTATTTTAATGTTAGATTTTTCACTGTATCACATTTACCAGGCAGTACCAACAGCAACAGACAATAATCAGCCAGCATAAATGGGAGGAATTTGAACGAAACAACCTCCTTTACCACCGACCTAGGATGGAACTGATGAGGATATCAAAGCGGCGAGGATCGGGAAAGTAAGACAAGCTTTCATTACTCTCAAGTTTGTGTGCAGGTGAACAGCCAGTACTCAGCATGAAAAATAAGATCCGGATTTTTAACTCAAATGTGAAGTCGATGCTACTGTATACGGAACACAGACTTGCCGCCAACTCACGAAGGACACTTTGAAAAAATGACAAACTTTCATCAACAGCTGCCTTCCCTCAATACCACTCAAGATCAGATGGCCGGCCAGAAAAGATCAGAAATAGTGAGGGACACCTGGGAGCGAACCAACCAGAAACCGACTGTGCAACAAATTTGCAGGAAGAAATGGAGGTGGATTGGCCATAATATGAGAAAACAAACCATTGAGTGAGTGACATCACTAGACAAGCCTTCAAGTGGAATCCGAAAGGGAAGTGGCGAGTCGGTCGTCGGTGTGAGGGTGACTTGAGGAGGTCATGTGATGAGGAGATGAAAGCATGTGGGCAGACTTGGAACCAGGTGTAAACTTTGGCATAGAACAGAACGCAATAGGGATGTGCGGATGAGGCCCTATGTTCCTCTAGGAACTAAAGGAAACAATAATAATAAAATAGTCTTGAAAGGGATTGTATGACGTCGTTATCCTCTAAGGTAATATAATCAATAAATGCTACTTGTTATTGATCACCAAGTGAACCATTTTTCATTGATTATCAAAGTAAAATAACTTTTGACCATCTACAGGGGTATAGAAACTTAAATGCCTCATTATTAAACTAAAGACAGAGATTCCCAAGCATTCGAGAAAAAATGTTAAAAATAAAGTGTAATACTTTCATGAAGACAGGAAGGACTCCAAGTAAACATAGAGAAAATGGAGGCGATGAAGACAACCAACCAATCAATCAACAGCAACAAGAAACAGCACCAATCAACATCAACGGAAGAGATTTGACAGAGGTCGCATCCTTCACTTATCCCATCAGAAGCATGGTTTCAATCACAGCTAGCCGTAAATGGAGGAAGAATCGAAAAGGCAAGATACACCTTCATCAACCTGAAACCAGTTTGGAAATCTTCTGCACCGCACTTAGCCAGCCAGCCAGCATAAACAACAAGATTCGAATTCTGTTCAGCATAAACGTGAAGTCAGTCAGAAATTTCCACTCCGTGTCACGAAAAGGGTTTCTAAAAAGTTACAGACTTCCATCAACAGCTGCCATCTACTCTGGCTCTATACTGAAGATCAAACAGTCAGTCAGCCGGTTGAGCAGAAAGAATTAGCAACAAGAAACTCTGGCTGGCTGAGAACGAACCAACCAAGAGTCCATTACTCAACAAGTGTATAAGAGAAAATGGAGATGGGTTTGGTATACGCTGAAGAGGTCATCGAATAAAACCGCGAACAATGCTGGCCATGGCTAGAGTGGAAATCGAATGGGAAACAACAAATAGCCCGTCAGTGCCATGATGGCATGTAGGTCGTGTAAGTTGGAGTAGGTGATGAGTGATTATGGGCAGTCGTGTGGCTAGCTAGCTGAAGACGGCTACAGAAAATAGAACATAGTGGAAATGTATTGTTGAAGCTATATGTTTCACATGGAACCCAAGGGGGCGAAGTTTAAGAATAGCGTCCCAAAACCTTCAACGCTCAAATGACCTTGAACGCATGCTAGTCGTTGGCTAACGGTTCCTGTCATTATCATAGCTGAAATATCAACCCTATTCACCAAATAAGGAGCAAGTTTCACCCATATAACACTTTTATTACTGTTTGGACAATGTGTTAACATCTCGTTAGGGTTAGGATAGGGGTAAAGGCGAGTATTGTGGTTAGGGTTAGGGTTACGGTCATTGTGTGCGTCGGTGGCACAATGGTTAGGGTTAGGGTAAAAAAAAAAAAAAAAAATTAGGGTAGCGATTAGGAATAGATTTTTCGTTTATTTCAAGTTCTTTTGTTATCCTTATTTCCCTTGTATGTAGTCGCCAATGCTCTTACTGGAACCATAGTAACTAAACCGAGGGCTTAGGAGAGGACTACACAGCGAGAGAAGAGAGATGAACCATTCCCAAAACAGCACACTTTCAGTCTCTTTGGTGAATACATCTACAGAAACTAGTCCAAATTAGCAACTGATACTCTTCATCGCAACTGGAACGTATTTTTAAGTCATATCAGAGAAATATAATCCGTTTAATGTGTTTTCATGCATTTTCTTGTGAATATACGTCATTTTTCGAAAAAAAAAAAAAAAAAAATATGATTGGCTGCCTGAAGGTCACTTGTGCGTTCGCATCCTTTGGGACGCTATTGTTGAACTTTGCCCCCAAGGGAATGATAATATAATAGGTAGATTTGCAACATAGTGTCACCATAAAATCATATAGCTGATTTTTAAAGCAATATTTATCACAGGTATGGTATGGTACCTGTCTCATAGGTCAGCTAGTAGACCGTATGGGTCAAAACCTGCCGCTGCTCGAATTTACACTTCATCTTTAATCAGTACTAACAACATTTAAATATATTGGCCGTTGCTCTAGAAACTTCATTTTTCGTGCTCGCTCGAGGAGGTCTCCCAGTATGGCTAAGTATAGGTGTAATTAAAACCATCAACAGTTCAATATTGAACCATCTGGTGTAAACCCGCCACAAAGTCAGTTAGAATGGAAGAGTCCTTCTCTATCATCATCTACCGGGTACCTAATAAACTGCCAAAATCATCGAAGCACCGCATGTTCCAAACAGTAGATGCTATTGCAATTCGTCTCAAACAACTAGTGCTCTGTGTTCAAAAGAAGCAAGTCCAGCTAGTCGCTACTAACGCCCTGGACAGACTTCGGTAGAAACTATAAACTCATGAATTTGTAACATTATCTTTTCTAATTTTTCTGGCATTCAGCTTATTTTATGTTGATGCTATTGAACTGTAATCTATTGATATGATTATTGATTCGATGTTATTTAAACAGCAACATTAATGTTGCTCATAACACGTTCCATGTTCCCAGTGGAACATAAGGCTTCAAGCTAGAGCCTTGAAGTTTCTGTAGCAGTGGTATTTATTTTTACGGGATGGAGTTGCCAGTGTCATACCCAATCTTCCCTCTTTACCAGTCTTATTACTGGCTTGGCGAGGTAAAGAAGTGGGTCGGTGGCCGGGGATGGAACCCCGAACCACCTGCGTGGTTGGCGAGCATTCTACCACTGTGCCACCGATGAACTATAACACTGATTCGCTCAATCACTATAATGTATATATAACTGTAGAGCCTTATGAAGAAGGGGTTATCGAAAACAGTATACTCTTTGTTTAGTATCCATTCTTTTGAAAATTAAAAAAAGTATAGTTACCAACTGTTTTGTTCGTATAATGATAATTAGAACACTGAAACCGTCAGGATATACATGCAAATATTTGAATAACTTACAAATAGTCTTGTCTATAAGATCAAGCATACAACCGATTACATCACCCGGTTGACAAATTGTACCATAAGCAGTACCATTACGATGCCATTTACGAGCCTAAAATGAAGAAATCAATTGTTTTTTTTTTAAAAAAACCGTAATGAAATAGCGCTCATTTTTCTCGTGTATTAATCATATTAACTTAAATGAAACATTTAATTTATATAGTTTGGTTTGTAAGGATTAGTTATGTTTTACGGGTTGATCACGGATTGATATCAGTTAGAGAACCATTGAAAACCAGGGAGTACTGGACAGCTGCTGTTTCATCCTAGTTTGGGAATCATCGGCAGTACGCACCCACTGGGATTCGAACCCGGGACCTTCCGGTTACAAGGCAAGCTCGTATACCATTCAGCCACTGGGACCCGATTCAATGGCTCGTGAATTCTAACTTCTACCAATTCGTGATTTAGCGCGACCCCAACCATTGTCGTTGGTGGGACATCCATCCACACACGTGACATCTAATTGGACCTCACTGGTCACGACTTCTCACTAGAACTCAGGAAACTCCAACCTGTAGCAAGTCACTAGCGAGCATCAGATTAACTTTCTATAGTTTGGTTTGTAAGGATTAGTTATGTTTTACGGGTTGATCACGGATTGATATCAGTTAGAGAACCATTGAAAACCAGGGAGTACTGGACAGCTGCTGTTTCATCCTAGTTTGAGAATCATCGGCAGTACGCACCCACTGGGATTCGAACCCGGGACCTTCCGGTTACAAGGCAAGCTCGTATACCATTCAGCCACTGGGACCCGATTCAATGGCTCGTGAATTCTAACTTCTACTAATTCGTGATTTAATTTATAATCAAATTAATAAAATTAAATATAGACATTTATAAAGCCTACCTTCCCTCCCTTGATCATTATAACATAGATATGAAAAAAGCGACAATTCTATCGCTTCCCCTAAGTCTTTTACAAGTTACCACTGTTAATATTAGATGGTTGGAGGCAATCGGTCACAGGAGGCCTTGAACCTAGGTTTCGCGCTATTTGGCACTCATCAGTCAGTGAGGAGCATCTTTAACCTTGAATGAATTCATGTCCCTTCTGAGATTCGAACCTGCATCACCCTGGTGAGAGCAGCAGTCCGTGACGTTACGGCTGAGCTTTACGGATGCGAGATTGACCTCAGGTAGGAGTGTATTGTATCTATTGAGTTTATAGCCAAACATCTAATCGAGATCAACGATGAGATTGATGTTAACACAGTCTTTAAGGTTCCATATTATTTTGATTATTAAATGTATCACACAGTGAAACAGTATTGTATACTGGATGACGTTTCGAACACAATTTATTGGTCATAATCACTTCATCAATTGTGGTCACACGACTTCGAGATTTAATTTTTATAGTTTTCTCTGTCTTCTCCTATTTGTTGTATGGGCAGTAGAATTTTCCATATATCTGGGACAGGTGTTGAATCATTCCTATTACATGTATTTGCAGTTGACTCGATAAACAAAACTTCTGCTATCAATCTCTCCCTCCACCCTGCTGTTACAGTTGATTTTAAAACTGTCATCCTATCCCATCCATCCTATTGTATGGTTGTGTGTAACTGCATGTAGTGAGTGGTATAGCTGAACTATTCTCTAGATTTCTTATCTTATTTGGGTCGACCAATCTAGATTTTGCTGCTAGCTTTTTATGTTCGGCTAGTCTGACTGACTGACCCTGTTCTACTAGTGTGACCTATGTATTTGACCTCACTGACAATCATTGCAGGCAGGGTATTAGGTATAGGGAGAGATTGATAACAGAAGCTTTGTTTATCGAATCAACCGCAAATACATGTAATAGGAATGATTCAACACCTGTCCCAGATATATGGAAAATTCTACTGCCCATACAACAAATAGGAGAAGACAGAGAAAACTATAAAAATTAAATCTCGAAGTCGTGTGACCACAATTGATATGATTATGACCAATAAATTGTGTTCGAAACGTCATCCAGTATACAATACTGTTTCACTGTGTGATACATTTAATAATCAAACTAATATGGAATTACTTAATACCACAGTGCCCAAGTTTTACACATATATTAACAATCTTTAACGTTATCTATAAAAATAATCAGGGGCGCTTATTAAAATACACTGAGGCTATAGTTATTCATAAACTTAAGCCCACCCCGATTCTTGACCTACCCTACCTGGGTTATCCTTATTTGATTGGATTACCAAACATTTTGTGAATTATTTTTAAATCTTTTTTATCATTTTGTTTAATTTAATTGCTCTCAGTTTTGTTCATATATATCCACTTGACATGTAAATCTATAAGGGATCAGATTGTTCGAAATGTATAGGGCGATTACATCACATCTCATTTTTCAGATTATCTCCGTCTTCTAATAAAACTATCCAAATTTATAAAAGTGACCAACTGTTTTGAATCTACTTCTGTTAATTTTTTTCTGCAACTGAAATTAACGTATTCAACTGATGGATAGTGACTAGCAGTGGAATTCAGGACAACGTGTATTTCGTCCTATTCGGGACTCGTCAGCCAGCTGGATGTGCCTGCATTCCCCAGTAAGTGAGAGACGGTGTTCCTACCAAGGCTCAAACCCATTGCCCATGGTTTCAAACGCCAAAGAGTTATTCACTAGACCGAGCTCTTCGGTCTAGTCAATCGGCGAGAAAATCTAAAATTCAATTGAATAATTAATATGAACCGTTGCACAAGAGGTGGTTGTCGTGGCCCAATTGGTCAAGTGGATAACGCTTGGGCGTTTAGAACTATGGGCACTAGGTTCGAGCCCCGGTGGGAAAATCATCACTCCCTGGAGAATGTAGGCACATCCCGGTGACGTGAGTCTCAAATAAGACAAAATGCGCGTTGTCCTGGATTCCACCGCTAGTCACCATCCACCAGTTAAATTCTTTTTAAATGCCGAGACATCGTCGAAGCATCTGCACAAGAAGCCGACACGTCACCCTGAAACCGAGCATTCCGGTCGAGTCAATCGAAGGGAAAATCTAGAATTCAATGAAATTAATGTAGTTATTTTTTCATTCCCTTTTTAGTGTTTATTTATGTTCAGAGTTACTTCAACCTTCAATATTACCGTTAACCTTAGCCCCTCATCCGCTAAACTTTTACCATTTTTTTTAGTAACTTTATTGTTTCTTGATAATTACGTGTAAAGATGGCGTATCCGAAGTCCTTTTGTACGATATTGAGGGACTCTATGTATCACTGTGAAGCATTCATGCAAGTGGGGGTGCTCAACGTCCAGAGATGACAAGGTGTTCGAGGATAGAGCTGCTGCTATTCTTCTTTTCTCCTCTGGGTGGTTAGCCAAACTGCTCTTGTGGAGCAAAGTATATCGGCCGCTACGCAACGTCAAGTCCACAAACGTATTCTGGAACACTGTCCAGTTTGGCTAGCCAGCCAGAGGAGAAAAGGAGAATAGCAGCAGCTCTATCCTCGAACACCTTGTCATCTCTGGACATCGAGCACCCCCACATGAATTACGTGCAAGATCAAATTGTTCAAAGTGTTTTTTACGCAAATACATCAGACAATTCAGATAAATTACATTTGTATAAACTCATTATTGTTATTATTATTTCTGAAAATTTTACACTGATGAATTAGCAGACTTTTAAGTTGTCAAAGTCCTCACTTACCTGATGTGCAGCAAAAGCGAAAGAACTATTACTTGAACCAATGATTAAATCAGGTGGTGCACTCTTCTTTGCCCAACCAACTCGCACAAAACCAGACGTGAGTATTTCTGCTTCATAATACCTGTTAAACAATTTTGGTTTTAAGAGAGACTTCAGTAACAAAATTAAGTTGTCTTACAAAATTTCATTCTAGAGTTAAACTACGCCCAAAATTATTCCTCCTGCTTATCTTTTTTTATTTCTACAATAAAAGAGCATGCAGTAGCAGGCAGGCAATGATGATAATTTTTACATGCAGATATTCAGAAGGACTGGTCAGCTACACACTCACCATTTACCACGTGTTAATGCTCTTGTGGTTTGACCACGATAAGTTCTTGTCGGTCCTGAATAATCTGCACTGGAATTACCACGACCTAAAAATTATATATTGTAGATAGACAGATATATGATAATACCGTAGAATAAATAACAAGTCCGGCACAGAACTACTGCCGACAGGATACTTTATATGAACCTCGACTTCAAAGAAGACCTACTCACTGACGTCCTTAGAAGGAGAATTTCCACCTCTTTAAGAAGAACTTTCCTTGCGGTAACATTAAGATTAGTGTTCTCCAGTCGCTTGCTGATCTGCAGAAGCCCAAAGGACAAGATCCCGCACCTGACCACTTCCATGTGTATATATCAGTTCACCTGTTGCTGTGGAGCCAGGTACACCGGTCATTCAATGCGCATCCTGTCAAAAAGGGTCAAAGAACACTATGCACCATGGCTGTAGAAAGGAAGTAATGGCCGTATGAGGAGTGCAATAATCGAACATCTCGTCAAAACTGGTCATTCCATCTCAACAAATGCCACCTCCATCAAAGCTTTTTACAAAGTGAAGAACAACCTTCCAAAGACAGGACAATTCCGTTTTCTTTGCATAGCAGAAGCCCTAGCCTTTCAGTTGGAGGAACCAGAACTGTGCATACAAAATAAAAATTATTCAACCACTTCTACTCTCATGGTAGCAACTCCGTTGATTTGACTTGACTTTTGTTTGTATGCTTATTTTTTTTCAACTACTTAAAACCCATGTGTAGTCCTGTATATTATTTTGTTTCCATGTACACTCTGAACACAACTCTTTCATCAAACTATTCATGCCATCACGTAACTTTTATTTAACAGTCATTTATGACAACTCCTCACTTTTGTTACTACTCTGTTATATCAACATCCGATTCACTTGTAGTTACTAATTGTAATTTCGTTTGATCAATTTAATGTACACACACACATACAAAACAACCATATATATATTTGCGATTGTATAGCTATGAAAATGAATTCACCGCCGCCGAAAAGAGACTCTTCGCTGAACTACTGGTCTTCTGTCCATTAATGATATGAAAATTGTCAGATTCACGAAATGATTCAGTAGCTCTCTGAATATGGAGCTTAAATAGTCGTCTGTGATTTGTGCAGGTAGTTACACTTTATCCACTCATATACTCTTAATGCTTTTATTCTTCTGTTTTCATGTTTTACAATTAATTGTGTTTTTTTCTCCTGTGCGAGTTTATACGTCAAACTGGTAGGAAATAATCATCTACAAAAGGTTGATTTGTAAGGATTAGATTTGCGTTTTTACGAGTTGATCACGGATCGATATCGGTTAGAGAACCACTAAAAACCAGCCACAGGGAGTACTGGACAACCAGCTGTTTCATAACAGCACTCGAGACTCATCGGCAGTACTCACCCACCCCTATGGTTTGAATCCAGGATCTTCCGGTTACAAGGCAAGCTAGCTCGTATACCATTCAGTCCATTGAACCCAATTCAATGGCCAGCCCATGAATTCTAAATTCTAGTGACTTGCTACAGGCCAGAGTTTCCCGGAGTGAGTTCTAGTGAGAAGTCGTGACCAGTGAGGTTCATCCAGTCAAGTGTGAGGATGGATGTCCCACCAATGGCATTAGTTAGTAGTCGCACTAAATCACGAATCGGTATAAGTTAGAATTCATGAAATGATCATTGAATCGGGTCTAGGTGAGTGGCTGAATGGTATACGAGCCAGCTTGCCTTGTAAGTGGAAGTTCCTGGGTTCGAACCCTGGCTGGTGTTGGGTGCGTACTGCTGATGATTCCCAAGCACTAGGATGAAACAGATGGCTATCCAGTACTCCCTGTGGCTGGTTTTCAGTGGTTCTCTAACTGATATCAATCCGTGATCAACTCGTCAATTATTCTAACACTTATATTCTACTACCTAGTAGTCCAGGGAGTGAATTACCACATTAAATGAATTAGATCATTACTCACAGTACATAAGTCCATCACCCGATCAAGATCACTGATATGCGTAGACGTGTGATCGGACTGTAGAGAATATATTCAAGAGACAGATCAGTCTCGGGTAATGCATTCCAGGAAAAAAAGCAGAGTTTATGTTCAGGACTGCCTGCTTATTATCTCAGACGTGTAGTCATCACATACACTGGATAAAAAGTAAGTGGTGACTGCATGTAAAATAAAAATCTGAGTCATGGAATAATACAAACTAACAGTCTCCATATTACTAGTCTGGATTTGCGTAACACCTGCAATCATTACTTACTACACTAATAGTAGTAGTAGTGTGGTGAGAGCAGGCCGTGAGAAAATATGTACAAGGCTGATTTAACAACCAATCACAGCAAAGTTAACGTGGCAAAATATGATTCGCAGATAGAGAACTCTATTTGTCGAGGAATCCCTAAACAACCAATCAGAAGCCTGCGTTTGTCTGTCTAACTTCTGATAAACAACCAATCAGATGACTGCGCTTGTCTACTTGCATAAGCTGTAATAATGTATGTGAAATATATATAAATACGTGTTGATTTCCATAATAAAACGATCTGTTGCCTTGCCCTTGTCTTCTGTTGTTACAGTAGTAGTAGTAGTCGGCTAATCCAATGGTACTCCTAACATTCGTAGCCTAATTGAACAGTTGTAGCCTCATAGTATAAACCTTAGTATACCAATTCGTGATCGTTGTACCGCGCGACCACCAACCAATTTCATCGGTGGGACATGCATTCTCACATTTGACTGGATGAACCTCACTGGTCACGACTTCTCAATAGAACTCCCTTTAGGAAACTTCATCCTGTAGCAAGTCAATCAGTAGCGAGCATCAGATTAATTTTCAATAATCGGTTTTTAAGGATTATATTTGTTTTGACTCATATCAATTCGTGATCAACTCGTAGAAAAGGTTATTTACCTTCAAAAACTTTGGGTTCAATAGAGACGTAATTTAGCTTAACATAGACTCTGTCATAAACAAACATGATTTAATGAGCCCGTAAAGACCAGAAAGAAGTTTAGAAAAACAAATTTAAGCCAACAGTATTGCTTTTTTCAATTAGATCTCATCAGACTCAACTCTAATATACTTACATTACTTTACAAATAAATATTAAAAGTAAGAAAAGACAAACATATTTGCAGGATAATACGAGCTCATTTTACTTTGTGGATTCTCTTCAACTGCACACATCCTAAATAAATCAATTATAAGTTACAAAATAGTGTCTGGGCATACTTTTTACATATTGGCATTGTCATTACCATCAAAAGACTTCGGCCCAATCTATGCATACATAAAGAGAGTGTGGCTACCCAAACTAGTAACCATAATTGTTTTATCCGTGTACTTTTGTGTTGTTTTTTTTACTGTTATATGCAGAACATTCTACTCAGTCTTGATTGGATTTTCACTCACTGAGTTGAACTCATTATTAAGGTTCCAAATTTACTAAACTAAATTGTCTTATATGCGTGAAACTTGGGCACTGTGATCATAAGTAATTCCATATTAATTTTCAAGTGTTGGTTTTGTAGGGATTCGGTTTGATTGTATGGAGGATTTAATCATGAGCTGATATCAGTTAGAGAACCACTGGAAAAACCTGGGAGTACTGGACAGCTGTTTCGTCTTAGTTTGGGACTCCTCAGCAGTACGCACCCACCGGGGTTCGAACCCAGGACCTTCAGGTTACAAGGAGAGCTCGTAGACCATTGAGCCATATTAGTTTGTTTATTAAATGAAGATATCACACGCACAGTCAGTGAAACTGTATTATTACTATTATTATTTACTGGATGACAAAGTTTCGAACAAAATTTATTGCTGAATTCAATAATTAATATGACCCGTTGTGCAAGAGGTGGCTGTCGTGGCCCAAGTCGTCTAGTGGATAACGCTTTGGCGTTTGAAACTATGGGCACTGGGTTCGAGCCTCGGTGAGAACATCATCATCACTCACTGAGAAATGCAGGTACATCCAGCTAGCTGACGAGTTCCAAGTAGGACGAAATGCGTGTTGTCCTGGATTCAACTGCTAGCCACCATCCACCAATTGTATAAAAATTTATTGCTGTTCATATCCATTTCAGCAGTTATAATCACAGGACTTAAAAACTTGAGTTTTATAGTTTTCTTTGTTCTCTCTTATTTGATTATGATATGATATGAACAATAAATTGTGTTCGAAACGTCATCCAGTATACAATACTGTTTCACTGTGTGATACATTTAATAATCAAACTAATATGGAATTACTTAATACCACAGTGCCCAAGTTTTACACATATATTAACATGTCTCTTATTTGTCGTCGTTGGGGTAGTAGAATTTTCTAGCTATCTGGCTGGACGGATGCTTAGTCATTCTAATTACACGTGTTTGCAGTTGATTCGATAAATAAAGCTTCTGTTATAGAGCATAATATCTAAGTAGTACGAAAGAAAATTTAAGACACGATGTGAATCATATAAGAGAAACCTTGAAACTTAATAATTACCCGGATAAATTCGTCAGGAAATATGTAAGGAAATGTGAAAATAAAATAAATAATGATAATAGCGATAGTGATAATAGCAATAAGGAACTTAAATCATCAGTAGTAATTCCATACAAGGAAGGAACCTCAGAAACCACCTTACGCAGAATTCTTAAAGAGGCAAGCAGGAATAAAAGTGGCTGCCATTCAAACCAACCACAAACTCAATTAGAAACAAGCTTTGTCGGTTAAAGGATCAATCCTATGAAGCCGTTTAAATAAAACAATTTAGTTTATCTAATACCCTGTCTGCAATGATTGTCAGGTCAAATACATAGGTCAAACTGGTGGAAAAGGGTCGGTGAGTCAGACTAGCCGAGCATAAAAACCTAGCAGCAAAATCTAGATTAGTTGACGCGAATAAGATCAGAAATCTGGAGAATAGTTCAGCCGTAGATAGCACTACATGCAGTTACACACAGCCATAGGATTACAGTCTTAAAATCCAATGTCACAGCAGGGTGGAGGGAGAGAGATTGATAACGGAAGCTTCATTTATCGAATCAACTGAGAGGGAATATGTGTAATAGGAATGATTCAACACCTGTCCAGTTGGATATGTGGAAAATTCTACTACCACGCCGACGACGACAAATAGGCGAGAACAAAGAAAACTAAAACACTGAAGTTTCGAAGTGGTGTGATTATAATTGATGACATGATTATGAACAATAAGTGAATTGTGTTCGAAACCTTGTCATCCAGTAAATAATAATAATAATAATACTGTTTCACTGACTGTGTGTGTGATATATCCATCTAATAAACAAACTAATATGGATTTTTGAATTGAATTTTTGATTTTCCCGTCGATTGATTGGACCGAAGTGCTCGGTCTCAGGTTGACATGTCGGCTTCTTGTGCAGATGCTTCGACGATGCCTGGGGATTTGATTAGTATACAATTGGTGGATGGTGGCTAGCAGAGGAATCCAGGATGCGCATTTCGTCCTATTTGGGACTCGTCAGCTGGATTTACCCGCATCCATGTACATCCAGCTGATGAGTCCCAAATAGGACGAAATGCGCTTTATCCTGGATTCCACTGCTAGCCACCATCCACCAATGGTATGCAAACTAATATGGAATTAAATTATTTTATCTGTTTTATAATTTTATTTCACTTTCCACCCACTCTCCTGAACTCTACGCCATAATATGTATGAATTAACTCTGCTGTTCTATCTTGTATTTTATCTATAATCCATCCTTGTTTCCAAGAGAAATCTGAATTCCACCCCCCTTTGTCCAATTACTATATAAAGATAGTTACTCTCTTAACACACTAAATAACTGTCTCCTTACGTGATCTTTGAAATTATGTTGCTTATACTTTCTATCTATAGCTCAAATTCATTGTAAAAAGTATGTTTAGACACCATTTTGTAACTTATTATTTGTAATATTACATTGTAATATATATATTTGTAATATTGTTTAAGATGTAGGTACAATCCATGACATAAAAAAAGAGCTCGTATTATCCTGCGAATATGTTCACTCTTTTTATATTGAAACTAATAAAGGGAACCGGCTGTATGAAATATTAAGATACATAAATTATTCATAATAAGTGAAGCAATATGTGATATAAAAAGAATAAAGAAGATCAGCATGATTAAACAAACAAATGTGTTCAGGTACAAGTGGTAGTCGATAAAGGCGAATAAGAAAAACAAATTGACGGATTATGTAATACTAGACTGTAAGGCAAGTAAATGAGACACGTTTTTAATAAAGATGTGATAAGATTAAAGGATGTAAAGAGTATGGGTTTGACAATACAAGCGAGAGGTGATGATGACTTTATCAGTTGGTTGGGTCTTAATAAGCTAACAAGGGAGGGATAATAGTTGTACGAACTTCTTTTGAATGTCTATCGCCTCAGCTAATAATATTAATAATAATAATAGCTTTAAAATAATTAGTCCCTTTGATGAATTTGAATAAGGCATTAAGAAGACAAATTTCGCGAAATGATATCGTCATTTCGTAGTTTCTTTACAACCGCTTTCTGTCTGTCTGTCTGTTTTCGACATAGAACTTTGCACAAATGTGCACCAGTTCAAGTCGCCACACCAAGAGAAGAAAGTACAAGAAAAGCATAATAGAGACAGTAAGCAGAGGTGTGAGACAAAGGAAGAGTAATAACGAGGAACAAAACAGTTTCATTGGAAATCATAAATCACAGGGAGTGGATGCATCTCCTTGTGATCTTCAACCGCTTTACAACTAACATGGTTAACAATAATAAAATAAAATAAAGGGCATGACAATTACTCAGTTAAATAAAAAACACAAAAGTACATACTAATGACCAATCATATTTAAAAGGTCATGTAGTCCAAAGAAAGCTATCTTTATTAACCTACCATTCAAGGGCGACCAGATTATGCAGTTGATAGCTAGCTCAAAGACTTCGGTCAGCCATCAAACGCACATTGTATGCCTCATCTCTTACCCTCATATGCCGAACATTTTCGATCCCTGTACCTACGATTAAAGGATGAAATTCTATGGACTCTACTTCAAACTGTATCCACAAGTTCACCTGCAGCTGCGGTGACACCTATATAGGTAGAACTAACAGAATGTTCCAATGTCGTCGAAAAGAACATGTTCCAAAATGGCTACTAAATCATATCGAAAATCCCAATGCAATTAATCTGAGTAGAAATCTAGCATCACCCATTGCAAAACACTCATTAGTGTCTGGTCACAAAATCAATATTAATGACTGTTTCACAATTATTTCATCACATAACTCTAGCTCAAGGTTGGTTATTGAAGGCGATGGAAGCCCTTTGGATTAATCACAAACAGCCTAAAGTGTGTGTACAGCCAAAACAACAGACTTCAATCTTCGCCTACTATGGACAACATGACCTATTTAAATATGATTGGTCATTATAATGTATTTTTGTTTTTTATTTAACTGAGTAATTGTGATGCCCTTTATTTTATTATTGTTAACCATGTTTTTTTATTACAGCTTGATTCCACACTGTATTTTTGGTACAAGTATGGAATTTTCAGCATGGATATCGGTAGCCCAAATTTTGCAGGCCGACCACAGATATCAGATGTGCTTCGTCGGCAGGGGATCGAACCTCGGACCACGTGTATGGTCGGCGAGAGTCCTAGCCACTGTGCCACCGATGCACAATAACAATAATTGTTAGTTGCAAAGCAGGTGGTAAAGAAACTACGAAATGATATCATCTCGCGAAATTTGTTTTCTTAATGCCTTATTCAAATGATAGCTTCATTATGCACAATAAGTTTACACAATAGACATAATTTTCAGCATAGTTTATTGCTTAATATTAAATCTTCATCCAGGAGTTTCAAGTAAAACAGCCATCTCCAGTGCATCATGTGACGCAGTGATGTTAGATGTGAAGCATGAAATAATCCACTACGGTATTTTTCTTTCGTCCCACAGAAATGCTCAACGATAGGCAACTGCAAACCAATTAAAAATGTGCACAAGTACACTTGGAGACCGCAGGGAAAAAATACCTTAATGAATATAACAACAAGAACTAAAGAAAATAAGATGTTCTGTCTCGGATGGATGTTCACGTAGCTCAGAGATTCAAGTAGGTCTCTATACTATGAGCAGTAGACTATGTCCAACAGACTTCGTATTCAGGATTTCATCATGAGCTGACATTAGTTAGAGAACCATTGGAAAACCTGGGAGTACTGGACAGTTGTTTCGTCCTAGTTTGGGACTCTTCAGCAGTCCGCACCAACCAGGACTTCGTATTCGTGTACTGCACATAGCTGAGGCGATGAGCGTTCAAATTATTAAACCTAAACTATGCAGATTAGCATTCTCTGACCCAGTGACCTAATGATAAATTCTCTACTTGTAACCTGATGGTTTTAGATTTGATCCATTGTAGAATTATGGGTATAGATTGATGAAAATGTTATCCAGCCGGAGAATGACAGCCAATCAGTTAAACTTATCAAATCAGAGAACACGACAATATCCAAAAACAGGTGATTATGTATGTCAGCAGTAACTCATAGGTTAGTGAACATAGTAAAAATGTTGAAGTGAACTAAATAAAACAACAATGGAAGCAAAAAATCAACTTCAAAAACCAACCTGCATCCGATGATTCAGAACTGATAGGCTCCAATGAATAACCATAGGCTAGGAGTGTTTTCACCGTTTCAATTGCTGTATCTCTATAATATATCCATCAAAATGGATGGTATATACAAGAAATTTGATTAACTAGTTTGTAAATATTCCAAAATTTTAAGAAAAAAAATATATACCTGGTGAATGACATAATTCTTTTTAAATAATACCACGACTCAAAGTTGTTCTCACTGGTACAGATGCCTTCGATCCTGATGACCTACGAAATCCACACCTCATCATTCTTACTGTAATTATTCTTTCTGCTAAACATCTCCTTTAATTACAGTTTTTCAGGATACCCAGCAATGTTTCCTGTCGTACTTTACCTTTGAAAGACGTGTCAACTAAAAGTACTTCTAATAATACCAAAACTTTTCCATTATTTATACCTTATTTTTCCGATGTCAAGTGATCCACAATGGAAAACTCAGCGAAGCGTTTGGACTAAACACAGGAGTCAAACAAGGGTCCTTATTATCATCAATGAATGATATTTCAGTGATATTGTGGTGGAATAGGTTATGCATCAGACAGTGGGAAACCAGAAGACAGGGATATCCTGGACTGACCAACGTGAAGAGCCTAGAAGACCTAAATTTCACGCAGAGATGATTTATGTTTGATGTCACACAAAATCGAAGACTTACAAGCGAAAACTGACTGATAAACTGGTCGAAGAAGCAGCCGGCGAAGACAGGACTGCAAGTGAACATGGACAAGATGGAGGTTATAAAAATAACCAACCAATCAACCACCAACAACAGCAGCAACATCCAGCACCAATCACCATCGCAATCGGAGGGATTTGAAACAGGTTACTTCATTCACTTACTTATCTAGCTAGGGAGCATTGTCTCAACTACAGCCAGTCGGAACGGATGAGGATGTCAAATCGAGCGAGAATCGGGAAGGCGGGCGAGAAACACATTCATTCATCAACCTGAAACAACCAATCTGGAAATCTTCGTCACTCAGCCAGAATCAACAACAAAATTCGGTCGGATTTTCAATACAAACATCAAGTCAGTCAGTTCTTCTATACGGAACGGATCATAAACTTGGCGGGCGAGTCACAAAGATTATTTCCGATAGCCTGTTGCAGACCTTCACCAACAACTAACTGTCTTCGCGTCGGTGGCACAGTGGTTAGGACTCTCGCCGACCATGCACATGGTCCGGGGTTCGAGCCCGCACCGACGCACATCTGATATCTATGGTCGGCCTGCAAAATATGTGCTACCGATATCCATGCTGAAAATTCCATACTTGTACCAAAAATACAGTGTGGAATCAAGCTGTAAATCAAAAAGAAAAAAAATCAAAAAAAAAAATTCTGAAGATTCGATGGCCGGGCTGGAAAGAATCGCCGACAAGAATCACTATGGGAACAAACAAACAAACAAACAAAACAAGAACCAATCGCCAACCAACCAACAAATACGCAGGAGAAAGTGGAGATGGATTGGACACTCGCTCGCTGAGGAGGCAGACCGCTGGGTGACATCGCGCGCGCATCAGGCCATTTCTCGAATGGAACCAGGCCGAAAGGGAAGCGGTGAGTGGGACGTCAGTGCAACGGTGGGTGACATGGAGGAGATGGTGTGGAGAGAGAGGAGTTGAAAGAGTATGGACTAAGATGGATGGAGGTGGAAAGTACAGCAAAGAAGAAGACAGAAGCAAGTGGAGACGTGCAGTTGGAGCCCTATGTTCCACTAGGAACCCAAGGGGACAATAATAATAATAATATACCTTATTTAGGGTTCAGGAAAGGCAAGTCATATGCCGATCAAATAGCAACTCTACGCATAGTCATCACAGAACACAGCGTAGAATGGCATTCAAACCTCTCTTCACCTCAACTTCGTCGACTTCGAAAAGACCTTCGACAGTGCGGCTTTGGAAGAGAAGTAATTTAGAAAATACTACAGCACTACAGCGTGAAATACCCATGGCTGAAGAGGCTGGGGCAGCGAAGACAAAACTGCAGGTGATATATAGAGACGACAAAGGTGATGAAGATGATCAACCACTTAACAAAAATAACAGCAACAATCAGCACAATGCACCATCAACGGGAGAAATTCGACAGAGATTAATCCCTTCACTTATCTGATCAGGAAGCATGGTTTCAGCCACAGGTAGCCGGAACAGAGGAACATGTCAAAGCAGGCTAGAGTCGGAAAGGCAAGATACGCCTTCATTAATCTGAAACAACTATGGGAATCTTCTCCACCGTACTCACCCAGCATGTGAACAAGAAGACTCAGATTTCCAACACAAAAGTGAAGTCAGTCAGTCAGTCACTTCAACAGTATGGCTCAGAAACTTGTGCTGCGCGTCACGAAAAATATTTCGAGCAGGCTAGTGCAGCCTTTCGTCAACAGATGCCGACTGCGCTGGCTGGCTGCATACTGAAGATTAAATGGTCAGCCAGCCAGCCAGCCGGCCGGCCAGAAAGAATTAGTAACAAGAAATTCTGGCTGGCAGTAAGCCAACGAAGAGCCAACTGCTCAACAAATATGTAGGAGAAAATTTAGATGGATCGGGCATACATTGAGGATGATATCGTGTTCAATGCAGGCCATCACTAGTGTGGAACCCGAATGAGAAACGGAGAGATGGGCGTGTACCTGAGGGTGACACGGAGGATATCGTGTAATGGTTAGGAGGAGGAGGAGGAGAGAGACAATGGACAGTCATAGGCCTAGCTGCAGAGGACCGGAGAAAATAGAACTAAGTGGAGGTGTGTTGTTGAAGCCCTATATTCCACTCGGAACCCAAAGGAACAGTAATAATAACAAAGATATAATCTGTAAAAAAAAACCTACTTGTTCGACTGCTGAATAATTGGATCCACCTCACTGAATGGTACTAAGTGTGGACTTCGTTTCTGTGAATTATCCTATGGAAGGAAGTAGATAATTAATTAAATATGTACGTTAAGGGATTTTGTCAAAAGATGTTATTAATTACTTGTCAAATATTTGTATTATTGATGTAATTGGTTGATGATTGAAGGTGATATGAAAATCTACACCGTGGCTGCATTCACTTGTAACAAAAATCCAACTATAAAACAATACTGGAAACCATTGATAGAGTTTAGACACGGCCAATCAGCTTACTGTCAAGTCATTCAACCATACATGGATTAATCTAAACTATGAGAATGAAAATCTTTTTTGTGGGCTGGTGAACAACTAATCGACATGATTTGATGTGATTGTGTTCTCTGAGATGGATAGTTAATTTGAGAAGCTTTCATTGCCCCCTACTAAGCAAGATTTTCAGTGCATACTTCAATTTCATGAAGTGAGCTTTTAGATTTCTCCATGAGTTTATCAATCATCTCTCCTGGTGGGTCACCTTGAACAATGTGACTGGTTGTTTTTGTGTGTTTTCACACCTTCTAGGTTACTTGTATTGTTTCTTTGACCTGAACTTTGACCCTTTGTGTATGAAATTTCCTTCCTGTTGATTGGTAAATTTTATCCATCTCTATGTGTCTATTGATTGATGATTCACTGGAATACCAGGCTGGCTTCTAAATATTCTCTAGCATTCTTAATGTTTCCTCTGTCTAATATTTCAACGTTGTCCCAGTCGAACTGATGTTCGCGGTTGTCTGTATGCAGTGATATGAGCGAGGGAGTGAATATCATGTCTTTTGAAGGCTAAGTTATGTTCATGGATATGAAGACGAAGGGAACGTCCACTTTGGCCAATTTAGTTAGTGTTTTTTGCAGTTGTTACAATTGATTTTGTAGATGATGTTGGTTTTATCTTCTTTCATTGTTGAGTCTTTTGGTTGAAATAGAGCCAGCCAGCTGAGGGCTGAAGTCATTTTGTTGGTTTATGTGGGACGTCAGTTCCTAAAGGTTTGAAGAGTCTTGTAATGATTTCTGAGATATCTTTGATATATGGTAGGGCAGTTTTCTTTGTGCTTTCCTTGGGTGCTTTTGATTTGGTAGATTGCCTTGGTGGTAGATGTCTTTTGATAAAGTTCTGTGGGTATCCATTCTTTTGGAAGACGTATGTAAGATAACTTTCTTCAATTTTCCTTCAGGTTGGAGTGCTGCAATGAGTTCTGGCCTTCTTGAATAGTGTTTGTATACAATTCCTTTTGTGTGTTATTTTATAGTTGCTGTTGTAATTCAGTATTAACTATTCACAGTGATTTGATGAAATCAGATGATAGTTGGAGGCAATCGGCCACAGGAAGCCTTGAACCTGGATGATGGTGGCCACATTGCAAACCTGACTAACGATAGAATTCAGTCTGTACCAAAGAAAGGACTAGACACGTCACACTAGTTGCTAGTGTACAATCAAAATACCCACTACAGTCCAACAGGAGGTCAATCGCGAGCCCGCATAGTTCAGTTGTAACATCTCTGACTGCAGCACTCACTGGGTGACGCGGGTTCGAATCTCAGAAAGGACATGATTTCCTTCAAGGCGGCAGATACGCCCTGCTGACTAGTGAGGAGTGGCAACTAGCACGAAACCTAGGTGATGTCCAAGGCTTCCTGTGGACGATTGCCTCCAACTACCTAATATCATGATATTAGTAATACATCAAGCCAAAGTCATCATTTATATAAACGGCACAGTTTGACAGGAATGAGAATTCCCCACACCACCATTCATCAAATGGGTTACAATATGAATATTATTATTATTATTTCCTTTGATTCCTAGAGGAACATACGGCTTCAGCCGTGCGTCTTCATTGCGCTCGAATCTCTGCTAAAGTTTTCACCTGCCTTCAAGTCTACCCACATGCTTTCATCTCCTCTTCACATCAGCTCCTCAAAGTCACCCTTTCGGGTTCCACTCGAGCAATGGCTTGTCTAGTGATGTCACTGACTTGATGTTTTCCTCAGAGTATGACCAATCCATCTCGATTTCTTCCTGTCCATTTGTTGCACAATCGGTTACTGCTGAGTTGGTTCGCTCCCAGAGATCCCTGTTGCTGATCTTTTCTGGCCGGCCATCTGATCTTGAGTATTGAGCGAAGACAGCTGTTAATGAAGGTCTGTAGTTTGCTTGAGATGCTCTTTATGACGCGTAGTGCAAGTCTCTGATCCGTATAGTGAGTAGCACTGACTGGCTTCACATTGGAGTTGAAAATCCGGATCTCATTTTGATGCTGAGTACTGTTGACCCCCACACAGATATATATATATATATATATAGTATGAATATAACTATAGTTAAATTTTTTATCCTTTACTGTGTGCTTGTTATTATTCAAAAGGGAAGGTGAAGTATCGACTTTTGCATTACTTACCTCAACAAAACCATAAGTCCAACCCAATGCAATGCGATCACGTGCCCACATATTATGCGTATTCTCAGCCAACTGGTCAACTAATGTCTCTAAACGTATAGATAAACGTATCTGGGATAGATCAAGCGGTTGAGGTTTATAACCATTCGATTGAGTGAAACTGTTAAAGGAATGAATGAAAGAAAGAGGAAAATAAAGAGAAAATATAATACGAATAATATTGATCAAATCCTTTTTGTCAATATGTTACGTAATCAAGATACTTAGTTTAAAATTGTTATTAATGAAAACAAAACACGTAGTGTTCAGCGAAGAGTCTCTTTTCGGCGATGAATTCATTTACTTAACTGTACAGTCGCAAAATATATATATATATATATGGGTTATTTTGTATGTATGTGTAGATCAGCTCACTTGTTGCTGTGGAGCCAGGTACATCGGTCGTTCGATGGGTATCCTTTCCAAGAGGATTCAAGAACTCTATGCAGCATGGTTGCGGTAATTGAACACCTGGTTAACACTGGTCATTACATCTCAACAAACCCCTTCCTCCTCAAAGTAATCCACAGAGTCATGAATAAACTACCAAAAGCAATACGGTTTCGTCTTTTTCTGTATTTCCGAAGCACTGGACATTCAGTCATTTAGTAGCTTGAAAATCCCCATTGAGTTATATGAAAAAGAGAAGACGTTCAGCGAAGAGACTCTTTTCGACGGCGAATTCATTCACATCGCAGCTGTACAATCGCATTTATATATAATTATTTGTGTGTGGGTGTACATGAGGTTTGTCAAGTTTGGATAATTCATCAGGTAATAAAAGAAATAGAAACAAGGTTAATTAGACAGCAACTAAAGTAAGATTGAGTTAGTAAGTTAGATGACGTAATATAATTGACTAAAATGTTTCAACTTATGTCAGAGTAGCAACAGATGGAATTACAGGTAGAGACTAAGTACAAGTGGGATAGAGAATAATGCCATTTAAATTAGAACTGAAATTGAAGAATTAAGTTGGATGACGTAACATAAATGACTAGAAATTGAGCGTTGGTCAAAGTGGTTTTACAAAGGAGAAAAACGATGCCTCCACAGCTCCATCTTAGAACATCTGATACAATCCGGACATCAAGCTACACCCCAAATAAACTTCAAAGTTGTCTACAGGGTTAGAAGTAGTCTTCCTAAAGGTGTACGAATCAGACTTCTTCAAACCGCAGAAGCAATGGCGATTCACTTGCTAAGTCATGAACTCTGCATAAAGAAGAAGTTCGTTCAGTCATTACACTTGCAATGGACGTAATCTATCTTATTATCCGACAAGTAAATTCTACCTAATCTTTTTTCTCTTCTGTCTCTGCATTCGTATTATTTTATCTTATCAATTGTAACATTTTACACTTTCAACCTTCTTGTTCTCAACTCCCACCCTACTTAATTTCTACACTTCACTACCACTGTTACTGACTTGACCGACACCCAATTTCTAGTCATTTATGTTACGTCATCCCCCTCTACCTGTAATTCCATCTGTTGCTATCCTGACCTACGTTGAAACATTTTAGTCAATTATATTAAGTCATCTAACTTATTTACTCAATCTTACTTTAGTTGCTGTCCGATTAACCTTGTTTCTATATTAGTGCGTCGGTGACACAGTGGTTAGGACTCTCGCCGACCATGCACATGGTCCGGGGTTCGACCCCTCGCCGACGCACACCTGATATCTATGGTCAGCCTGCAAAATTTGGGCTACCGATATCCACGCTGAAAATTCCATACTTGTACCAAAAATACAGTGTGGAATCAAGCTGTAATCAAAAATAAAAAAAAGTAAAATAATTTTTGTATTAAACATGTCCAAACCAAGTTCACTTTTAACGGTTTGAAAAATTTCAGCATTGGGTATATGATATTCATTATATAATAGAGGTTTTTGTATTTCCCAATGAATGAAAAACAAAACGATATTGTTTTTACTGACGTTTCGCTATTTAATGCCAATAGCTTTCTCAAAGTATTATTAAACCGGAATTTACAAAATCCACTCAGCATATATATAACAAAGAGTTAGAGGGTGAGAAAAAATATAGACTTAGTTCAACTTAAGGGAAATATTGAAAGTCAAAATAACAATGAAGATAGTTCAAACCAAATATCAAAGGTAATAGTATATCTGTTATTATATCAAAACAAAGTTTACTAAGTTGATCATCTTTCGTTAGTCTGGGGTCATTTTTGGTTGTCAAGTTGGAGAATTGGTAAAGATAACAAAACGAATCAAGTATTTCACAATCTACACTTAGTTTTGTTATCTTTACCAATTCTCCAACCTGACAACCAAAAATGAACCCAGACCAACGAACGATGATCAAGTTAGTAAACCTTGTTTTGATATAATAACAGATATACTATTATGAGTTGATCATGGATTGATATCAGTTAGAGAACCATTGAAAACCAGCCACAGGGAGTGCTGGATAGCCAGCTGTTTCATCCTAGTTTGGGAATCATCGGCAGTGCGCACCCACTGGGATTCGAGCCCAGGACCTTCCGGTTACAAGGCCAGTGAGCTCGTACACCATTCAGCCACTCACCGGGACCCGATCCAATGGCCAGTCCATGAATTCTAACTTCTACCAATTCGTGATTTAGCGCGACAGGCACCAACCATTGTCGTTGGTGGGACATCCATCCACACACTTGACATCTAATTGAACCTCACTGGTCACAACTTCTCACTAGAACTCCAGGAAACTCCAACCTGTAGTAAGTTACTAGCGTTAGAATTCATGAGCCATTGAATCGATTCCCAGTGGCTGAATGGTATACGAGCTCACTGGCCTTGTAACCGGAAGGTCCTGGGTTCGAATCCCAGTGGGTGTGTACTGCCAATGATTCCCAAACTAGGATGAAACAGCTGGCTATCCAGTACTCCCTGGTTTTCAATAGTTCTCTAACTGATATCAATCCGTGATCAACTCGCAAAAACATAACAAACCCTTACAAACCAAACTATAGAAGATATACTATTACCTTTGATATTTGGTTTGAGCGATATTCATTGTTATTTTGACTTTCAATATTTCCCTAAGTTGAACTAAGTCTTTATTTTTTCTCACCCCCTAACTCTTTGTTATGTATATGCTGAGATTTTGTAAATTCCGGTTTAATAATACTTTGAGAAAGCTATTAGCAGCATTAAATAGCGAAACGTCAGTAAAAACAACATCGTTTTGTTTTTCATTCATTGGAAATACAAAGAAACTTTATTATTACGAACATTTGTGTATTGCCTGATGAATTATCCAAACTTGACGAACCTCATCTACACCCACACACAAATAATTATGTATAAATGCGATTGTACAGCTGCGATGTGAATGAATTCGCCGTCGGAAAGAGTCTCTTCGCTGAACGTCTTCTCTTTTTTCGTACAAGTCATTTACACAAAGATTGGAAACCTTATTTCCGGTCACCCGACATTTGGTCTATCTTCAAGAAAATGCTCCGTGTAAGGTAATACCTTAAGAAGCATACACAGTCTGAAGTCACTCAAACCATACCCCTTTACAATTTGTTAACTCGTGAATTTCACCTATTGTACTTTACTGCACAACCCACAACTTAGTTTTTTCCTTGTCTACTGAAAAAGGACTCTGTCATTTTGAGAATGGAATTAACAATCGTTGTTAGTAGGGCAAGTGATGTACAACTTAGTCAACTTGTCAATACACAAGTTGGTAGATACGTAAACTCAGGACAGAAATAAACTGAATGTCAGAAAAATTAGAAGAGATAATATTACAAATTCATGAATTCAAAGTCTCTACTGAAGGCCAGGCAGGGCAGTAGTAGTTGTTGGACTTGTTTCTTTTGCAAACAAAGCACTGGTCGTTTCATGCGAATCACAATAGCCTCTGCTGTTTCGAGTATGTGGTATGTCAATGCTTTTGACAATTTATTCGCCACCCGGTAGATAATAGAGAAGGATTTTTCAATGCTAGCTGGCTTTGTGACCGGCCGATTTGGATCAGATGGTCTAATATATAACTACTAATGGTTTTCACTACACCTTTACTTAGCCATACTGGGAGTTCCTAGAGCAACAGCCAATATAACTCTCTCCACCACAAGAGCAGTTGAATTGGTAGATACAAGTGGAGGTGACTGGCTTGTCTAGGTACTTCATCTTTCAGCCGAGGAATCACCATCGGTCATGTAAAGAATAAGACGTGTAGTTTTTCAGCATTAAAAATTCTTTGAACTGATTTTCTTAATTTTTATCGTAATTATTTTGTGGCGTCTTATGTATAAAGGCTTCTTCTTTAACACCAATTTCCTGGGTGACTTCACCACGATATACTACTTATGCATAATATTACAGTAATATGAAGGCTTTTCTTGGAAAGATAAGACACTGAATCTTTGCGTAAATTTATAGGAAAGAAGCGATATAGTTCAAGGAAAATAGCTTCATTATTCTCTTTTCCTATTAAACGTCAGTGAAAAAATAAGCAATTTACCACATTGCTATTATCATTTGGCTTTTTAAACGATCTTAGCTACGGTGTCTGGGAATACCAGTTACTGCATCACAGACAATAATAACAGTGCATCGGTAGCACAGTGGTTAGGACTCTCGCCGATCATGCACATGGTCCAGGGTTCGATTCTCGCCCACCGACGCACTTCTTTAACTCGCCAAACCATAAATAAAGCTGATAAATAGGAGAGATCGGGCATGAGACAAAGCTAGCAACCCTATCCTATAAAAATAATAAAACACCACTGCTACAGAAACTTCAAGCCTCTAGCTTGAAGGTGTTCTATGTTTCACTGGGAATGTGAAGGAAAAAAAACTATCAGGGGGAAAATATTACTCAGGTGTATATGCTGATGATGATGATGAGGAGGAGGAGGAGAAGGAGGGTGGAATGGCTTACCTGTTTGACAGTTTCATTGTACGCATTCTCGTGCCTTCAGGCAATGGTTCATAGGTGATATTATAACCTAAGCCAACAATTGTTCTCAATGTTTCGTAGGCAAGTGTTACATTGTATTGTCTATCAGATGGTGGAAGTTTATCAAATGTTGTCAAGCATGGATGTAAACCATTTTGATCATCACGACGCTTTGCATAGAAAGTAAAAGCCAAGCAGGAAGGAAAGAAATACGAAAAGACGTAAAGCAACAGATCACTCAAATACGCTTCTCATGTAAACAGGCAAAAAAAAAAAAACAAAATAGGTCGAATATAAAAACAAAAATGTTAAAAGCGAAGTTGTTGATTAGTAAAACATCTATGAGATTTTAAACTTGATTATCAAACTCAAATCATTTTGAAAATTTCTGTAAACTATTACTCAGTACTGGATGGTTGTTTCATCTTATTTTTAGGGCTCTTCAACAGTAGGCATCCATGAATTAATATTCACGTCAAACATGACATGACAAATCACAAATCAGGTCCGCTGACTATTTAGCCATTGGGATCTGTCTGTCTGTCTGTCTGTTTTCGACATAGAACTTTACACAAATGTGCGGAAGTTCAAGTCGCCACATTCCGTGTAGCACGCGAAGCAAGAGAAGAAAGTATAAGAAAAGCATAATAGAAACAGTGAGCAGAGGTGTGAGACAAAGGAGGAGTAATAAAGAAAAACAAAACAGTTTCATTGGAAATTATAAGTCACAAGGAGTGGATGCATCTGCACTAGCCACTGAGAACGATTTTGAGCCATGTCACCAATTGTTTCCAGCCATAGATTTTTACCGTCCCGAGGAACCCAGCCTGGAAGTCTACACCTTCCTACGTGGCTTAGACCAACTGTTGTGGATTTCATTGACTGGTGCAGCCAAGATTTTGTTTGACCGCCGCTAGCTTTTTACCAGCCTGACCCTATATCCGCTAACATAGCTCATCGAGGGAGGCGATGTCTAGGCATACGTAACACATGTCCTAACCATCTCAGTCTTTGTAGCTTCACGACTTCGTCGATTGATTTCCCCTGTTTACCTAGAACTCGACGCCTAACCTCCATGTTGCTCACCTTATTATGCCACTTTACACGGGAAATAGAACGCAGGCACCTATGATCAAAGACAGCTAGTCTTTTCATGTCTTCCACTCTCAGTGGCCAGGTCTCACAGCCATGAAGGAGGACGGAGCGGACTGATGAGCAGTACATCCGCCCTTTGGTCGATAGTCGAACATCTCGTCTACGCCAGAGTCGGCGTAATCTGGAATATGCGAAACTAGCCCTCTGTATCCTCAATGAGATTTCGTCAGAGATCAACCCGTTGGCACTGGCTGATGGTACTTCCCAAATAAGTGAAGCGGTCAACGTGCTCTACCACTTCACTCCCTATTTTTAAACTAGGCGTCGATGTAGTCCAGTCCTGTAACATCATCTTGCATTTGGCGGGAGCGAATCGCATGCCAAACATCCGTAGATTGCTGTTCAAGGTGTTTAGAAGACTCTGCATTTTGTCAGCGTCCTCGCCTAGAAGGACTATATCATCTGCATATTCCAAGTCAACGAGATTTAGTAGTTCATTGTGAACACAGCTTGGAACGGCAATCACCCATCTACCTAAACTTCATTGACTTTGAAAAAAGGCCTTCGATAGAGTCGATAGAGAGGTGATTTGGCAACTACTTCGCCACTACCAAAGGGCTCCGCCAATAATCATACATCTCATCCAATAGTTGTACGACAATGCTGTGTGCCAAGTAATCGTCAACGGGAAACCCAAAGAATCCTTCGAAGTGAAGATGGGAGTAAGACAGGCTGGCTGCCTACTATCTCAAATGATTTTCCTGATTGCGATAGACTGAATAATTTGAAAGACAGCAGGCAGCGAGGAAATAGGCATGCAGTGGATTCAAACAAAAAACTTGGAAGATCTGGACTTCGCCAATGATAAATGTCTGAGATCTACAAACTTGAGGATATGCAAGTGAATATTAACAAGTTGGCAGAAGAAGCATCCACAGAAGATAGGACTTACTTCAGGTGAATATAAGGAAAACGAGGTTGGTGAAAATTCCCGGCCAGCAGATAGCAATTAGCATAGACAGGAGAAATCTGAAAGAAGCAACCTCCTTTACCCACCTGGGAAGCATCCTCTCAACTAAAAGCGGACGGAACTGATGAGGATGTCAAAATGAGGATCGGGAAAGCAAGGCAAGCTTTCATTACTATCAAGTTTGTATCGAGATCAACAGCACTCAGCATAAAAAAATAAGATCTGGATTTTCAACTCCAATGTGAAGTCAGTACTACTTCATGGATGAGAGACTTGGCGCCTCTAATAAACTACAGACCTTCGTCAACACCTGTCTTCGCCCAATAATCAAGATCAGATGGCCAGTAAACATCAGCAGTAGTTAGGGATCTCTGTCAATGAGCGAACCAACCCAGCAGGAACCAGCTTTGTTACAAATATGCAGGAAGAAATGGAGGTGGATTGGCCATACTCTGAGAAGACAAACTATCAAGTGAATGACATCACACACCAGCCTCTCTCTCTCTCACTCGAGTAGAACCCGAATGGGAAGCGACGAGTTGGTCGTCGATGCGAGGGTGACATGGAGGAGGTGGCGTGAAGAGAAGATGAAAATATGTGGAGAGATGTGGAGCCAGATGAAAACGTTGGCGGAGAAGGTAACGCAATAGAGACGTGTAACTGAAGCCATATGTTTCTCTAGGAACTCAAAAAAGCAATCATAATAATATACAGAAGGATGAAAAGACCAGTTTCCTGCATTCAGGCCACAAAAAGTCGGTATTAGTTGTTACACTTGATGTATTGTGGAATGCCAATAAAAGAAACTTAAACTCCGGTGAATAAAAAACCCAAGTTATATCTGTTACGCAATTGATTGGGAACACAAAATCACCAGAGGTTGTCATTATATTATTGTCTGCTGATTAGATTCCAAGTCTGTCTGTCTGTTTTCGACATAGAACTTTGCACAAATGTGCGGAAGTTCAAGTAACCACACGCCGTGTAGCACGCGAAGCAAGAGAAGAAAGTATAAGAAAAGCATAATAGAAACAGTGAGCAGAGGTGTGAGACAAAGGAGGAGTAATAAAGAAAAACAAAACAGTTTCATTGGAAATTATAAGTCACAAGGAGTGGATGCATCTGCACTAGCCACTGAGAACGATTTTGAGCCATGTCACCAATTGTTTCCAGCCATAGATTTTTACCGTCCCGAGGAACCCAGCCTGGAAGTCTACACCTTCCTACGTGGCTTAGACCAACTGTTGTGGATTTCATTGACTGGTGCAGCCAAGATTTTGTTTGACCGCCGCTAGCTTTTTTCCAGCCTGACCCTATATCCGCTAACATAGCTCATCGAGGGAGGCGATCGATGTCTAGGCATACGTAACACATGTCCTAACCATCTCAGTCTTTGTAGCTTCACGACTTCGTCGATTGATTTCCCCTGTTTACCTAGAACTCGACGCCTAACCTCAATGTTGCTCACCTTATTATGCCACTTTACACGGGAAATAGAACGCAGGCACCTATGATCAAAGACAGCTAGTCTTTTCATGTCTTCCACTCTCAGTGGCCAGGTCTCACAGCTGGTCATGAAGGAGGACGGAGCGGACTGATGAGCAGTACATCCGCCCTTTGGTCGATAGTCGAACATCTCGTCTACGCCAGAGTCGGCGTAATCTGGAATATGCGAAACTAGCCCTCTGTATCCTCAATGAGATTTCGTCAGAGATCAACCCGTTGGCACTGGCTGATGGTACTTCCCAAATAAGTGAAGCGGTCAACGTGCTCTACCACTTCACTCCCTATTTTTAAACTAGGCGTCGATGTAGTCCAGTCCTGTAACATCATCTTGCATTTGGCGGGAGCGAATCGCATGCCAAACATCCGTAGATTGCTGTTCAAGGTGTTTAGAAGACTCTGCATTTTGTCAGCGTCCTCGCCTAGAAGGACTATATCGTCTGCATATTCCAAGTCAACGAGATTATTCCTGGTAGCAAGTCAATCCCTGAGTCGCTGAAGTCACCTAGGGTTCAGTCCATTAGTACATCTATGATGAAGTTGAATAGAAATGGGGATAATGGGCATCCTTGACGGACACCACTATTCGTCACCAGTTCAGATGACAACTTGCCGTAAGCCCTCACCTGGCTGTATGAGTACGAGTAGAATGCCTTAATCAGTGCAATGCATTTTCTCGGCATTCCTTTTACAGCCAAGCATCTCCAGAGAACTTCTCGATCGACAGAGTCGAATGCTGCCTTTAGGTCAAGAAATATAATGACTGTTGGACGCCGGTAGGAATCCCTATGTTCAAGAATCTGACGGAGGGTGAAGATATGATCAATACACCCTCTTCCTGGTCTAAAGCCTGCCTGGCTCTCTCCTGTTTGTGCCTCTCGAGCACCACTTAGTCTAGGCAAATAGGCTTCATCAGCTAGTCTCCATTGTATTCTGTTCCCCAACATCTTCTTTAGATAACTCCAAGGCTGCCAACAGACTTTCAATTTCTCTTCATTTGACATCAAGGGTTAACGTAACTTATATTTTATTTTAACGTTTGTCTAATGTCTTTTTTAGACTATCGTTGTATGTTAAATGAAGGACAAAACGAAAGTTCAGTTTCACAGTGCATTCAACTTGCTGATATAAGTATAAAGGAAGGCATTTACGTTGAAAAGTAATGCTTCCTAGCCTGTTCGAATGGATATAGGCACTTGATGGCGACAGTTACGCTCTTTTTGAACCAAGCTCATCAGAGAGGTACCCAGTTTGATTCTAGAAGTACAGTCTCTTTATGAAGTGTATTCCTGGTAGTTATACTTTACAAATACATATGCATATATATTTCAACACAGTTTGATGATAAGCAGTATAAGTCTTTATTATCAGAACACCCTATTACATTTAATTGTCAGTATAAATTAGGAATTTACTTTTTGACTACTTTTATTGTTAATCAGTAGGCAAAATTATCTTCATGAATTTAAATCAGATTATACTCACTTCACCATATTTCCAGCCTTGATCAATTTTGCGCATTGACCACATTTCATGTAAATTTTCTGCTAATCTATCACGAACAATTTCCACGTAATTTGGTAATTGTATCTATATGAAGAAAATAATTAACAGGCAACTATCATAATGAAGGATAATTATAATAATGTTGAAAGGAGTATAGAACATCAACTTGATTTCATTATAGAAAAGGGCATCATTATGTAATAGAGTATGACTGTGAGAATTTTATCAAGTAACATTATTCTATGGTGATATGGTGTTATAATCTACAACACTTTCTCCACTGGTTAGTGGATTTAGTGTTAATACATTAGATGTAACATTAGACACCAATCCTCCAGCGAAAGCTGAAGTCTTGAATGCAATCAAGCGTCTGAAAGCTGGAAAAGCGGTTGGACCACATGAAACACCCCCTGAAGCACTGAAATCGCACCCAGAGGTGGCAGCAGATATGCTGACTCCATTATTGCAAAAGATCTGGAAGGAGGGAAAGATGCCTACCGACTGGAGGAAAGGTTACCTCGTGAAACTACCAAAGAAGGGCGACTTACGTCTCACTCTGCAAGAACTGGCGAGGAATCATGCTCCTGTCGACGCCAAGTAAAATCCTGAGTCGCATCATCCTGGAGAGATTAAAGGACGCACTGGAGACAGAACTCCGACCAGGACATGCTGGATCAAAAAAGGTAGATCATGTTCCAACCGAATTGCAACTCTACGCATCATCATCACAGAACAAAGCATGGAATGGAAATCAAACCTCCACCTCAACTTTATAGACCTTGAGAAGGCCTTCGATATCGTTGACCACGAAGTAATCTGGAAACTACTCGAGTACTACGACGTACTCCAAATATTCATCAACCTTATTCAACAGCTGTACGACAATGGAACATGTCAAGTGATCCACAACAGAAAACTCAGCGAGGCGTTTGGAGTAAACACAGGAGTCAGACAAGGGAGCTTGTTTATTATCACCAATGATATTCCTAATTGTGGTGGACTGACTGGATTATGCGTGAGACAGTGGGGAACGACAAGAGAAACAGGGATATCATGGACTGACCAACGTGAAGAACCTAGAAGACCTGGATTTCGTGCGTGGATGATTTATGTTTGATGTCACACAAAATCGAAGACTTACAAGCGAAAACCGACCGACAAGCTGGTCGAAGAAGCAGCCGGCGAAGACAGGACTCCAAGTGAACATAGACAAGACGGAGGTTATGAAAATAACCAACCAATCAACCAACAACAACAGCAGCAACATCCAGCGCCAATCACCATCGCAATCGGAGGGATTTGAAAGAGGTTACTCCATTCATTTATCCAGCTAGGGAGCATTGTCTCAACTACAGCCAGTCGGAACGGATGAGGATGTCAAATCGAGCCAGAATCAGGAAGGTGGGCGAGAAACACATTCATTAACCTGAAACAACCAATCTGGAAATCTTCGTCACTCAGCCAGAATCAACAACAAAATTCGGTCGGATCTTCAATACAAACGTCAATTCGCTTCTTCTATACGGATCATAAACTTGGAGGGCGGGCGGGTCACAAAGAATATTTCCGTCAGCCTGTTGCAGACCTTCATCAACAACTAACTGTTTTCACTGGCTCTATACTGAAGATCAGATGGCCGGGCCGGAAAGAATCACCAACAAGAAGAAACTATGGGAACAAACAAACAAACAAACAAAACAAGAACCAATCGCCAACCAACCAACAAATACGCAGGAGAAAGTGGATTGAGATGGGCTGGACACTCGCTCGCTGAGGAGGCAGACCACTGGGTGACATCGTGCGCGCATCAGGCCATTTCTCGAGTGGAACCAGGCCGAAAGGGAAGCGGTGAGTGGGACGTCAGTGCAAGGGTGGGTGACATGGAGGAGATCGTGTGAAGAGGAGTTGGTTGAAAGAGTATGGACTAAGATGGATGGAGGTGGAAAGTACAGGAAAGAAGAAGACAGAAGCAAGTGGAGACGTGCATTTGAAGCCCTATGTTCCACTAGGAACCCAAGGGAACAATAATAATAATGGCGATTAGAAGAATGTGGTCAAAGAAAGAATAATGCCGAATAAGATATCGTGGTATTTTAAGGTCTGACAGATTGAACGACTGAGTTTCAACGAATAACGTTACACAAAAATGCCCTAGTTCAACTTGACAAACTTCATTTAGCATAAAAAGGTTGAGGAAGAGATTCTAACGAACTAAAATCAACTGATACGTAGAGAAGAAAGAAAAATTACACAGCGAATCACAGGGATTTAATGAATAAGGAAGATTAATATTATTAATGTTCCCTTGGGTTCCGAGTGGCACATAGGGATTTAATAACACATCTGTACTTTGTTCTATTCTTTGCTGTCCTCTTCAGGTGTTGAGCCACACGATTGTCCATAATCTGTCATCTCCTCCTCCTCCTCCTAATACTATCTCCTCCATGTCACCCTCGCAACGACCACCCACTCGTCGCTTCCCATTTGGAGTCCACTCGAGAAATGGTCTACTCGCGCGCTATGTCATTCAACGACTACCTCAACGTATTCCCTATCCATCTCCGACTCTGGCGTAGACGAGATGTTCGACTATCGACCAAAGGGCGGGTGTACTGCTGATCAGTCCGCTCCGTTCTCCTTCATGACCAGCTGTGAGACCTGGCCACTGAGAGTGGAAGACATGAAAAGACTAGCTGTCTTTGATCATAGGTGCCTGCGTTCTATTTCCCGTGTAAAGTGGCATAATAAGGTGAGCAACATTGAGGTTAGGCGTCGAGTTCTAGGTAAACAGGGGAAATCAATCGACGAAGTCGTGAAGCTACAAAGACTGAGATGGTTAGGACATGTGTTACGTATGCCTAGACATCGATCGCCTCCCTCGACGAGCAGTGTTAGCGGATATAGGGTCAGGCTGGAAAAAAGCTAGCGGCGGTCAAACAAAAACTTGGCACCAGTCAATGAAATCCACAACAGTTAGTCTAAGCCACGTAGGAAGGTGTAGACTTCCTGACTGGTTGGGGTCCTCGGGACGGTAAAAATCAATGGTTGGAAACAATTGGTGACATGGCTCAAAATCGTTCTCAGTGGCTAGTGCAGATGCATCCACTCCTTGTGACTTATAATTTCCAATGAAACTGATTTGTTTTTCTTTATTACTCCTTTGTCTCACACCTCTGCTCACTGTTTCTATTATGCTTTTCTTGTACTTTCTTCTCTTGCTTCGCGTGCTACACGGAATGTGGCGACTTGAACTTCCGCACATTTGTGCAAAGTTCTATGTCGAAAACAGACAGACAGACAGTTTCTCCAGTACATATTTTTTGAGCATCCAAGAGCAATAGGCTCTTGCTTGTTGGTTTGTCGCCAGCGAGAGTTTCTTGTTGTTAATTCTTTCTGTCCGGCTGGCTGACCACTTGTTCTTCAGTATGAAGCTAATCCGGAGAAGGCAGCCGCTGATAAAGTTTTGTAACTTTTTGAAAATCCTTTACGCGACAAGCTGGCCAACTTTTTGACCCGTATTGAAGATTGCATATACAGAATAAATCTGTGCAACTGAAAATGATTTTGAACTATATCAACAATAGTCTCCAGCCACTGGGTCTTAACATCCCAAAGACCCCAGCCAGGCAGTCAAAGCCTTCCTACATGGCTAAAACCGACAGTTATAGACTTCATGGATTGGTATCTTGTAATGACCTGACTACCCTGTATATTCATCCAATCTGTTTTTATATCACCTAAGATTGCTCGACGAGAACGGTAATGGGTTTCACAGAGCGTAACACATAGTCTGGCCTCCTGATTCAATGCAGCTTTATAACCTCATTGATTGAACTTCCCTCCCCAATCTAACTCTCTATCTCTAGGCTAAATATACTCACCATATTATTCGAGTTAACAGGAAGACAGAATGCAGACACCTATGGTTGGGGACAGCTAGGCTATTCAAATCTTCCATTTTCAAAGACCAAGTCTCACAGCAGCGAAGAAGGACAAACAGTACTGCTCACAGTAATGTGAAAAGGAACTTCATATTTAGAAACAAGGATCAGTTATTTTATAGATACTCTAGGTACGCTATTGTTCTACGTTCTCTAAATTTCGTGACATTTGTTTTTATTACAACCTTCATCAGTTCATAAGTAGATTTTTTCCGTGACGATTAGTGTGATCGCGCAACTGAATAATATGTGATAGAAACAACCCATTATATTGTTATCATGCTCAATTTGTTACTCATAAACTGTCTCTACTTATTTCCAACTAAATGGCTGAAAGATAGTGGTTTTCGTTACTTGATAGTGCGTCTGCATGACCACCAGGCTATTATCAGTTTTTATACGTACCAACCTAAGTCTCAAACTTAATTAGTCCCTTTTTATTAGGACCATGAGAAAGAAACTGGTTTTTTTTTCACTCAAATATTACAGAAACCTTTATTTCATGTGAATATTCCGTAATATGGGAGAATTGTAGTTTAATACATGTGGGCAGATACTGTATGTTGGTGGCATACGGTAGAATACTCGCCAACCACGCTTCATGTGGTTCGGAGTTCGATCCCCGGCCACTGACGCACTCCTTTACCTCACTAAGTCAGTAGTTAGACTGGTAAAAAGGGAAGATTGGGAATGAGGTCAGCAGCAACCCCATCCCATAGAAATAAATACCACTGCTACAGAAACTTCAAGCCCCTAGCTTGAAGCCTTTTGTTCCACTGGGAACGTAAAGGAATTAAAAAATTGCAAATGTTATTACATTCCCAGCACAACATTTATCAAAACATCTTACTGACGAGAGCCAGAAAGCACGAAACTTAGATCAAGGCTTTCTCTAGATTACCTCCAATCACCTAATACAATTCAGAGTACACACCATTGCGAAGTCATCTAGCTTGTTGACCGAATTACAAACTTGAATGAAAATAGAACTTAGTCTACACCAATACTAAGGATCACACGCAGGACACTGGTTACTGTCCAGTGACCAATATTTACGCCTAAACCAAACAATTTATAGCTCACTGAAATTACTGAACGGAAAACGCATGAATACATGTAATGATAAGAATCGTAGTTTAGCTAGTAAGCTACTAAACTAGTAATTCAAAGGTCGATGGTTCGAATCCTACCGGGAACTAGATTTCTTCAATAAACAAAATATTCTCTTACATATTAAGTCATAAAAAAAAGGCGCAAACAGCGAAGAAGAAAATTTTCTTTTTGACGATTCATTTTCATGAGCTGTACAATCATGGTAATTATAATTAATAAAGAAATCTTTAGACCAATCAGATACTACTAGTAAACTTTGTCCTCGAAAAGTGTATTAGCCAGAGGCGAAAAGAAGAATAGCAGCAGCTCTATCTTCGAACACCTTGTCATCTCCCGACATCGAGTACCCCACCTGCATGAATGCCTCACAGGACTGCACAGAGTTATTCAATATCGTACAAAGGGACTTCACATACGCCATCTGTACATAACTGAAGTATTAGCTATTCGAGATCTGAAACCGGACCTCTGTATTCAAAAGCGATACATACATTCACTCGCCCTACCATGGCCAGAGTAAAGTTCTTACTATAATTTTGGTTCTTCTTTTTATTATGGAGGTTCACTATTATTACTGTTATTTTTTTCCTTCACGTTCCAAGTGGAACATAGGGCTACTTCAAGCTACTGGCTTGAAGTTTCTGTAGCAGTGTTTATTTTTACAGGATGGGTTTGATAGCCTCATGCCCAACCTTTCCTCTTTACCAGCATTATTTCTGGCTTCGCGAGGTAAAGGAATGAGTTGGCCGGAAATCGAACCCCGGACCATGTGCATGGTCGGCGAGCGTCCCAACCGCTATGCCACCGACGCACATTATTGTTATTACTACTATTATTTCATTATCATTATTATTCCCATCATCCACATTTTATCAACACTCTATTAATGTTTTTTAATAACATGACATTTTCATACAGATTTTATACAAAAAACAACATTTTATCACCTTTCCACTAGTTCCTGTCCATTCTACATGAGCTTATTGATTAGTCATTATCTCACACTTATTAGGTCATACCAACTTCTGTCTCCTTTCTAACTTACAATTAGTCATCCCTTCTTATACCTTACTGATGTATACACTAATGACTCATCAATATTGATTTTTCGCACCTGCATGATTATTGATTTTTCACACCTGCATGATAATCGACTTTTCGCACCTGCATGTTTATTGATTTTTCGCACCTGCATGATTATTGATTGTTAATATATTTTTTTTAATGTCACATTGATTTCCCTAACTGTATAAATACGGAGCTTGGTTTAACATTTTCGACTGTTGTAGAGACAGTGAAAGCTATCGTATCAACGTCCAGTCTTCTTTCTTTGTCTTGCGTGCCCGGCGGTACTATTATTGTTGTTGACGTGCGATTACTACAGATCAGCCAAGCATTAAGTTAGATTCTCTCGCAGTCTACAAGGTCATAATATTCATACATAACATTATGTAGTACAATTTTCAAGGACAAAGTTTACCAGTAGTATCTGATTGGTGTAAAGATTTCTTTATTAATTATAAATACGATCGTACAGCAGCTTATGAAAATGAATCGTCGAAAAGGGGGAATTTTCTTCCCTGTTTGTGCCCTTTTTCTTAGAACTAGATTTCACTTTCACTTTCAAATATGATCACTCATCATTACATTGATAACAGTCTTCTAACTCAGAACCGCCCCCAGACAGTCTTAGTATCTATTTTAATCCATGCATAGATATAACAGATACAGTAATGCGAATAAAATCGTCTCAGAGAGACAGAGAGAGAAAGGGAAAGAGAACTTTCTTTGCTGAAATCTTTGGCTTTTTTCCTTGTAATGGAGAAAGAATTTAAAATCAATAGATCAAAGTATACTTACATGTGATGTACGCACTGTTTTTGGTACAAAAACATATTGTTGTGGTGTTGGTGAATTCAATGGACCAGTGAATACAGATTTATCAAGTTGACCAAATGTGAATACAGGTTCAAGACGTAAACGTTGTCCTGGTTGTCGTGCATAACATATCGGAGAATAACCAGGCGGTGGACCATGATGTAAACGACCTTGATTTGAGCCTAGGAGAAATCTTGCACTTGCTTTTGCATTCATACTCATACACGGATAGAATAAACCGGTAATATTGAAATCCTATAGTGTATACACACATAATTATGCAAAAAGGAATTGTAATGGGGAGAGGGAATGAAAACAACAAAGGGAAAGATTACGAATTAGTTTCTTTAATTATCAAAAATAAATAAAATGGCGTATTCGACTAGATGATTTGCATATTTACTCTTCGCCTTGTAGATGACTTTAAAGGTGGAGGCTATAGAGAAGATAGGGTGATAATTATCGACCAGATATTCAGTAATCGCGCTTCTTATTGCTCCACTTCCACCTCTTCGTAACCATGCAGGAGAGCGTTATTGTACCCTCTTCCACAAAACTCGAGTCGAACGACCGATTTACCTAGCTCCACATAAGCTGATGAGTTGATAAACTCACACAGAGTTGTTCAACGCTGGGATCTTGTCCTTCAGGTTATAGTCGACTAGTGAGGGCTAGTTACTTTACTTTACTTCAACCCTATTGGCTTTTTCTTTCTTTGCTTATTATTACAAATATTATTATTACAGTTATTATTATTCGTCATAATTTATGCCCTTTATGTAAACATTCCCTCAATACTATCGAGTTTTCATTTATACAGACTTATTATTAGTGATATTATCTGTTTTCTCAATATATGCCTCCACCTGTTTCATTTAACATATTCGTTATTTCATGATGAACCTCTCATTGCAATCTTACTATCTCCTGTTTAACACAGACCACTTTGTACTAGCCACTCAATCACCTGATACCTTTGATAACCTTGAACTGATTTCTCAATTTTCCTACCCCACAACACTCTACAATTCTATTAGGATTAATCACCACTGGTGTCTCCCATTTCACCGAAATATTTTCTAATCGATTTCAGCCTAGTCCATTTGTCACACAAATATGACTATTTATTTTGACACACCATAACTACTAATCTGTTATTCTGCGTTAAAAATGTTTCCGCCGCCGCATAACTGGCCTTTATTGTAACGACCACAAATATTATATTTTATAATTGTAAGAACCTGAAGAGGAGAAATTATTGGAAAGAATATTCTTCGTTCAGATTGACTTTTAATTCATAAAATGGGAATATTTCACACTATCAAATATATATAAAAAGTTCCTATGTACCATAATATTATTTATCTACCTAGAATGTGACACTACTAGACACTGTCCTCAACGTATATCCAATTCATCTTCATTTACTTTTGTATTTTTTAAACAACAGGTTGTTGGGTGCTTAGTTTTTGGATGATGACTAGCAGTGGAATCCAAGACAACGCGCATTTCGTCCTATTTGGGACTCGTCACCCAGTGGATTTACCTGCATTCCCACTGAATGATGATCTTCCCACCGAGGCTTGAACCAAGTGAGCATAGTTTCAAACGCCAAAGCGTTATCCACTAGACCACTTGGGCCACGAGAGCCACTTCTTGTGCAACGGGTCTTATTGATTATTTAATTCAGTCGAGATTTTCCCGTTCATTGATTGGATCGAAATGCTCGGTCTCAGGTTGACATGTCGGTTTCTTGTGCAGATGCTTCGACAATGTTTGGGGGCATTTAATTAGAATATAATTTGTGGATGGTGACTAACAGTGCAATCCAGGATGCGCGTTTCGTCCCGCTTTGGACTCGTCAGCTGTATATACCTGCAATTCCCATTGAGTGATATTTTTACCACCGAGACTCGAACCGAGCACTTCGGTCCAATCAATCGATGGGAAAATCTTAACAAATTAAATTAAAGGTTGTTGGGTGGTATGCAGCTCCTTAACCCCCTCCCCCCCAGTGATTATCTTTTCTGGCTTGCAGGCTGGCCACTTGAACTTCAGTATTGAGCCAGAAAAGTCTTATCAAAGTCGATTTTGTGTCCCGTTTCTATTGAATGTAGTGCAATCGCTGAGTTGTTTTCTAGCTTCTTCAAGTCTTCAGAGCTCTTTGGAACCACCTTTAGACATTGTTTATGCTCTTTCATTCTTATATTTACCTGTCTAGAAGTTTCTCCTACATATACTGCGTTACAATCCCCACAATTGATCTGGTATACGCAATTCTGCTGGTTTTCTTGTTCTATTTTATCCTTAACCTTCACCAGTAATGAGCGTAAGGTGTTAAATACACGAAAGTACACTCTTATATTATGTTCGTTAAGGATTCGCTTTATTTCATCAGATGTTTCTTTGCGATAAGGAACCACCGCTGTACTAACCCAATTCTTAGCAACAGGTTTTGATTCATCCTTATCTTCACATTTTAAGTATCTTTTTATGAAGGCTTTAGGATAATTATTTGACTCAAGAGTGGATTGGACCAATTTCAGTTCCTCGTTAATATCTTCCTCCTCAGTAACTAGACGTTTGGCTCTGTTGATCAGATTCTTGGCCACAGTTACTTTGGTGGTAAATGGGTGAGCTGAATGGTAATCTAGGTATCTATCCGAATTTGTCGGCTTTCTGAAAATGTTTATTTTAAATTTGCCGTGTAATTTTCTTTTTACTAAACAGTCCAGAAACGCCAACTCATTTTCATCGGATTCAACCTCTTTGGAGAACTTGACGGTTTCTGACATATTGTTTATTAACTGAAAAAGTTCATTTAACAAACTACGTTTGACTATGATGAAGGTATCATCTACGTATCTTAACCACATCTTTGGGGGACTAAGGCATCTCATAATTGCATTTGTTTCTAATGAGTGCATAAACAGACTGGCGACTAGCGGAGATACTGGTGATCCCATAGCACTGCCTCCTATTTGACGATAAAGAACCTCTCTGAACGTAAATAACGTGGATCGAAGACACAATTCTAATACCTTCATAATTTCGTCGGGATGTTTATTCATTATTCACGAATGTACCCGTTAATGATTCTTTAAGTATTATTTATAATTTACTTTGTGCTGACGACGAACTCAGTTATCGTTGTCCTTTAAATGTTTTATGACTGTTCCACCCACCCACCCACACACACACACACATACACACACACCATTGTATCCTGCATATACTGCATTTACACATATTTTAACAAAAGTAGACAAATTTTGAAAGTCTGAGGTCAAAAAGTTTTTCATTATAGTTCATACAATTTTTGTTTCGTTTTGTTTAGTATACCCATTGATAGCTGTTTCTTCATTCATATTTAAAATAAGAAATGTACTTTTATATAAACATACAATTCTATTTATTTATTTATTATACATTTTGATACCTGTTGCATGACTCATGATTGGACAAATTTTAAAAAACAAGAGGTGTCCCTTTATATATAAACCCTTGTTATGTTAATTTCGATTAATTTCCCTGAAGAAGTTCGGACCAGATTGCCGGACGAAACGTTGGAATTAATCATTTCAATTTCGCTGAGATTTTACAAATATAACCTTATAAATGTCTACTTTTCACTCAGTGCTCAATTATTTTGCATCTATCCGGTCAAATCTCGATCACAGTTCATATGAACTTGACATTTTTCTTTTAAAAATATTTTTGGTATCAATTCACTTATAAAACAATATTTAATAATTTTGTAATTCACCCACTTCAACTCAACTGGACCACGTCAACTCCTAACTTAGTGATAGGGAGTGAAGTGATAGAACATGTTGACCACTTCACCTACTTGGGAAGTTGTATTAGCACCAACGGACTGATTGGCGATGAAATCTCAGCACGGATCCGAAAAGCTCGAGCTGCTTTCGCTGACTTACACCACCTCTGGCGTAGGCGTGACATCCGGTTATCAACCAAGGGACGTGTGTACTGCTCAGCAGTTCGCTACGTCCTTCTCTATGGCTCTGAAACATGGCCAATACGCGTTGAAGACATGAAAAGGTTAACTGCTTTCGATCATCAATGTCTGCGATCTCTGTCTCACGTCAGGTGGTTTAATAAGGTAAGTAATGTTGACGTTAGGCGTAGAGTGTTGGGCAAAGAGGGAAAATCAATCGACGAGGCTATAAAGTTACATAGATTGAGATGGCTAGGTGACGTGCTGCGCATGCCTAACCACCGCCTCCCCCGACGGGCATTGCTAGCTGATATAGGTGCAGGTTGCAAAAAGGTAAGTGGTGGCCAAACAAAAACATGGCCTCATCAATCCATGAAATCCTTGACAGTTAAACTGAGTCAGGTAGGGAGGGAGATGCAGACTTCCGGGTTGGGGCCCTCGGGACTCTAGGAATCAATGGCTGGAAACAATAGGTGACATGGCTCAAAATCGTTGTCAATGGCCAGCGAAGATGTATTCAGTCTCTGTAATCTTTCATATTCCTTTCTACCATTACCCATTCTGTTTCACTCTTATACTTGTCAGACTCTATTGATTCTCTTCACTCTTCTTCTTGTCTACCTCTGTGTGCTATTTGGAACGTGGCAACTCGAACTGGTGCACTTCGGTGCCAAGTTCTATGTTGAATCCAGACAGACAGACCCCTTGTAATATCTTAATTATCGTTATTCTTATCACTTATATAGTGCGTCGGTGGCACAGCGGTTAGGACGCTCGCCGACCATGCACATGGTTCGGGGTTCGATCCCAGGCCACCGACGCACTCCTTTACCTCGCTAAGCCAGAAATAATCCTGGTAAAGAGGAAAGGTTGGGCATGAGGCAGACTAGAAACCCCATCCCATAAAATAAACGCTGCTACAGAAACTTCAAGCTACTAGCTTGAAGCCCTATGTTCCACTGGAGAACGTGAAGGAATAAAAAAAAATTATCACTTGTATATGTATATTGACTGAGCAATTATTTAGTGCCACTAAACAACCTTTTTCTGTAATATAAATACAACTGTACAGCTTGAAAATGAAGTCGTTGAAAAAGAAATTTCTTCGCTGAACAAAAAAAAACTATGCTTTTACTTATGAATAAATGGGTATTTTTCGTGATTTAAAAGTATATATATTTACTAAAAATGTATAGTAATTCCGACTATACCGACTAATTGGATGTGTGATCAAATCGGTATAATTATTCAAAATTGGTTTTGAAGAGATGAACAGAATTAAGGCAATAATCAATGACACAGCGAATGTAAGGGGTTTAAATTCCATACAGTGAAAATCTTCAAGAGGTTAATTTGTAAGGCATAGATTTGTTTCTCGAATTTGACCATAGATTGATATCAGTTACAGAAGCATCGTAATCCAGCCACAGGGAGTATTGGACTGGTGTTTCACTCTAGCGTTTGGGTCTCATCGACAACACTCACCCACCGGATATGGTTTGAACCTAGGCAGGACCTCCCGGTTACACGGCGAGCTAGCTCGCATACCATTTAAACCACTGGGACCTGATTCAATGGCCATCAGACCATGAATTCTCACTTTTACCAATCTTTGATCGTTTTAGCACAACTGGCACCAACCAATGTCATCGGTGGGAAATCCATCCTCACACAGCTGACTGGATGGACCTCGCTACTAGATGAGAAGTAAGGTGATTCATTTTCCACTTAACAAGTGCAAAGAATAAGAAAAGAATGGGAGAATCTAGTTGAAGAAGCATGGAGGAGCGATAATAAATGAATCGCTTACTAAAAATATTAAGCATGACAAGGAAATGATAGTTCAAGACCCTTCCCTGCACACAGAGTTCAATGTGTTACACATTGACGAATTTTATTAGAGCCTTACACACATACACAAGTGTGCATATTATCCAGTCTTATCTTGTAGACAGTTTCAAAAGAAGACGGCTCCCATAAAGTCTTTAGTAAATATAACTAAGACTGTACAATCACTGAAGATAACTTCTTTCGTAAAGAGAATTTTCTTCCTTCAACTGTCTTTTGTTTTTCTTATGACTCTATGGGTACTTACGAATTTTTTAAATCGTATGACGTAATAATACCAAATCATTTAGTGGCATAGGACTTTGAAATTAAACTATTTTAAGCTTCTACACATCACTGAGTTATTGTTATTAGATACTTGGAGGCAGTAAGCCACAGGAAGCCTTAGACCTAGATTTTGTGCTTGCCGGCACTCACCAGTCAGCAAGGCGTATCTGCAACCTTGAAGGAATTCATATCCACTTTGAGATTCGAACACATGTCATCCAGTCAGAACTGCGGTCACAGACGTTACCAATGGGGAGCTATTCCGGCTCGCGATTGACCTCCTGTAGGACTGTTTTAGATGCTCTGATAGAACTCTAGCTAACTACTACCTGGTGTTCAGTTAGAGTATCACTGATCTATGTTTGTAATTTCTCGTTGATATTTCTGACCGAAGTGATCGACCTTGTTTTGGCATACGGGCTCCTGGAGTCTACAGCTGGCCACCAGTGAGCAAATAACTTGGAGCTTTATTGAACAATTTGTGAGGACATTCAGATGAATCAGGTTAATGATATAAGAATAAATTCTTCTAGTTCTCTATGTTCTACACACACACACACTAGTCTTATTTTTCTCAGCGAATTTAAGGTAACCTTTTTAATTTGATACTAATGAAACCTTTTGAAAATGTAAATAAAGGAAGCTTTACACTGATTAGTTGCTGGGGCATAATCACTTTCATGCGACTGAGTCCAGTCACTGAAGTCTACGATGTCATCATGAAGTTAAGTGACTCACCATAGCGGTGCATTGTATTTAGTGGACCACTTTGTAAACTTTACTGAATATACATAAATTTCAGTCAGCCCCAACACGAAGGAATAGATGCATGACACTGGTTATACCATAGTTATCAATCGATGTATCCACTACAGTCCTTCAGCAGGTCACTCTTGGGTTTCACTACAGTAATGGGTGATGCAAGTTCGAATCTAACAAGGGATTTCAGTTCATCCAAGTTTTCAAAAGAATCGATACTGAATAAAGAGTACCTCTTTTCGATAACCCCTTCAACATCAGGCTCTACAGTTACATATACATTATACTGAATGAATGAATGAATTAGTGTTATGAACAACATTATTGTTGCTGTTTTAAATAACATCGAATCAATAATAATATCACTGGATTACAGTTCAGTAGCATCAACGTAACAATAAACTGAATATCAGAAAAATTAGGAGAGATAATATTACAAATTCATGAATTTATTGTCTCTACTGAAGGCTGACCAGGGCAGTTAGTAGTGGGTGTCTGGACTTGCTTCTTTTGAACACAGAGCACTGGTTGTTTGAGGCGAATTGCAATGGCCTGTTCTGTTTGGAGCATGTTGTGCTTCGATGATGATTTCGGCAATTTATTAGGCACATGGTAGATGATGATAGAGAAGGATTCTTCCATGCTGGCTGGCTGGCTTTGTGGCCGGTTTGTACCAGATGGTCCAATATCGAAATATTAATGCTATTAACTACACCTATACTTAGCCATAGTGGGAGATGTTCCCGAGCAAGCACGAAAAATCAAATTCCTAAAGCAACGGCCAATATAACTCGCCCTATAAGCGCAGTTGAATTGGTAGATACAAGTTGAAGTGGCTAGTCTAGATACTTCATCTTTCAGTCGAAGTAGCACCATCGGTCGTGTGGAGAGTAATACGTGTAGTTCGTCAGCATTAAAAGTTCTCTAAACTGATTTTCTTAATTTCCTAGTAATTATCTTACTTGGTGTATCGCCCTTGAATTGTAGTCGAATATGTAAAGTGGCTTCTTGTTTAGAGATAGTGAACAGCCCTTACTGACTAGTGACAGTAAGCATGGAACCAAAGTTAGGAGATTCTTATCGACTGCCTTCAACCACCAGTAACAAAGAAGCTTTGTCTGACACTCTAAGTCCATATACATATACATGTAATCACTAAGCAAAGGACTACGCTTATTGTGTGAATTTTGAGTCCATAACCCCTCAAGCTTTAAATCGAGTGCCAGACCCAGTTACACACCGCCTCCTGGATGACATTATTCATAGGAGAAAATAATTACACTTTACAATTTAATAAATATAACTTGATAATATGCTAAAAAAATTAAGACCTTCAATTACCTGAAAGTATCCTTTCACTAAACGTCCATTTACATTGAACTGTATAACAGGTCCAGTTAAATCTAGTAAACATCCAATAATATCACCACGTTTCAATGGTACAGAAGGCATTGTTTCATCGCTTGACATTTCATCTGTACCAATTGTAGCACGTTTCGGTTTACCACCAGCCCATAAACAACTTCCATCAAATGCATAACTAAACAAATCATCACCGAGTCCTGCAGCACCCCAACCAGGTCCACCACATGGATGAGCATTATAACCTTCGGTATTAGCCCAACCAACTCGAATTTGTGCTGGTTGATGAGTAACAGTTTCAAGTGAATCAATAATTACTTCAAAATACCATTTTGGATACATAGCTCCACCCTTTTAAAAAAAATAAATAAACATACCAACAAAAATTTGTAATAAGTATCGTTTCCAACGTCACTTTTACTTGAAGGAAATAGAATACAGATTTTTCAGTATACAGACAAAAAGATCTCGCTTATAGTAAAACAGGTAGATAGGTTCCATTATGGATAAGATTTTATTTTGATAAATCACACACAGTGTTGTGTTATACAGTAATATTAACTGTACAACTGTAATATTACTGTACAACACTGTGTGTGATTTATCATAATGGAGTTCTATCCTACCACAGTGCCCAAGTTTTAAACTTATATCAATAATGCAGATAGGTTACTAAAACAAATTACAATAGATGTTCAAGTGTTGGTTTTCAGGGTTTGATTTGATTTGATTGGCTAAATGATTTCATCATTAGCTAACATAGGAGTATTGGAAGGCTGTTTCGTCCTGGTTTGAAAGTCATCGTCAGTACGCATCCACTGGGTTTCGAACCCCGATCTGTTGTACCCCACTGGTCCAAATACTTGTTCACTCATAATCCCATCTTTTAAGTGACAGAAATATTTCATATAGAATTATCTGTTTAGTACCGACTGGTACTCATTGGAATGGAGTATCTAGTATCCAGTGCCCATAGTTTCAAACGCTAAAACGTTATCCACTAGACCACTTGGGCCACGAGAGTCACCTCTTCTACAACGGGTCTTATTGATTATTTGATTCAACTTAGATTTTCCTGTCTACTGATTGGACTGAAGTGCTCAATCTCCAGTTGACATGCAGACTGGGGAATGCATGTGCATCCAGATGATGCGGGTCCCAAATAGGATGAAATGTGCGTTGTCCTGGATCCCACTGCCAGTCACCATTCACGAAGTGACTTCAAGTTACATGACCAGACATCACCGAAGCATTTGTACAAGGAGCCGACATATCCACCTGAGATCGAGCTTTTCCGTCCAATCAATTGACGGGAAAATCTAAATTGAATTAAATGAGTGAATATTTGTCTGAAAGAAGAATTCCTCTTCTAGCATTTGTTAAAATAAAATCTACTGTCCTGATAATAATGATAATAATAAAAATAACCGGTCAGGTATCAGGAGAACTCAGTTTCAACCTAGAATGTTATGAAAAATTTATTTGAAGTCAGACAAATTTCAAACTGTTAAGTACCAGGATAAAAAGTATTTGTATTTTGTTACTAATGGAGGAGATTTGTAGGTAAAATGGACACTTTTCTAGATGGATTAAGAGAGCTTCACAGTGATACTCCATTCAGCTGACAATGCTCAAGAACAAATAAAATATTTGTAGGAATTTGATTTGATTTGATTGGTGACAGGATTTCATCATGAGCTGACATCGGTTAGAGAACCATTGGAGAACCACCAGCACCGGACTACTGAACATCTGTTTCGTCAATCTAGTTTGGGACTTTTCAGCACTACGTATCCTCCGAAGAGTTCGGACCCAGGATCTTCTGGTTAAAAGGCTATCGATCTCGTAGACCATTAAGTCACTGGGACCTGGTACAAAGCGCCAGTACATGAAATCCAACTTCTGCCAATTCACGACATAGCGTGACCACTAGGCAATATCAAGGGGTGTTGAGTATTTGTCCTTGCACACCCGAGCTTCTGCAACCTACTGGTCACGATATTTTCATTTAGATTCCTTGTTCAAATATGTTATGAAAACATTCCACATTATGAAATCGTGCAGTTAATGACCGAAAAAAACAAGTTAATAAATAAATACAATGACGTAATACTTACATCTTTATAACCAACAAATATATTTGGTCGAACTGATCCACACTGATCAACTAATTTTGTTTGTAATAATAAATCTTTTTGCGGTAATAAAGTTTCATAGATCAATTCTTGATTCAGTCGTACTGCTCCACCTTGACGACCTAAACACAAGGAGCATAAGGCTTGAAGTACCTAAAACAAAAATAGTAAGGGAAGTGATAAGAATTGAGCGCATACACTTTGAGTCTGTGTGTAGGAAGCACTTTCAGGTCAATCCCCCACAACATGGTCATAAATCTACTAAATCTTATGATTATTTTCTTTTAATTCCTAGAGGAACATAGGGCTTGAGCTGCGCGTCTCCATTGCGTCCCCCTCTCTGCTAGAGTTTTCACGTGGCTCCAAGTCTGCTCACATGCTTTCATCTCCTCTTCACATCACCTCCTCCGAGTCACCCTTGGACGAACAACTCACCGCTTCCCAACCGGGTTCCACTCAAGGGCTTCCTTAGTGATGTCACTTGATGGTTTCCTCAGTGTACGGCCAATCCATCTCCATTTCTTCCTGTCCATTTGTTTCACAATCGGTTTCTGGTTGGTTTGTTCCCAGAGATCCCTGTTGCTGATCCTTTCTGGCCATCTGATCTTGAGTATTGAGCGAAGACAGCTGTTGATGAAAGTGTGTAGTTTGTTTGAGGTGCTCTTTATGACGCGCTGGCCAAGTCTCTGATCCGTATAGCAAGTAGCACTGACTTCACATTGAAGTTGAAAATCTGGATCCTACTACTAAGTTATGCAGAATAAAACAGTGTTAAGTGTTGTAATAACTTGTGAATGTTAATTTTATTCATTCAGGGATATTCATAAACATAATAACAAAAAATAGTTCAGTGAAGAGTCTCTTATCCGCGGCGAATTTATTATTCACTTAGCTGGAAAATTGCATTTACATGTATAATTATTTTGTGTGTGTGTGTGTATGTGTTTGTACATTAGGACTGTCAAACAAAAATAAATATCTAAAGCAGTTAGCTCTCTTTATGAATTTCAACAACCTCACCTAATTAACTAGCTCGCTAGTTTTCTAGCCGGTTCCAAGACTGGGTAAAAAGGGACGGGTTGGGCATGGGGCTAGCAACCCCACACCACTAAATCTTTCAAACCGCTAGAGAAACTCCAACACATAGAAAATGTATTATTCTTCACTCGAATCGGAGAGGAGAAATGACACATCGAGTTGCTGGTGAAAGCCAACTTTCGGGAAGCCAGTCAACCAGCTGATGTGTCTTCTCGTTTCGATGAAAGCAAGAATAAGAATGGATACGTGGAATGTCCGTACAATGTACGAGACTGGGTGGAAAGAGATGCGAAAGCAGATGGAATGGATGTATATCTGTTGTTGAAGCCAGCCCTATATTCCACTCGGAACGCAAGGGAACAATAATAAAAAAAATAATAATGAATTTCGACATCACAATAAGAAGACGGAATTCATCTGAAGCGTGTAGTGTACAATATTTGCACAACAAATTTCGGATATTCTGATCACACACACACATACACACGAGCACCTGTCATACACATATTTATGTAGAAGATTAGAGAACAAGATCTGTTACAATACAGGAAAAATTGCGTACGGGTCAGGGTCATAAATAATGGGTAGGGAAATGACGCAAAGGTATGGATAAGAAAGAGAAAAAGAGAAAACAAAGCAAAGTAGGGCTTGAAAATATTATGAAGTAAATTGATCCTTGGTTCTAAATTGGATTGCCAAGGTAGGTTTAAAGTAATAACAAATAATTTTCTTTTCGATACGTAAGACAGCTTTTGGCCAAGACTTCAACGAATTTGAGTATGTAACCCGCCTCTATGATGTACTCCTCTTTGGAGATGATATTGGACATATATTTCTGGGATCAATTGTATCCGGCGACTTTATTTGTTGTTGCAGCCACTTTAGGATGTATGCTGTTGCCCTAATCTGCAGAGAACAACGGGTCACTGTGTCGGTGGCACAGTGGACTCTCGCCAATCATGCAAATGGCCCGGGGTTCGACCCCTGCCGACGCACACCTGATATCTATGGTCGGACAGAAAAATTTGGGTTACCGATATCAAATATTGAAAATTCCATACCTGTACAAAAAATACAGTGTGGAATCAAGCTGTAATAAAAAAAGTCTATGTGCGTGTGTCCACATATACATGTAAATTGATAAACACAATGGGATGTGACATTGTCGTTCGGATGCTGATAGCGTTTACAGGAAAACATAGATCTCGTTTTCTCTATGAAAATAGATTTGGCAGCGTAGTAAGTTCTGTCAATTGCCACCTTGAGTCTTTGTTTAGTGACCAGAATTTGTTGATCACTCCTGAAAAGCAAGGATCTATGAACATTCCTTTTGGGAGCTGATTGGATTGGTAGAACTCTTTGTTTGCCTAACGCATAATGAGTCTATTTCGACGGGTAATTGTTATTATTATTATTTTTATTTACAGCTTGATTCCACACCGTATTTTTTGGTACAGGTATGAAATTTTCTGCATGTGATATCGGTAGCCCAAATTTTGCAGGCCGACCATAGATATCAGGTGTGCGTTGGCAGGGGATCGAACCCCGGACCATATGCATGCTTGATGAGACTCCTAACCACTGTGCCACGGACGCAACAATATTTCAGTGAGGTGTTGTGTTTCTTCTTCAATTGTGTTTACGTCGTTTATGTCATCGAAGCGTTTCAAAAATGTGATAAATGATCAAATGGTAAGTAGGGAGGGGAGGGGTGAAGATTGGTAAGTATTGAAAAGGATTGCGTAATAAGAAAGGCAACCAGAAAAATAGGACGTCAGTAAAAGAGCATTCAGACAAGTGACCAAGATAAATTGTGTAATAGGTAGAAAGAGGTAACTAAACGGTTGATGCAGAAAAAAATTGTTGCTAAAAGTCATGCAAAAATTCAAAAAGCATAGCTGCCACTTCACAGCACTGTTAAGGTGAATTCGAATTTTATAGAATCACTAAAATCTTGGTGAATAATCGTCTTTCCCCAGCTTTTGGAATGTTTCATGGCAAAGCGTGTATCAAAGAAGTTTTCTCCGCCAAACAGCAGAATGCAGAGATCAGTTTCTTGCATTCAGACACCATAGCCGAATAAATCTGGTTATTACATCCTTTCCCTTAAAATATATCACAGGATATTTTTAAGTTGGTGTAACTGTAACGACATAACACAAGGGACAGGCAACAGATCGTCTACTGAGGAAATAAAGAGATATTTATGCATATTTTTATGTATATTATTTTCATGTGGTTGTGTTCTCTGAGATGAATAGTTCATTTGCGAAGCTTTGATCCCCTTCAACTAGGTAACATCTCCAACGCGTATGCTTCAGTTTTGATGAAGTGAGCGTTTAGATTTCTTCACAAGTTTATTAATCATCTCTCCTAGTGACCTTGAACATGACTGGTTGTTTTTGTGTGTTTTCACACCTTCTAGGTTACTTGTATTGGTACTGATTGTTTCTTTGACTTGAACTTTGACCATTTGTGTGTGAAGTTTCTTTCTAATCGGTTGATAGATTTTGTCTATCTCGATGTGTCTATTGATTGATGATTCACTGGAATACCAGGCCAGGATGCTAAAAATTCTCTAGCATTCTTGTTGTTTCCTCTGTCTAATATTTGAACGTTGGTTGTCCCAGACGAATTGATGTCCGTGATTGTCTGTATGCAGCGATATGAGCGAGGGAGTGAATATCATGTCTTTTGAAGGCTAAGTTATGTTCATGGATATGAAGACGAAGGGAACGTCCACTTTGGCCAATTTATTTAGTGTTTTTCGCAGTTGTTACAATTTATTTTGTAGATGATGTTGGCTTTATTTTCTATCGTTGTTGAGTATTTTGTTTGACATAGAGCCCGCCAGCTGAGTGGTGAAGTGATTTTGTTGGTTTCTGTACGATGTGAATTCCTAAAGGTTTGAAGAGTCTTGTAGTGATTTCTGAGATATCCTTTATATAAGGTAAGGCGATTTTCTTCGTGCTTTCCTTGGGGGCTTTTGTTTTGATAGGTTGGCTTTGGGGGTATATGTCTTTTGATGAAATTCCGTGGATATCCATTCTTTTGGAAGACGTCCATGACATATCTTTCCTTAATTTTCCTTAAAGTGGGAGTGCTGGAATGAGTTCTGGCCCTCTTGAATAGTGTTTGTATACAATTCCTTTTATGTGTTATTGGGTTGTTGCTGTTGTAATTCAGGATTTGGTCTGTGTGAGCTGATTTTCTATAAACTTGAGTTTGTGATTCCCCTGTGGTTGTTCACTTGACTAAGATGTCCAAAATCGGGATTTTGTTCTCGGATTCCGGATGTACATTATTATTGGAATTATCAATAGGGAAAAAGTGCATTCTGATTGGTTGTTTTCTCACCACCATCTATTTATGGGCGTTTCTTCGAAAGTTAGACCATATATCTGCGAATCATATCCGCCCACGCAAAGTCTGCCATGATTGGTTGTTGAGTTACTCTTTGTTCTTGTTTTTTCTCTCATGACCAAGACATGGGACGTAAACGTTGATGTAAATTGTTGACTACTAATTTTGGCTAACAGACAGCTCTCACCACATAACCACTTGAAAATATTAATTTTAAACAAGCAGAGGTACACTTACCCTTGGATCACGACCTTGTTTATCCAGTAGACCAATAAGAGTGCGTATATGTCTTTCTGTGATTAAATACAAGGCTTCATCACTATCAGTCAGTACACAATGTAAAGCATCCAGCACACCTTCAGCAAAGCCTTGTTGTAATTCTAATCGATTAAATAACCAATCTAATCGAGTAGGTGTAGCAAATTGTGCACAATTTTCACGATTACCACGTATAAGTGCAGCCAGTAATAAATATAAATAATTGCCTAATTCATCAAATTGTTCAGCTTTATCTTCACCAACAGATTGTGAAAATTCCCGACGTGTTTGAAATGTTCCAGTGAATTTTTCTATTGTACTCAATACATGACCTATCATACCTTCGTTCTGATATTATAAAAATAAAATAAATAAAAAGCATGATTAGAACGTTAAGTGTATCCACTTTAATTTAACAAGATAAAGGCGAAATGGCTCTATGCTGAGAGGTTTCCGTAGTAGGATTTATGACTACACTTAAAGGAATTCTCAAGTATTGGCTCCGTAGGAATTTGATTGATTGGTTACTGGGATTTCATCATTAGCTGACATCAGTTAGAGAACCATTGGAAAGCCAGCCGGGAGTACGGGACAGCAATTTCGTCGGCCTGGTTTGCGACTCTTCGGCAGTATGCACCCACCACAGTGGTTCCAACCCAGGACCTCCTGGTTAAAAGGTGAGATCATAGACGATTAAGCCATTGAGACTCGATTCAATGGCCAGCCCATGAACTCTAATTTCTACCAATTGACGACATAGCGCGACCACTTCACAATGTCTCCTTCGAAGAGTGACTGTCCTCACCTTCAACCTGCTTTACCCTACTGGTTCCTCTTACTTCTCAATCATTCATCATTCTGGAATGAAATACTCAATCTCTCTTGAAACTTTACACAGGAGACAACAGAGTATCTAGGTAATACGAACTGACTGTTGTTTGTTTTTCCCCCTTCACTTGTGATTTCCCCGGTGACTGATTGAAGCAAAATGTTCGGCTTCCAATGGAAATGTTGGCTCCTATTACTGTCTGTCTGTCTGCCTGTTTTCGACATAGAACTTTGCACAAATGTGCGGAAGTTCAAGTCGCCGCACTCCGTGTAGCACGCGAAGCATGAGAAGAAAGTAGGAGAAATGCATAATAGAGATAGTGAGCAGAGGTGTGAGACAAAGGAGTAATAAAGAAAAACAAAACAGTTTCATTGGAGATAATAAGTCACAAGGAGTGGATGCATCTGCGTTAGCCACTGGGAACGATTTTCAGCCATGTCACCAATTGTTTCCAACCACAGATTTTTACCGTCCCGAGGACCCCAACCAGGAAGCCAGTCTACACCTTCCTACGTGGCTGGCTTAGACCAACTGTTGTGGATTTCATTGACTGATGCCAAGTTTTTGTTTGACCGCCGCTAGCTTTTTTCCAGCCTGACCCTATATCCGCTAACATTGCTCGTCGAGGGAGGCGATGGCTTGGCATACGTAACACATGTTCTAACCATCTTACTCAGTTGATGTAATTTCACAACTTCATCGATAGATTTCCCCTGTTTACGTAGAGTTCTAGGTAAACAGGGGAAATCAATCGACGAAGTCGTGAAGCTACAAAGACTGAGAAGGTTAGGACATGTGTTACGTATGCCAAGCCATCGCCTCCCTCGACGAGAAATGTTAGCGGATATAGGGTCAGGCTGGAAAAAAGCTAGCGGCGGTCAAACAAAAACTTGGCTGCACCAGTCAATGAAATCCACAACAGTTGGTCTAAGCCAGCCACGTAGGAAGGTGTAGACTTCCAGGCTGGGGTCCTCGGGACGGTAACCTCTGAAAGTGTCTGAAGATTAACATTATATTATTTGGTTGATGGTGATAAGCGATGGAATCCGGAATGCTGATTCTGCCCTATTTGCGACTTGTCATCTGAACGTACTTGGGTTATTAGTGAGTGATGGTGTTTCTATTGTAAACGCTTTGATGTTTTAAATGATGGCCTATAGGCTCGAGTCTCACTGGGACACCATCACCCAGATGATGAGTTCCATATGGAACAAAACACGCAGCTTGGATTCCATTACCAGCTACCACCAACCAAATAACATTAAAAAAAAATTTCATTTGTCGAAATTTTACAGCAAACTAATGAGAAAATTGTAGTTAAGCGGCAAACTAGGTAAAACACTGTGTGATGCTAAGTGAACTTTAATATTTCATTGTGGATATTTCATTTTACCGGACTGGATGATGTCCTCAGAACACTAACTTCATGCCCATATTAAGCTAAAAAATTTCCCCTATCACTTTTTAGAGAATTTTAAAATTTGGAAATCTGGATTAGTGGAATAGGATGTTAAACATTCCCGCTACTTCAGATCAATGCTATAAAGTCAGTCAGACTCCAGATGTATATCTTTTGGGATGGAATAGATTAATGTCACTGAATGTTGTGGGTCTGTTGCCAGGCTGTTTACTCTACAAATATATTTTTTTGGTTGGATATTCATGAAAAAGGAAAAAAATGGTATTTCTGTTCGTCAGTAGTAATTGTATAATATAGGAAGTTAAAAAAATATTGATTAATAATAAACTACTCGCAATTAATAAGTAGTACACTTATGAAAAGCATTAGATAACATTTTTTTTTATTTACAGCTTGATTCCACACCGTATTTTTGGTACAAGTATGGAATTTTCAGCATGGATATCGGTAGCCCAAATTTCGCAGGCCGACCATAGATATCAGGTGTGCGCCGGCGTGGGCTCGAACCCCGGACCATGTGCATGGTCGGCGAGAGTCCTAACCACTGTGCCACCGACGCACCTCTAGTTTTAGAACCTTAGGAAGCCACAAGTACGTTGGTGGTATAGCGGTCTTGGACGCTCGCCTACCATGCACATGGTCCGGGTTCCGATCTCCGGCCGGCTCAATCCTTTGCCTCACTGAGCCAGAAATAATGCTGGTAAAGAGGAAAGGTTGGGCATAAGGCAGGCTAGCAACCCCATCTTGTAAAATAAACACCGCAACAGAAACTTCAAGCCATTAGCTTGAAGGCGCCCTATGTTCCACCGGGGAACGTGAAGGAATATAAAAAAGAAAGGAATTTTTCGTATATTGAATGCATCAGATTGCCACAATGATTTCGAAGTAATGAAGGCCTGTTTGGCTTTTCCATTCCTGGCTTTGACGTCGTCATCTGTGTTGACACGATGCTGCCTAGTCACGTAAGTGAGAAAGGGGACTTCCTTTAGGTTTCTGCCAGTGATAATGATTGATACTTTCTGCTGTTCACTGTCACGTATCCTCATCATCTCTATCTTCTCCATATTCACAAGTCATATGTTCACTGCCAATTTCGACAACTTGTTTGGTATTTCAGGTGTTCGTTTTTGAAGAGATTTGATTGGCTATAGGATTTCATCATGCCCTATTCAGTTTACAAAGTGTGGTCCACTAAATACAATGCACCGCTATGGTGAGTCATTTAACTTCATGATGACATTATAGACTTGAGTGAGTGAACTCAGTTGCGTGACAGTGATTATGCCCCAGCAACTAATCAGTGCAAGGCTTCCTTTATTTACGCTTTGATAGGGTCTCATTAGTATCAAATTAAAAAGGTTACCTTAAATTCGCTGAGAAAAATAAGACTAGTGTGTGTGTGTGTGTAGATCATAGAGAACTAGAAGAATTTATTCTTACATCATTAACCTGATTCATCTGAATGTCCTCACAAATTGTTCAATAAAGCTCCAAGTTATTTGCTTACTGGTGGCCAGCTGTAGACTCCAGGAGTCCGTGTGCCAAAACAGGGTCGATCACTTCGGTCAGAAATATCAAGGAGAAATTACAAACATAGATCAGTGATACTCTGACTGAACACCAGGTAGTAGTTAGCTAGAGTTCTATCAGAGCATCTAAAACAGTCCTACAGGAGGTCAATCGCGAGCCGGAATAGCTCCCCATTGATAACGTCCGTGACCGCAGTTCTGACTGGATGACATGTGTTCGAATCTCAAAGTGGATATGAATTCCTTCAAGGTTGCAGATACGTCTTGCTGACTGGTGAGTGCCAACAAGCACGAAATCTAGGTCTAAGACTTCCTGTGGCTTACTGCCTCCAAGTATCTAATGGCAATAACTCAGTGATGTGTAGAAGCTTAAAATAGTTTAATTTCAAAGTCCTATCCCACTAAATGATTTGGTATTATTACGTCATATGCTTTAAAAAATTCGTAAGTACCCATGGAGTCATAAGAAAAACAAAAGACAGTTGAAGGAAGAAAATTTTCTTTGCTGAAGAAGTCATCTTCAGAGACTGTACAGTCTTAGTTATATTTACTAAAGACTTTATGGGAGCCGTCTTCTTTTAAAACTATCGACAAGATAAGACTGAATAATGTACACTTGTATATGTGTAAAGCTTTAACAATTTGTCAGTGTAGCACTGAACTCTGTGTGCAGGGAAAGTTTCTTCGAGCTCCGGCGGGTGCACACTGCTGAAGAGTCCCAAACTAGGCCGATGAAACAGGTGTTCAGTACTCCTTACAGGGTTTTCCAATGGTTCTTTAACTAATGTCAGCTCATGATGAAATCCTTTTTGGTACTTGTCTGTAGTGCTTCGACCGAAAGCTGCTACCTTGACGTGGTGGTCGGGCTTGAACACCGCAATGACCTAATCAAGCTATACTGGCTGAGACTTATGTCTCTTGAGGTTCTACCATGCCAGGCAGGTTGTTTGGATAGCGGTTAAACAAAAAGCAGCTACCTCATCCAATACCATGATCCAAACAAATTCACAAAATTTCATGCCGGATCGGCCGTGGCCCGGATTAACAACGACCGCGCTTCCTGCTGCCGTGTCACAGGGCGGGAGTGATAAGTATGCTACTGAGGCACACAAAACAACAAAGAACGAACAAAAACAGGCCGCGTGTGACCGGCCACAAGCAGTTGTCCCCTGGGCTCTGCGGTCACGCAACCAACTTCCACGGTGTGGGCAGCCGGGAAGTAACAATCGCCCTCACAATCCAAAACGCACACAAAACCTCTCTAATCCTCACTTATCTTTGTCTTCATCTTCATCTCTATTACCTTACCTTCCCCCAGTGATGCAACTCCTCTACTTGATGGCTCCTCACTCCCTCTTCACTCTGTGTCCACTAAAAACGACGAAAGCCAAAAAACCACCACGGATAGTCTCCTAAAGCCACGCCACCAATTTCATATAGGAGCATTTAATGTTAGGACACTTTGCCAAATAGGACAACAAGCATCACTAGCTAAGACCCTGGCATCTCGAGCCATTGATGTATGTTGTGTTTCAGAAACACGCATACAAGACCCAAGTGTGGTTATTCACCTAACCCCACCTGGCCAACAGGATGAATCTTCAAAATTCACCTTGAGGGTGTCAGGAGATGCCACAGCTAGTTCACGGGGATTAGCTGGCGTAGGGATAGCTCTGAGTACTAGGGCAGAAAAGACATTGCTTGACTGGATCCCAGTAGATAGCCGAATGTGTGCTGTCCGTCTGAACGGATCAGTAAGAAGGAGAAAGGACTGCACTACTCGCCGATGCCTTTTCGTAATCTCCGCCTACGCCCCCACTGACTGCAGTTCGGATGAAACGAAGGATGAGTTCTACCAAAAGCTGTCTAGTTTGGTGAGAAAGGCTAAACGCTCAGATATAGTCGTTCTAGCTGGTGACTTCAACGCTCAAGTAGGGAAATTGTGTCAATCTGAGAAGGATGTCGGTGGCACCTATGGAGTTCCGTGCCAGCGAACCGACAACGGTGACCGTCTCCTACAGTTCTGTTCAGATAATCATTTGTTTCTTGTAAGCACTAACTTTAAACACAAGGAGAGACACTGTTTAACCTGGCGACCCCCATCATCAAACCAACGCTGGACACAAATAGACCACATAGCAATAAGCTATCGTTGGCGTGGGTCGGTAGGAGATTGTCGCTCCTTCTGGAACACGTGTGTAGATACCGATCACGCACTGGTCCGGGCTCGTGTGTGCTTACGACTGAACGGACGTAGGAAACAGCTGGCGGTAAAACCATTACGCCCCCAGCTCGATCAGGAAACTAAATCCCTATTTGAGGAAGAACTAGCTAAACGCATATCTGAATCGACAGCTGTGCTCACCCTGGAGAAGCCTGGAAGAATATTCAGTCAGCTATAGATACAGCTGTAAAAGCTGTGAATAAGACAAATCCAAAGGTGAGTAAAAACCACTGGATTTCGACTGCCTCATCCGAACTGATAGATGCTAGAAGACTTATTCCGGCGAGCTCCGAATTCAATGAGGAGCGAAAGCTGCACAAAAGGAAACTTACTAAAAGTCTCCGCAAGGACCGTGAACAGTGGTGGGTGACAAAGGCGAAAGAGATGGAAAAAGCATTGGCGATAGGCAACACTAGGCAACTCTTTAGACTCATCACAGAATCGGGCGGGAGAAGGCAATTCATAAGTGAGACTATTTCTGAGAAAAATGGCTCCTTAATTAGCTCTCAGGATAGACGCCTTGAACGCTGGAAAGAACACTTTGAGGAACAATTTAACTTGCCTACAGCCACACTGAACCTCCCCGCCATCCAACACACCCGAATGGGATATAGACACTGGTCCGCCGTCTGTAGGTGAGGTTACAAAAGCTATCAGTAATTTGAAACGAGGCAAAGCGGCAGGACCCGACGGAATTATTCCGGAGGTGTTTAAATATGGGGGTGACATACTAGTTTGTAGATTAACTGAGGTACTAGGCAAAGTCTGGGAATCAGAGACAGTACCATCAGACTGGGGTAAGTCACTTATTATACCGATATTCAAGAAGGGAAACAAGTCCTCGTGTGATAATCATAGGGGGATCAGCCTAACGAACATAGTCTCTAAAATCCTAGGCTCAGTAATCATGCATAGACTAAGCAGAACTCGGGAGGAACAGACAAGGGAAAATCAAGCAGGCTTTAGACCAGGTAGAGGGTGCATAGATCATATCTTCACTCTTCGACAGATTCTAGAACATAGACACACTTTTCGGCGTCCAACAATTGTCATATTTCTTGACTTGAAGGCGGCCTTCGACTCCGTGGATCGAAAGGTACTATGGCAATGTCTGACTGTGAAGGGAGTGCCAAGAAAGTACATTGCACTAATCAAGGCACTCTATTCAAACTCACGTAGTCGTGTAAGGGCTTATGGGGAATTGTCATCTGAATTAGTAACAACCAGTGGTGTCCGACAGGGATGTCCACTTTCCCCATTTCTGTTTAACTTCATCATAGATATGCTAATGGAAGTATCCTTAACTGAACGTAGTGACTTAGGAATCGACTTGTTACCAGGGAATAATCTAATGGACTTAGAATATGCAGATGACATAGTCCTGTTAGGGGAGGATGCTGACAAAATGCAGAGTCTTCTGAACACCTTGAGCAGCAATCTTCGTATGTTTGGCATGCGATTCGCCCCTGCAAAATGTAAGATGCTGCTACAGGACTGGACCACGTCAACCCCTAACTTAGTGATAGGGAGTGAAGTGATAGAACATGTTGACCACTTCACCTACTTGGGAAGTTGTATTAGCACCAACGGACTGATTGGCGATGAAATCTCAGCACGGATCCGAAAAGCTCGAGCTGCTTTCGCTGACTTACACCATCTCTGGCGTAGGCGTGACATCCGGTTATCAACCAAGGGACGTGTGTACTGCTCATCAGTTCGCTCCGTCCTTCTCTATGGCTCTGAAACATGGCCAATACGCGTTGAAGACATGAAAAGGTTGACTGCTTTCGATCATAGATGTCTGCGATCTCTGTCTCACGTTAGGTGGTTTCACAAGATAAGTAATGTTGACGTTAGGCGTAGAGTGTTGGGCAAAGAGGGAAAATCAATCGACGAGGCTATAAAGTTACATAGACTAAGATGGCTAGGTCACGTGCTGCGCATGCCTAACCACCGCCTCCCCCGACGGGCATTGTTAGCTGATATAGGTTCAGGTTGGAAAAGAGCCAGTGGTGGCCAAACAAAAACATGGCATCAATCCATGAAATCCTTGACAGTTAAACTGAGTCAGGTAGGGAGATGCAGACTCCCGGGTTGGGGCCCTCGGGACTCTAGGAATCAATGGCTGGAGACAATAGGTGACATGGCTCAAAATCGTTGTCAATGGCGCAGATGTATTCAATCTCTGTAATCTTTCATATTCCTTTCTACCATTACCCATTCTGTTTCACTCTTATATTTGTCAAACTCTATTAATTCTCTTCACTCATCTTCTTGTCTACCTCTGTGTGCTATTTGGAACGTGGCAACTCGAACTGCTGCACTTCGGTGCCAAGTTCTATGTTGAATCCAGACAGACAGTGCTTCGAGTTAGTGTGATATAAGGCATAAATTATCGTTATCTGGAAGCACAAATATTGTGTCAAACACAGAGATCTGTATATAGCATTTACCACCTTCCAGCACTGGATCTATAAGGACTTTCAAACGTGAATAATGTCTTGCTGAATGACTCCGTTTATCATTTAAAGCAAAAATTTATTAACAGATAAAAAGTAACCGCTGACAGACTACATACATACCTGGAATAAATTTTGACGATTTCTTAAAGCAGTTAACTTCGACTGTTGAATTTCATGTTCTTCATGTGGATTTGGTTGGGCAAAAAATTCAATTAAATCTTCTAAGCATTGAGTCACTTCACCCAATAACTGTCCATTACTTAAATTATATTGATTTTGTTGTATTGGTAAATTCATACTCTGTGATGGTGATGAAATATAATTCAGTGTATGAATAAAATGATTAAATACAGAGGTACATCGACGGATAGCTGACGCCGAACGAATTTCTTCATCTTGTGCTCTAACTAAACTAAATAAATCATCCATATGTCCTTCAATGAGTAGGACAGCTTTTTTCTCTTCTACTCGACCAACACCACGTTTACGTGTTTCATAAGCTTCATAGGATAACCAACGACCAGATGCAGCGTGTTGTAGATAAGTCAGCGTTTCGCCTAATCTTAAATCTGGTTCACCCATACCTTCAGTTTCATGTTCTTCTGAACGTTTTTTATCATCCTATTGAATGAAAAAAAGAAGAAAACAGATTAACAGTAGTAATAATAATAGAAATAACAAGCCTTAAATAAATCATAATTTCTCTCGGTGTCCCAGTGGACCACATAGTTAACATCGTTGTCGATAGGCACTTGATTTCATGCAATAAATTTGCTAAAGGGATTTTGTCTGACTTGGAGCATCCACTTCACCCTCAGATTTCTTTCACCTTGCATCTCCTCAGGTAGAACAAGAAGTAACTTCATAAAACTGTATGCTCGCACGTCTAAGTATAATAATTCTATGATACCATACCTGTCACGTATTTTATGTGATGAAAATAGTGTCAGGCAAGAACTAACTAACCTTATTTCATCTAGTAAATAAACAATTTCCTCCATCCATCCATCCATCCATCCATCCATCCTTGTATACCTTCAAGCTTCACTTTTATTATTTCTATTATATTTACGGTCCTGTTGCTTCTGTGTTTGTTTTACTCTCATAATTGAAAACACCAACTTATCTCTACGACTGCTGTGATCTTTGTTTTTCCCCTCACTATATCATGTAAAGAGAACATTATATTCAATATTTTTAAACATGTTAGGATTTCTATACCACATTGCCAATACTGTGTGACACAAGCCCACAGCAATTTCCACTTGTATTCTTATTCTTATTACCCTAGCTGTTATCATTATTATTATTTCCATTTTATATGCTGCATGTTTTTGACATTACCCACCCCTATTGTGAATGTGGAAAATTTTCTGTGTGACTAATTTTATCTATAATTTGAGGAAATTAGATGGCATATTGTGATTAATGCTGAAAATTCCATTCTGTATCACAAGTACTGTTTTTGGAATAAAGTAAATCATTATTATTATAATACTTTAGGATTAGAAGTCAAATCGTCATTCGCAAATTACATAATTTGACATCAAAAAAATTAAGGATCACAGTAAATGATCCGAATGATACTGTAAACCGCAGTATAGAAGCCATAGGAGATCCCATGATGATTTACAATTCAAAAATATCCAACACAATCCTACAGAAGGTCAATTGCGGGCCTCAATGGCTCAGTGGTAACGTCTCTGACTGCAACACTGAACTAAGTGCCGCGGGTTCGAACCTCAGAAGAGACATGAGTTCTCTGAAGATTAGAGATACACCTTACCGACAGGTGAGTGCCAACTAGCACGAAATCCAGGTCAAAAGCAAGGCTTCCTGTAGCCGCCAAAGGGTGGTCATCAGTTCGCTCCGTCCTCATTTATGACAGCTGTGAGCGAGACCTGGCCAATGAGAGTGGAAGACATGAGAAGATTAGATGTCTTTGATCACAAGTGCCTGCGATCTATCTCTCGTCTGAAGTGGTATAATACGGTAAGCAATATTGAGGTTAGGCTTCTGTCGAGTGCTTGGTAAGGAGGGACGAGGCTGTGAAATTACATCTACATCTACGGAGATGATTAGGACATGTGTCACTTATGCATGCCTAGTCATCAATTGCCCTCCTCGACCGGCAATGTTAGCTGACATAGGGTCAGACTGGAAAAGAGCTAATGGCGGTCAAACAAAAACATGGCTTCGTCAGTCAATGAAATCCACAACAGTTAGTTTAAGTCGGCCAGCCACGTAGGAAGGTATAGACCACCTGGTTGGGGTCCTCAAGACGGCAAAAACCAACGGTTAGAAACAATTTGTGATATGGCTCAAAATCGTTCTCAATGACTGGTGCAGATGCATCCACTCCTTGTGACTTATCATTTCAAATGAAACTATATTGTTCTTTGTTATTACTATTCCTTTGTCTCACACCTCTGTTTACTGTCTGTATTATGCATTTCTTGTACTTTCTTCTCTTGCTTTGTGTGCTACAAGGCGGGAGTTTGGCGACTTGAACTGGTGCACATCTGTGCAAAGTTCGATGTCGAAAATAGATAGACAGACTGGATTCGACGTGCAATTTTGCACAGATGTGCAACAGTTCGAGATGCCACAATCCATGTAGTACGCAAAGCAAGAGAAGAAAGTAAGGCGAGAATCAAAAGAAGGGGAAATAAACAGAAGTTTGAATGAGAGAAAAATAGTAGTAATATGGAAGAAACATAGAATTGTACTGGATATGATAAATCACAAAGCGTGAATGCATCTGCACCAGTCATTGAGAACGATAACTTTGAGTTAGCCATATCACCAATTGTCTCCACCCACCATTGGTTTTTACTGGCCTTAGGACCCTAACCAAGAAGTCTACACTTCCCTACGTGACTGGCTGACTGGCTTGAACTAACTGTTTTGGATTTCATTGACTGATGTCGTATTTTCATCTAACCACCAATAGCTCTTTTTCTACGTGATCTTATATCAGTTAACGTTGACCGTCGAGTAAGGCTATGGTTTGGGATGTATGCTTCACCATCTCAATCGGTGTAACTTCACAACGCTGTCAGTTGATTCCCGCTCCTTATCTAGCACTCGACAGAAGTCTAACCTCAATATTGCTCACCTTACTATACGAATTTACACAGGAGACAGAACGTAGACACCTATGATCAAAGACAGTTAGCCAGGATTTTCGTATCTTCAACTCTCAATGGTCATATCTCACTGACAGTCATAAAGGTGGAAAGAGCGGACTGTTGAGCAGTGCACACGCCGACCAGATATAACGTCTACTAAGCCAGAGATGGCATAAATTGGCATTTGCGAAACGAGCTAAAATGTGGCTGAAAATGTATAAATATGGTGTGATTTTCCTCATTGAAAAATTCCGTTACCAAGTTTCTTGTCTTTCCACGTTACATTAGGACTAAGGCTAGAAAAACAAACAGGTGTGAATATATATTAAAGACTTTTATCCATATAAGACTAATGCTTCACCGAGAATACAAGTAATTAAAAAAATACACTCTTGAAGCGGTCGAATCTATTCCAGCAGAAAACTATTAAAGATAAATCCCAGAGAGCTGAATGACCTGATCCAATTTGTCTGCAAACAGAAGACTTCGCAAGCTAAAATGGTTCATTTTCGGCTAAGCGCCTCCGAAAAACTCCTTTACAATGTGTGGTGAAATCAAGAGAACACTTCCTATTATATACAGAATTCCACAGTGTAAATGCATCCGCTTATTAGTAAGAGAGATGGCAAATCAGAAAGCAATGCAAACTCACTGGAAACACTGTCAATCTTTAAAATATTTAAGTATATTTAGTTAGTAAGTTACAAACACCTCGCATGTTATTAAACTGGTCGCTACAAAATGAAAATTTTTCGCATCTTTTCAAACAGCTTACATGTCAGAAAGGCTGATGAAGTCGCCTCAACATGTGGTTTTTTCTTTTTTTTTTTCCTTCACGTTCCCAGTGGAACGTAGAGCTTTAAGCTAGAGGCTTGAATTTTCGGTAGCAGTGGCATTTATTTCTACGGGATGGGGTTGCTAGCCAGCCTAATGCCCAACGTTTTCTCTTTACCAGTCTCACTACTGGCTTAGTGAGGTGTTAGGAGTGCGTCGGCAGTGGGAATATCGAACCCCGGACCATGTGAATGGTCGGCTAGCATCCTAACCGCTGTGCCGCCGACGCACCCCAACATGTGGTAGTAGTCAGAAATCATAGTCTAATGGGTTCCAACCATGTGATAAAATGCTGAGGTGATTGCCCAGTAACTTAATTACCCTCAGTTTGTTCTTTAATAGTGTGTCTGTGTCAATGTGTGTATGAATACACCCTGTTGAAGAGTCCTTAAGTCGAATAAATACCTAGCAAGCGCTCCTAGGCTTCTGGTGTTTCTTCACGCATATTTCAACTCGTGACGAGATCCAGCCTGAAATAGTAACGGGATTAAAGAGTTCACCTAATGCGAATACCAGTCTGTCTGTCTGTCTGTCTATTTTCGAAATCGAACTTTGCACAGATGTGCACCAGTTCAAGTCGCCAAACTCCCACCTTGTAGCACACAAAACAAGAGAAGAAAGTACAAGAAATGCATAATACAGACAGTAAACAGAGGTGTGAGATAAAGTAATAGTAATAACAAAGAACAATATAGTTTCATTTGAAATGATAAGTTACAAGGAGTGGATGCATCTGCACCAGTCATTGAGAACGATTTTGAGCCATATCACGAATTGTTTCTAACCATTGATTTTTACCGTCTCAAGGACCCCAGCCTGGAATACCAGTGCGTCGGTGGCACAGCGGTTAGGACGCTCGTCAACCATTCACATGATTCAGGTTTTGATCCCCGGCCGGCGCACTCCTTTACCTGGTTAATCCAGTAGTGAGACTGGTAAAGAGGAAAGGTTGGGCATGCGGTCGGCTAGCAACCCCATCTTGTAAAAATGAACACTGCTGCAGAAACTTCAAGCGTCTAGCTTGAAGGCGCTCTATGTTCCACTGGGAACGTAAAGGAATCTTAAAAAATGTGCATACCTATTTACCTAATTATAATAATCAACTGAAGGTTACACGTAGTTATTCAGAGAAGATTAACACACTTGTTATAAAATTTATCAATCATACCTTTGTAGGTCTTATCAAGAATATTGATGCTGCATTTGTTGCTTCATGCGCTGACAGAGTGACTACATCACAATGTCCAGTACCATTAGCTTCATTTGGCAGAACACCAAGATAACGACCAGTAGTGACATGACGTAAGCGAATTTCACAACCCCATGAAAAGAAACCAGCACTCCATTTTGTTTTTTTATGTTCTATCCGCCATAATGAACGTGCACTAGTTGATACAGCTCCAATTTCATACATTACTGCATGACGTGATCTGATTGTGGGCGGTAGGGAGGGGGGGGGAGGAGAAATTAGAATTAGGATGAGTTACAATATTATAAAAAGGTTTTAAAGAATCACTTAAATTGATACAAAAAAATCACCAAATATTTTCAAGCTTTTCAATTGTAATATTTTGCATTTTCAATTTTCCTGTTCTCTACCCCAACCCGATTTAATTTCTACACTTCATTACCACTGTTACTGACTTGACTTGACGCTCAATTTCTAGTCATTTATGTTACCGCATCCAATTGATTTGCTCAACTTTTGTCCTAACTTAAATGGAATTATGCTCTACCTCACCTCTACTTAGTCTCTCTCTACCTGTAATTACTTCTGTTGCTATCCTGACATAATTTGAAACATTTCAGTCAATTGTATTACGTCATCCAAGTTACTAACTAACTCAGTCTTACTTTAGTTGCTGTTTGATTAACCTTGTTTCTATATTAGATCATTCTTGTATTAATTCTTGTATAAGTTATCTAAACTTGACAAATCTCATGTATACACACATTATATATGAATGCGATTGTACAGCTATGTGAATGAATCCGCTGAAAAGAGTCTCTTTACTGAACGTCTTCTCTTTTTCATTAACTGAACTACAAAGTATAACAACCAGGATTATTATTATAAATATATTATCTATGCTACTATCCACCTATACTTCATTATGTTTCCATCAACATTCTGCCTACAGAGGTTTCATTATTAATATTATTATTACTACTTTAAAGTTTATGTACGTACATATTAATATAAGGAGCTAAATTGTTGCGGTATGCAAAAAATTGCTAAAAATTCCATTCTGTATTATTACTATTGGTACTATAGTTTGGTTTCTAAGGGTTTGTTATGTTTTTACGAGTTGATCATGGATTGATATCAGTTAGAGAACCATTGAAAACCAGCCATAGGGAGTACTGGATAGCTGCTGATTCATCCTAGTGCTTGAGAATCATCGGCAGTACGCACCCACCGCCAGGGTTCGAACCCAGGACCTTCTGGTCACAAGGCAAGCAGGCTCGTATACCATTCAGCCTCTGGAACTCGATTCAATGGCTCATGAATTCTAAGTGGTGCTCGCTAGTGAGTTGCTACAGGATGGAGTTTCCTGGATTTAGTTCTAGTGAGAAGTCGTGACCAGTGAGGTCCATCCAGATGTCACGTGTGAGAATGGATGTCCCCCCAACGACAATGGTTGGGGACGCGCTAAATCACGAATCGGTAAAAGTTAGCATTCATTAGCCATTGAATCGGGTCCGCGTGGCTGAGTGGTATACGAGCTTGCCTTGTACCTGGAAGGTCCTCGGTTCGAACCCTTGGCTGGTAGTGGGTGCGTACTGCCGATGATTCCCAGACTAGGGTGAAACAGCTGGCTGTCCAATACTCTCCGGTTTTCAATGGTTCTCTTACTGATATCAATCCGTGATCAACTTGTGATTATTATGATTGTTTCAGTCTAATGGCGATCCACACATTCTTTTTGTTTACAGATATTTGAGTAAAGTATCATAACTAAAGCGAACAGTGTACCGAATCACCTTGAACAACTCACAACTTAAATGAATTACGTTGCCGCCTTCATCCTAATACAGCTTCGACACTGAACTCATAGGAAAGAAAGAGGCGAAATCTCCCCTTCTACCAAAATTGAATACAACAACATCCGTTCTTGTTGCAGTATTCACTGCTAATGTTCATTTGGTTGAAACAGTCTCACTGAAACATAAATCCAATCACGGCTATGAAACGGTCAATCAGAATTTGACTACTTCAACAATATGATGCAACCTTAAAGAAATGATTCAGTGCAGCAATTAACAAGAGGAGCTTTAATGTCTTGCTAGTGACTACCCAACTTCTATTAAGACTCAGGGGTAGCCTGCCTACTGATGAGTGGAGGAGATCCTCTCAATGGTCCGGGGTTCGAGCCCGCACCGACGCACACCTGATATCTATGGTCGGCCTGCGAATTTTGGGCTACCGATATCCATGCTGAAAATTCCATACTTGTACCGAAAATACAGTGTGGAATCAGGCTGTAAATCAAAAAAAAAAAATTTCTCCTTTCGGATATATGTGCCGTACATCATACAATAGATTTCCAACCGTAAAATGAAGGCTATGGTGGCATACATCAACTTCAGGCACCTATGGCGCCGTCGCGACGTTAGCCTGGCTGTCAAAGGTCAGGTATACAATGCTTCGGTGCGGACTGTTTTGCTCTATGCCTGTGAAACCTGACCTCTCTGAATAGGCTGAAGATGTTCGGCGACTCTGCATGTTCGATCACCGCTGTCTTCACAGGATTGCTTGCGTTCGATGACATCATCGCGTGAGTAATTCTGAGGTTCAGCGGCGTGTGTTTGAACACAGTGGAGATCACCATTCATTGAGTGGCGTCATCTGAAAACACCGGCTCCGGTGGCTTGGACATGTGGTGAGAATGTCATCCCAGAGGAGGCTTCCATACAGGTCTCTGTTCGCTAGCCAGCCCTGGGACGGGGTGGAAAAGGCGGAGGGGTGGGTGGTCAATCCAAGACGTGGCGTCGTGGGATGAAGGGTGTCTGTGCTAGATTAGCATAGATTGGTGTGTCCCGACTCCCTGGTTGGGGTCCACGAGATAGCTCAAATCGACAGCTCGAAACGTTATCGGATATGGCCACGAATCGCAGTCATCAATGGCGAACGTGTTCCAATTTCCTTCTTTCTTCCCTTCCCGATGATAGTTAACGATACCGTTTGAACTTGTTAAGCATGACTGTTTTCCTTCCAGATGGAGTTCTTTATCCGTTCTCTACTTATATATATTTTTTTACTTTTAATCTATGTTGTTTTATTATTATTATTATTGTGTGGCACATCTTTTTTGGTGCCATATTGTACCAAATTTTTCCTGCGTTTAAATAAATAAATAAGTAAAAATGCAATAGACCACTCATTAAACGTCATTAGACGATTATGATTGGTCACTCAAAGGTCATTTGATAATTCATCATATTGATTTGTTAGAATTTAAAAAAATCCAAAAAAGACGCATCTTCATCTATAACTTACCCAGCTAATAAATCTGTATTCACTATACTTGAACGTTGAATCTTATTTGGTGGACTGCCTGGAGCTGATCCATTGACAGATATAGCAACTGATGGTGCGAATTCTTCTGATTCAGCAGCACAAGCAGCGGTTAAAGATTCATCACCATGAAATAGGCGAACAACATCTCCACCAAGTACCATATCTAAAAAGATTGACAAATAAATATTGAAGGGAATTGTATTATTATTATTGTTATTATTTGATTTAAGGCGGCGCAGAGGTAGATTGCTTGACAGTCACTCAGGTGGTCCAGGATTCGATCCCTGGTCAACGCATTCCAAAATTAAGCTTAGGCAATAATAAGTCTGGCAAAGAGGGAAGGTTGAACGTGAGACAAGCAAACCCACCCTGTGAATATAAAACACTACTCTTACCGAAACTTCAAAGCTCTAGCTTGAAGTTGCCCTGTGCATCACCGGGAATTTTAAGGGATAAAATAAATAATACATTTGGGAACAATTCAACTCAGATCATTAAATATTCCCATTAATAATTTTAGAACAAGATATATAAGCGAACAATATTGTTGTTTTCAATTCGATCTCCACCAGGCTTAACTCTAATATACATATTACACAACTTCCTTACTTTAGCTGGTGTTCCTCAAGGTGCTGTTCTTTCTCCCTTTCTGTTCTCGTTTTTCTTACATGACTTGCCTCATTCTGATGTAGCCACTTTTGTTAAGTATGCCGATGACCTCTCAGTTTCTATGCCTGTCAACTCTCAGTCAGATTGTTCCAAATTAAATAGCTTTCTGTCGGAAATTAGTCAGTGGTCCTCTTTAAACGGACTTAAGCTTAATCCGTCAAAATGTCAGGTAGTCAATTTCACTTTCAGACGTAAATGTGACCTACAGCAACTAGTTAGCTCACATGGCCCCACTATCATTGACGGCACAGAGGTTGAAAATACATCTTATGTCAAGTATCGATCTTTCCTGGTCTTCCCACATCTTTCTAGTTACTAGAAAGTCTTTACTTTCTCAATTTGTAAATTCTTGTATTCTACCCATCCTCCTTTACTGCTCCCCATTAGTCTTTCCTGGACTACTTAAGAAAGACTTTGCTTTGCTGAGAAGGGCACTAAAAGCTGTTAGTAGGGCAAGTGGGATATCGTTAAACCAACTGGTGAACACTATTGTAGATAGACATATTATGTCATGTAAGAAACTAGCGAATACAATATTGTCGGACCCCGAGCATCCTCTCTATACGCATCTATCTCCTTGTATTTCATCTGGAAGAACTAGAAGCAGCTATAGGAGGCTGGCTATATGCTAGGACTACCAAATACAAAAAGTCCACAATACCATATCTGGCACAGCTGTTATGTGATGAGAAATCCGTTAGGTATGACACGATAAACTTACTGCAGCACTCTAACAAATAGTCTCATTAGTTTTTGTTTTCCTTTCCCCGTTACTACTACACTGTTGTTCTCATCTACTACCACACATCAACTTTATATTTCATATCCTGTGGTGAATTGTTTGAAATGAAATACTCTACGCTGTTTTTTTCTTAATTTTTAATTTTTATTTATTTCTAACTTATTTATTTTATTTTTATTTATTTTTGATTTTTAAAAATCTTATATAATTTATGAGGTAATTAGATGCAATATACTGTAATGCACGCTGAAAATTCCATATCTGTACCACAAATACTGTTTAGAATAAAGCTGTTATTATTATTATTATTATTATTTAAAAAAAAACTTTACTAGGCAGCTCAGCCAACAAGTTAGTGAGCATCTCCTATCGTGGTGGTCTGACAAAGGATAGACAAAAACAATCCGTAGCTTAATTTTGTCACATTTAGTTGATAGTGGTCATGTAGGGGAAAAACCAAGAGCTTTCAAAGTAATTCATCGTATCCCACCGGATCTTTCCAATTGACTTTGTATTCGTCTACTGCACGCCCACAGCTGAGGCGATAGCCATTATCCCTCCCTTATTGGCCTATTAAGACATAACCAACTAATGACCTCAACACCACCCCTTGTTTATATTTTCAACCCCTTTCTTATCATCCTTTAATGTTATCACATCTTCAATAAAAACGTGTCTCATTTACTTCCCTTACAATCAGTCTAGCATTACTTAATCGGTTCATTTGTTTTTACTAGCCTTTATCGACTACCACTTCTACCTGAACATTTGTTTGCTTAATCATGCTGTTTTTTTCATTATTCGTGTTATCACAGATTGCCTCACTTTTTCATCCTTATTATTGATAAAACCATTATTATTATTATCACCACTACTACTATTATGACTAATTGCACAATTTATATTCACCATCTTATTATGCTATAGATAAAACACCACAATCGGTTTATATTTGAATTTTTTTATTTGTAAAGTTATGTATTATATATTAGAGTTGAGCCTGATGAGATCTAATTGAAAATAATATAAAAATTTAATCAATACAAAGTGAGTACATTAGAGTAAAACCTGAAGAATATCTTACTGAAAACATAATATTATTAGCTTATATGTCTTGTTTTGATCTAGTTCAAATTTAACGTCAGACTGTAGCTGTCAGTAAAGTCTATACAACAGGAGAACCTATTACACTGTTCCACAGTTGTGCATATTCTCCCTCAGTTAATCTAGTAAAATATTTTCAACCATTTACTAACTGAACACTAGGATGTTACCAGTTACATTTATCTAGTGTTTGGTATTAGTATTGACTGAATTCTATCTGTCACTAAGCTAGGTGACCATGACTGGAATCCATGACAGAAAAGCGATGGTGAGAGGGATTATTTCTGTTACATTCCCATTTGTTGGCATTCTTCACTCCGACGAAATCTCAGCACGGATACAGAGGGCTAGTTTCGCATATGCCAGTTTATGTCATCTCTGGCGTAGACTTGATATCCGACTGGCTATAGACCACAGGGCGTGCGTACTGCTAAGCAGTCCTCTCCATCTTCCTTTATGACTGAGCAAGACATGGTCATTGAGATTGGAAGACATGAAAAGATTAGCTGTCTTCGATCATGGATGCCTGCGCTCTATCTCCCGTGTGAAATGATATAATAAGGTGAGCAATAGTGAAATTAGGCATCAGTCGAGTGCCAGGTAAGGAAGGAGGGGAAATCAATCGACGAGGCTGTAAACTACATTGACTGAGATGGTTAGGACATGTGTTACGTATGCTTAGCCATCGCCTTCCTGGACGGGTGATGTTAGCTGATATAGGGTCAGGCTGGAAAAGAGCTAGGCAGTGGTGGTCAGACCGAAACATGGCATCATCAGTCAATGAAATCCACAACAGTAAGTTTAAGCCATGTAGGAAGGTGTAGACTTCCTGGTTGAGGTCTTCTGGACGGTAAAAACCAATAGCTGGGAACAATTGGTGATATGGCTCAAAATCGTCCTCAATGGCTGGCGCAGATCAACCCACTCCCTGTGACTTATGATTTCAAATGAAACTATATTGTTCTTTGTTAGTACTATTCCTTTGTCTCACACCTCTGTTTACTGTCTCTATAATGCATTTCTTGTACTTTCTTCTCTTGCTTTGTGTGCTACATTGAGGAATAGTGGCGACTTGAACTGGTGCACATATGTGAAAAGTTCTATGTAGAAAACAGACAGACATTCTTCACTCAAGCAAACATTTTTGCTGTATAACTCAAAAGATAACGATAGATCGAGATCTTAATCGAGTACAAATCAAAGATCAGATCTATCCAAAACTATGTACACAATTTAGTCATCAGACAGTAATAAGACTAATTACACTCTCCCTAATAAATACCTAATTTTGAATCACTAAGGAATGTAGCAAGTTTACATGCTTCTAAATTATTAAACACGATAGAGATCTTTGTCATAGATGTCTGTTATCCAGTTCAGCTGTGAAAGATAATAATGCCCGGTGATATTATTGTTACTATTTACTGTTATGCAGAAGAATAAGAGAATATAGGACTTCAAGTGAACATGGAGAAGATAGGGGTGACGAAAATACCCAGCCAACAACAACGAGCACTAATCACTGCCAATGGCAGAAATGTAAGGTGGGTCGTCCATTTCACACACTCGACATGGGTAGTAGGATTGTGCAAACTACTGACAGGTGACACGAATGAAGCTATCAAAGATAGCTAGGATCGAAGAAGCACGATAGCTATTGTCCACTTTAAAATCCTTCTGGGAATCCACATACACACAAAATTGGCATTACTATCAAGTCTGTCAATGCTTCGATATAGTTCAGAGATACGTCAGCTAAAGCATTTCCAAAAGGCGACACACTTTGGTCAACTCTTGTCGTCGCTCATACGATAGTGAAGATGAAATAGAAGCCACAGCGGATAAGCAGCAAGGACCGCTCTTTGGCAAAGAAAAAAACGCAGATAGATTGACATACACTGAAGAGACATTCAAGTGATATCACAGAACATGTAGGCTGTCGAGTGAATCCCGAATAAGAGATGAAGTGTTAGGCGTTCGAGGGTGACAAAAAGATAATGTGGTGGTTAACAGCAAAACCTAGAACATTCATTACGTCTTATTCGCTACTTTTTATCCTAATGTACCTGTATCTCCGTGAGGAGTCATGTTATCACTAACAGTTGAAACCAACACATATCATTTCAAGTGTTAGTTTACAGGGATTTCATTTGATTACAGGATTGGTCACCAGCAATTAAAGAACCATTGGAGAACCATCTGGGAGTACCGGACAGCTGTTTTGTCCTACTTTGGGACTCTTCATCGGTACGCAGTCACCAGCCAGGTTCGAACTCGATGTCTTCTGGTCACAAGGCTAGTTCATAGACCATTCAGCCACTGAAATCCGATCCAATGCTCCATGAATTCCAACTTCTGACAATTCGTGAAGCATATTTAGCGCAACCGCCATCGTTTATAGTTTATCACGCCACGTTTAGGTGCTAAATATTTATTAAAGAGGGACAATATATACATATATATATATATACATATATATATATACATATATATATATATATCAGTGAAAATATATAAGATAACATACGCATAGATTTGTGTCTAATTGCACCACTGGATACAGGAAGTACAGTCCATAATGTCTGTTGAAAACTGGCGATTACACCATGATTTGAATTGATATCTCCATAAACATGCTAAATGACAACGAAAATGAAGAAGAGGGGGGGGTGGGAAGAGCAAATCAAAAACACTCAGTTAATTATTTTAAATAGAGATTAGACAGACTAAACACTAGCAGGTAATTGAGTTTGAATATAGGAACTTTATGATGAAGTACAGCAGTTCGAGTTACTACACTCCGTTTACCGTACAAATGTAGAAAAATGAGACACAAGAAGTGATCCGAATGAAATATAATGAGCAAGAATGTAGGAAAGAAAGAATATTAATACGGAAAAAAACATGACGGTTTAACGGATATTGGAGACAACAACAAGTGAATGAGAATTATTTTTGACCATATCACTAAACTACTTCGCTCCTACAGGGTGTCACCAACAATTATACACACTCATCCAACGGTTGTACGATAATGCTACATGCTAAGTATTCCACAACAAGAAACTCACGGAATCCTTCGAAGTGAAGATGAGAGTAAGACAAGTTGGTTGCCTACTATCTCCGATGACTCATTTCCTGATTGCAGTGGATTGGATAATGCGACAAACAGCGGGCCTGGCAACGAGGAGATAGGCATAAAATGGACCCATACAAAAAACTTGGAGGATCTGAATTTCGCCGATGATATATATCTGATTTCTCACAAACTAGAAGATATGCAAATAAAAAGCAACAAGTTGACAGAAGAAGCATCCACTGAAGATAGAATTTCCTTCGGGTGAACATAGATAAAACAGAGGTGACAGTGAAGATTCCTGGCCAACAGCAACAGCAACAACAACAACTACAGACAACAATCAGACAGCATAAATGGGAGAAATCTGAAAGAAGCAACCTGCTTTACCCACCTACCTACCTGGGAAACATCGTTTCAACTACAGACGGACTAGACTGATGAGGATATCATCAAAGTGAGGATCGGGAAAGCAAGGCAAGCTTTCATCACTTTCAAGTCTGTGTGGAGTTAGATCAAAAGCACTCAGCATGAAAATGAAAATAAGATCCCGATTTCCAACTCCAATGTGAAGTCAGTGCTGCTTTATGGATCAAAGACTTGACTCCGCGCCGCGTCATGAAGGCCACTTCGAACAAACTACACATCTTCATCAATAGTTGTCTTTGTTCAGCTTTCAAGATCAGATGGCAGGTCAGAAAACATCAAAACTAGTGAGGGATCTCTGGCAATGAGCGAACCAAACCAGCAGGAATCAGTTGTGCAAGAAATATGCAGGAGGAAATGGAGGTGGATTGACCATAGTCTGAGAAAACACACCATCAAGTGACATCACACGCTATACACTGTCACTAACAGACGTGATCCCATTTATACTATCAAAAGAGGAAATAAGCAGAAACGGGTTAACATCAGCCAAACTGTAGAAATGGTTTCACGAGGGATAAGCAGGCCGGGACCAAGATAAAAACAGAAAGGCGTACAACTAAGAAGGTGGGAGCGACTACACTCGAAACTATCTGACAGAAGGGGGGGGGCTAACAAGCCTTTTCAGTAGTACATAAAGAGATGTTCATCGGTACACAAAAATATCAAATGGTGAGGCGATAGATCTGACGTTAAAGAAAGCAAATGAACCAGTGTATTGAGGCAAAACATAGGAGATATGAAAAGAAGACAAAGAAAATCAATACGAAGGAAGGGCAGAAGTAGCACAACTCAAGAGAACTGTGCAAATGATCACTTTCATATAAGATGTACATCATTTCCTTATATAGAAATATTAAATTCCAGATAGAAATTCTTTTACCAATTCTCTTGCCTTCTGTTGTTATGACACTAAGGTCATGGTAGTTAAATTTTACACAGATATTTATGTCAAAACACACCTCCAGTAAGGTGAATTGCTAAGCAATTCAATTTGAACAACAAAGTATTGATTTTTTGTTTTCCTTTCACATGACCTTAAACAGGGATGTGAAGATTACACAATTTATCAGCTGTTATTGATTAAACTCATTAATGACAATATTTTTTTGGCTCTACTGTGTACATGCAACTAACTTTTAACTGGAAAGACAGTTAGCTGATTTCATATTAATATAAGTATAAAACTTGGGCACTGTGGTAGAGTATAACTCTATTATGGATAAGATTTTATTTTGATAAATCACACAGTGTTGTTATACAGTAATATTAACTGATTCTATATATATATATATGATAGAGAAGATTTGTAGCTCAGGTGGATAATTTTGATGTGGTTTTGTTCTCTGAGCTGGATGGTTAGTTTGCGAAGCTTTCATCACCCTACTGGGTGACATCTTCAGCGCCCATACTTCAATTTGAAGTCAGCTTTTAGATTTCTCCACGAGTTTATTAATCATCTCTCCTGAAGGGCGACCTTGGACGTGATTGGTTGTTTATGTGTGTTTTCACACATTCTGGGTTACTTGTATTGGAACTGATTGTTTCCACGGAATTTCATCAAGAGACATATACCCCCAAGCCAACCTACCAAAGCAAAAGCCACCAAGGAAAGCACAAAGAAAATCGCCTTACCATATATAAAAGATATCTCAGAAATCACTACAAGACTCTTCAAACCTTTAGGAATTGACGTCGTATACAAACCAACAAAGTCGCTGTACTCAATTCTATGTCAACCGAAAGACTCAACAGCGAAAGAAGACAAAACCAACATCATCTACAAAATAAACTGTAACAACTGTGAAAAACACTAAATTGGCCAAAGTGGACGTCCCCTTCGTCTTCGTATCCACGAACATAAGCTAGCCGTCAAAAGACATGATATCCACTCCCTCATTTCACTACACACAGACAACCATGGACATCAATTCGTCTGGGACAACGTTCAAATATAAGACAAAGGAAATAACGAGAATGCTAGAGAATTTTTAGAAGCTTGGCCTGGTATTCCAGTGAATCATCAATCAATAGAAACATCGAGATAGACAAAATTTATCAACTAATAAGAAAGAAACTTCACACACAAAGGGTCAAAGTTCAAGTCACAGAAACAATCAGTTCCAATACAAGTAACCTAGAAGGTGTGAAAACACACATAAACAATCAATTACTTCCAAGGTCACCAGGAGGAATGATTAATAAACTCGTGGAGAAATCTAAAAGCTGACTTCAAATTGAAGTATGCGCTGAAGATGTCACCCAGTAGGGTGATGAAAGCTTCGCAAACTAACCATCCAGCTCAGAGAACAAAACCACATCAATATATATATTATATATATATATATATATATATATATATATATATATATATATAATATTATTATATAATATTACTTTACAACACCGTGTCATTTATCAAAATAAAACCTTATTCATAAGGGGTATTTCATATTAGTTTGTTTATTAAATGTATCACACACAGTGTGAAACAGTATTATTTACTGGATGACGTTTCGAACAGCACCAACAATAAGGAATCTAAATCATCAGTAGTAATTCCATACAAAGAAGGAACCTCAGAAACCTTATGCAGAATTCTTAACGAGGAGGGAATAAAAGTGGCTGACATTCAAATCGCCCACAAACTCAATTAGAAACAAGCTTTGTCGGTTAAAGGATCCTGACAGTGGAGCCAGAAACATGATCAACCTTGTGGTCCAGGCATATCTGTAACACTGAGCGAATCAATGAATCTTTTGAACGTTTAAATATGAAAGAGTGTTGAGTTTGGTGATCGTACCAAACACCACCTGACAATAAATGTATCAGGATTTCATCATGAACTGATATCGGTTAGAGGATCATTGGAAAGTCACTAGGGAGTACTGGACAGATGTTCCGTCCTAGTCTGGCACTCTTCATCAGTTCGCACCCACGACGTCCTGGTTAAAAAGCGAGCTCGTAGACTTTTCAGCTACCGGGACCCGATGCGATGACCAGCCCATGAATTCTAATTTCTATCAATTCGTGATTTCTAGCGCGACCACCAACCATTATCATCGGTGGAACCTTCATCCTCACTCCCGACTTGATGAACCATAAATTACAAGACCAAGTTTGTTGACTGTTCAGCCCTTAGGTTGGAATTCACTGACCCCTGAATTTTAACTCATAACCTGAAGGTTCTGCTTTTGATTCCTAGCAGGGTCGTGGATGCGTACTGATGCGTAGTCTTACAATACGACGAAACAGCTGTCCATTGTCCCCTAGTGGGGGTTTTCAATGATCTCTCCAACGCTAATAATTGAAGTTAATCCCAAAATCCTTACGACGTTTCAGTTTAACTATGTTAACTAACTAACTGAAGTCTAATCATGTCCCTTCCTGATATTAGGACAATATAAAAACCATAGAGTTGACCTTAAGTCATCTTTTGTAATACTGTTCAACTTGTCGAGGAATTATTGATATAAGAATCCACCCCGCCTCCCACCGAAAAAAAAACAATCTCATCCTTCCAGAAACACACACTTCCCGTTTACACACACACCTACTAGTGTGCAAAATAGTCAAGTGTGAATACCAATCGTTAATCTTCACCAAAAATAAAGGTTACAAAAAGAAAGTGAATGTAAGTTCGGACCTAAACAATATTCACTTATTCTGTTCTCCTTATATATACGTGTGTGTGCACAAGTGTGCATGTATCACTGTGTGTATATCGTCATTATCCTTCATATTGATTGGTTAAGAAAACCACCAACCAACCAACCAACCAATCAACTGTTGAGGAAAACTGTAGAATAAGGAGAAAGGCGAGAGAGAGAGAGAAAGCGATAATAATCTATAATACCTACTTGTATCCTTAAATGCCCAAATTTGGTGAAAATAGTTCAGATAGGAAGAAGAAGAAGCAGCAGAAGAAGAATTTATTGATCGATTTATCGATAAAAAAAAGAATAAGCCAATTGTGTTAGTTGGTTGGTAGGTGATTAACACATACTATGGTGTCTCTTTTTTCACTAGAATGATGATGCAAAAGTAACCATTATACATCATATTTTCTCCACTATTTGCCTGCTTTCTGATTCCTTTCGCATTTTTCACCTGAGAGAAACATAAGTACCAGTTTTTTTATTGATTTTTTTTTTATAATTGCCAAATTTCCCTTTATCTTTCTTAACAGGTGCTTCTACATGTTGCGCAATTCATGGAGGCAGAGAGACAGACAGCGACGTAGGCGGGATGTTAATGTTCACACATTTTTCGCATGTTTGCTTGGTAGTAGCTAACACAAATTCTTCTATTAAGTCATCAAGTTTTCTTTCTTTTTCAACCAAATCATTTTATAGCTTTAGGGTAGATTTCAACTCGATCTGAAAATCTGTTAGCAATTTACAACTCCTTCGTGTCCCCGTTTCAGACTTTTCAGAATATTCGTAGAACATCAGTTAGTTAACTGGTGTAATGTGTTTAGTCCTATTTTTGGTGCAGACTGAATTTGATTGTTAGTCAGCTTTGTAATGTGATTACTATTCTAGGTGGCTCGCCATCACGGTGCACTGTGATTTGTTGATAATAGATAGTTGGAGGCAATCGGCCACAGGAAACCCTGGACGGACCTAGGTTTAGTGCTAGTATCTACGAGCATCCTTCGTGGTTAAGTAAGGGACAAACAAAATCCATTCATAGCTCTATTCACTCTCATCTCGGGGATACTACGGAGTACGAGGTTCCACGGCTTTCTGAGTGGAACATCAGGCTTCACCACAACACCTCTACATTTCATCATGTTCTCTCTGCAGTCCTCTTAAGCCGACTTCACGATTGTCCATGTCACTCTCGGAAACATGTCAAACTCATCGTTTCCTATTCTGCTTCCAGTCAAGGGCCTGGTAGGTGATATTCTTCGACGGTCTCCTCAATGTATGCTCGGTCCATCATCATTTTCTCCCACATATTTGTTGAACAATAGGATCTTGGTTGGTTCGTTCCCTGGTCTTCTTGTCGCTAATTCTTTCTGTCTATTTGACCTTGGATAGACAGACAAAGAAGGCAGATAATGGTGAAAATCTGAAGCCATCTGTTGGAAATACTTTTTGTGACACGCACAGAAGAACTGACTGACTGACTGAGTTTGTTATTTGTGTCGACTGAATGGAGAAGATTTCCAAAATGATTAAAGAATGATGAAGATCTGTCATACCTTTCTGATTATGGCTGTGACCTGGCCATCTGTTCTGCCTGTAGTTGAAATGATGCTTCCTGGCCAGATAAGTGAATGAAGCGATCCCTTTAATATTCATTCCGTTGACAGTGATTGGTGCTTGTTAATATATGTGTAAAACTTGGGAATATTATCGTTTTCTTTGTGTTCTACTGTGAAATTGAGATTTGGATGGCATGAATTGAATTTTATCAACATGTCTTCCGCTTTTGATCTGCTTTCACAGACAATAAAAATGTCATCAACACATCTTAGGTATACATCCGTTTCTTGTATATGTTGCTGCAAAGTACCGGTTTCTAGGCGTGACAATTTCAATTTCGAGTCATGCCGACCAATCAAAAGTTGCATATCACCAAAGAACACTGGAGATCTTTAAACAAGCTTCGAAAAGACAAAAATCTTGTTATCCTACAAGCTGATAAAGGACAAAGTGTAGTGCTAATGAACAAGATAGATTATCTCGAAGAAATGCATCAAATTCTCGCCGATGAATCTAAATTCAAATTGGATAACCATGCAAAAGACCAAACGTTATCAACCGAAAGGAAAATTGTGCAGCATCTACGACAACTCTTCAAAAATAAATACATCGACGAAAACACATATAGAAATATCAAACCGATTGGGTCACAAATTCCAAAACTATACGGACGCGTAAAAATACACAAACCAGGAGCCCCGTTAAGAACCATACTCTCTATGATAAACTCACCATACCACAGATTAGCACAGTGGTCATGTGAACTGTTGCAGCCATTGTTGAAACGTTTCGGAACACATATAGTCTCTGATTTATTTCAATTTGTCAATCAAATTAAAGATTTCAATGTATCCGATAAGCATTTGGTCTCTTTCGATGTTACCTCCCTTTTCACAAATGTGCCAGTCGTTGAAACTATCGACTTCATATGTAAAGAAGCTGAAGACATACCCATTCCAACATCGGAATTGAGGAAATTACTACTTTTATGTACTAAAAATGTCCAATTCCAATTCAACGGGCGTCTGTTCCGTCAAGTTGATGGTGTCGCAATGGGAAGCCCTTTGGGACCACTTTTCGCAGACTTAATCTTGTCACGCCTAGAAACTGGTACTTTGCAGCAACATATACAAGAAACGGATGTATACCTAAGATATGTTGATGACATTTTTATTGTCTGTGAAAGCAGATCAAAAGCGGAAGACATATTGATAAAATTCAATTCATGCCATCCAAATCTCAATTCCATATTAGTTTGTTTATTAGATGGATATATTACACACAGTCAGTGAAAGAGTATTATTATTTACTGGATGACACAGTTTCGAACACAATTCACTTATTGTTCAAAATCTCATCGCCAATTATAATCACAAGACTTCGAAATTTGAGTTTTATAGTTTTCTTTCCAGATATCTGGGACAGGTGTTGAATCATTCCTACTACACGTGTTTGCAGTTGATTCGATATGCCATGGGGTCACCAATATCCCCGGTAGATTCCATACAAGGAAGGAACCTCGGAAACCACCTTACGCAGAATTCTTAACAAGGCGGAAATAAAAGTGCCTGGCATTCAAACCACCCACAAACTCAATCAGAAACAAACCTTGTTGGTTAAAGGATCAATCCTGTGGAGTCAATTTAAACAAAACAATTTAGTTTATCTAATACCCTGCCTGAAATGATTGTCAGGTCAAATACATAGGTCAAACTAGTAGAACAGGGTCAGTCAGACTAGCTGAACATAAAAACTTAGCAAAATCTAGATTGGTTGACCCTAATAAGATAAGAAATCTAGAGAATAGTTTAGCTACACTACTCACTACATGCAGTCACACACAACCATACAATAGGATGGATGGGATTAGATGACAGTTTTAAAGTATAATGTCATAGTGTGGAGGGAGAGATTGATAACAGAAGCTTTGCTTATCGAATCAACTGAGAATACATGTAATAGGAATGATTCAACACCTGTCCACTTAGATATCTGGAAAATTCTACTACCCCAACAAAGACGAATGGGAGAGGACAAAGAAAACTATAAAACTGAAGTTTCCAAGTCGTGTGATGATAATTGATGATATGATTATGAACCACAATACATTTTGTTCGAAACCTTGTCATCCAGTAAATGATAATACTGTTTCACTGACTGTGTGATATATCCACCTAATAAACAAACTAGTATGGAATTGGTGCTTGTTTTTATTAGCTGTGTTAGTTTGGTAGTCATAATTTAACATGCCACTGTTTATCATTTGATGTTCATTGTTCGATTTGTGTATATTTTTTTTCCTTCAGGTTCCCAGTGGAACATAGGGCCTCAAGCTAGAGGCTTGAAGTTTCTGTAGCAGTATTTTTAATTTTACAGGATGAGGTTGCTAGCCTCATGCCCAACCTTTACTCTTTACCAGCATTATTTCTGACTTCGTGAGGTAAAGGAGTTCGTCGGCCGAGGATCGAACTCCTGACTGTGTGTATGGTCGGCGAGCGTCCTAACCGCTGTGCCACCGACGCATTTGTGTATATAATTAAGAGTATTTTAAGGCGAGTGTAGTACTAGTCATAATAAGGTACTATTATTATTAGTGTTGTTTAAAATTCAATTTCTCAGAATTATTCAAGAATGTAAGAAGTACTGAAACAGTCCCCTATTTACTATATTATCATTTAGATTCTTTTTTTTTCTTATTTTTTTTCAAATTACTTACCAAGTAGCGTTCTGATGATACACTGACCAAAATAAGATCATCTCCAATACGAACTTTTTCTCCAACTGAACGTTGTTTCGACGCTGGATGTATTGTCCACCAGCATGCCTCGGCTTTAATGAGATAGCGACAAATAAACAGACAATATGAGATAAGCAGAATTTTTAAGAAACGATTTAAAATACATTGAATAATTATAAGTACAGTGGGGTCAGTGATTCAATGGTAGATTGACAGACAGACATACCCATGTGGTCTGGGTTCGAATGCCAGAAGACATACACTGTTAAACCTTACTTCATCAGTAGTAGTAGGCCCGATAGAGATCGACAGCTGGGTGCATCTGAAGCAGTAACATCTCACTGCATAAAAAAGAACACCATAATTACTCAAACTACAAAGCTCAATCTTCAAGCTCTACGTTCCGCTGGAAACGTACAGAAATGAAAAAAAGGTCGACTGAACAATTGTAAACAGTTCAGTTATCGGATATTTCACTATAAAAAAATGTAAATTTTACAGAATAAGAAAATTTACATTAATCGATATCTGGATAATGGGAATCACCTAAGGAATTAGAAAAAGTAATTAGCGTAATGTTGGATGCTAAATTGATAAAAACAACAACATTACACCCGGTAGTAAAATGGTTTTTGGGATTTCGCCATGAACTGATATCGGTTAGAGGAAAACCACGTGGGAGTACTGGACAGCTGTTTCGTCAGTCTATGAGTTCGCCTTGTAACCAGAAAGTCTTGGGTTCGAACCTCCTTTGGTGGGTGTGTATTGATGAAGAGTCTCAAGCACTAGGATGAAACAGCTCTCGAGTAGTCAAAAGTTCTCCAATGGTTCTGTAACTGATTTCAGCTCATGATGAAATCCTTCATCCAATTATTATTATTCCCTTGGGTTCCGAGTGGAACAGGGGGCTTCAACAACGCATATCTCCACCTTGTTCTGTTCTATGACTTTATCTTCGGCTGGCTAGCCACACGATCGCCCATAATCTCTCATCTCCTCCTGTAACTCACACGATCTCCTCCATGTCACTCTCGCACCGATGACCCACTCGTCGCTGTTTCGTCCTAGTACTTGGGACTTATCGGCAACAAGACAAAGTTGCCTGGAGTTCTGTTGTGACTGGTGGGTTCAATCCAGTAAGGATTGAGGATGGTGGTGGTCGCGCTAAAATCACGAATCGATAGAAGTTAGAACTCATAGGCTGACCAGTGAATCGGCTCCCAGTGGCTGAATGGCATACAAGCCAGCTTGCCTTATAACCGGAAGGTCCTAGGTTCGAATCCGGGTGGCAGGTACATCCTGCCGATGAGTCACAAGCACTAGGATGAAACACGCGGTCCAGTACTCCAGTACTGTGGCCGGTTTTCAATGGTTCCCTAAATGATATCAATCCACGCTCTAACCTGAAATAAAGACAATTAACTATTTGCTTAAGCTATAAAAAAATTTCATACAGTTCTTCCCGCTAATAAATCTTGTAAAATTAAGGGAGAACAACAAATGTATCTAACTTCAACAGTTTCTCTAGGCATAGTAAATTAACCATAGATAATGATAATATTTGTAGCATTTCATTTGTTTTAAATATCTTGTCAAAAAGTCATTTAGTAGAAGTTATATCCCACAAGTAACTAGTGACACTTTTAATGAATATACATATGGGAAAATTATGGGAAAAATACTCCGAAATTATGCATCTCACTCTCTTTCTCTCTCTCTCTCTGTTAAATTAACACACTTACTTTCAGCATTTTGTTGAAGACCAACATCGAAAGCTAATTTATCCTGTGATGTACTTGTCGAAAGACATGAGAGATACTATAAATTAACCGATAAAATACAGAAAGAAAGAAAGAAAATTAAAAGTGTTATTAAAAGAATATCAATATTATAATGTTAGTATTGTCACCATGGACTCTGCAAGAACTGTCGAGGAATCATGCTCCTGTCGATGCCAAATAAAATTCTGAGCTGCATCATCCTGGAAAGAATAAATGACTCACTGGATACAGTATTCCGACCAGAACAAGCTGGATTCAGGAAAGGCAAATCAATACAAACGTCAAGTCAGTCAGTTCTTCTATACGGAACGGATCAGAAACTTGGCGGGCAGTTCACAAAGAATATTTCCAACAGCCTGTTTCAGACCTTCATCAACAACTGTCAGCTATCGCTCTATACTGAAGAACAGATCAGATTGCCGGACCGGAAAGAATCACCAACTATTAGAAACTATGGGAACAAACAAACAGAACAAGAACCAATCGCCAACCAACAAATATGCAGGAGAAAGTGGATTGAGATGGATTGGACACTCGCAAGCTGAGGAGGCCGCTGGATAACATCGCGTGCACGTCAGGCCATTGCTCGAGTGGAACCAGGCCGAAAGGGAAGCAGCGAGTGGGACGTCAGTGTAAGGGTGGGTGACATGGAGGAGATCGTGTGAAGAGAGAGGAGTTGAAACAGTATGGACTAACATGGATGGATGCAGGTGAAAAGTACAGCAGAAGGAAGACAGAAGGAAGTGGAGACGTGCAGTTGAAGCCCTATGTTCCACTAGGAACCCAAGGGAACAGTAATAATAATAATTGTCACCATTTTTTATTATAATTATTGATAAACTGATTAGGTTAAAATACATTTAAGATAGAGATGAATTAATATTATGAATTTCTTAAAGTACACTTGACTCCAATAGACCTGACAGCAGCAAAAAAAACATCAGAAACATAGAAAATTACCATCGTAATCTATAGATTACGTGGATATTAAGCAAGATAAACAAATAAACGAAATGCATTAGGCTGAGGTATACAGAGATTTCAAAGTAACTTGGGACAGTCAGTCAGGTGTGTAGACACTGATTTTTATGCTCATTGCTAAAATAATTGTTCATGTTCCTTGGAATTCAAGGAGCACATGGCTATGTCTCTCTGTTCTCCGTGGCTTTTTTGTTCTAGCTGGTTGCACGATTGCCCATAAGTTTTAATTTTCTCTTCAAACGATCTCCTCCATGTCACCGTCGGATAAAAGCCCAAATTGTCTTTCCCCTTTTTAGGTTTCAGCCGACGGTCTACTGCGCATATGAGGTTACTCAACGGTCTTCTCAGTGTGGGTTGACTCCACCTTCCTTTCCTTCGGTGGATCAAGCCCCAGTGGCTGAATGGTCTATGACCTCACTAGCCTTGTAACCAGAAGGTCCTGAATTCGAATCACGGTCAGTAGATGCATACTGCTCAAGAGTCCCAGTACTCCCTGCAGGTTTTTCAATGCTTCTCTAACTGATGTCAGCTCATGATGAAATCCTCCAACCAATCAAAATAAATCCCAACAGAAAGCAATTCTTGAGAATTCGATATATTTGTTGAGCAGTATGTTGTTGGTTAGTTTGCTGAGAGTTTTTTTGGTTACAGGATTTCATCATGAGCTGACATCAGTTAGAGAACCACTGGAAAATCACCTAGGAGTACTGGACACCTGTTTCGTCCTAGTGTTTGGGACTCTTCATCAGTACGTACCCACTGGTTTTCGAACCCAAGACCCTCCGGTTACAAGGTGAGCAAGCTCGTACACCATTCAGCCACTGGGATCCAATTCTCTGGCCAGACCATGAATTCTAACTTCAACCAGTTCGTGATTTTAACTTGACTACTAGCCAGTGTCATCAGCAAGTATTTGTCCTCACTCTCATCTAAACGGACCCCACTAATCACTACTTCTCACTAGAACTTTAGCAAAGATATCTTTGCTGAACTTCTTGTTTCTTTTTATCTCTCTAATGTCCTAATGGATATTTTCCACTATTTGAAAAAGAGAATAACTTGATATTATTCGAAGTGATTGTTTAATTTGTTAGAAGAGATTCACGTTCAACAAGTGCAGCTGAATGCACAAAAAATACTAGTGTGGTGAGAGCAGGCCGTGAGAAAATATGAGCAAGGCTGATTCAACAACCAATCACAGCAAAGTTAACGTGGCAAAATATGATTCGCAGATAGAGAACTCTATTTGTCGAGGAATCCCGAAACAACCAATCAGAAGCCTGCGTTTGTCTGCCTAACTTCTGATAAACAACCAATCAGATAACTGAGCTTGTCTACTTGCATAAGCTATAATAATGTATGTGAAATATGTATAAATACGTGTTGATTTTCATAATAAAACGATCTGTTGCCTGGCCCTTGTCTTCTGTTGTTACATTTGGTGTCGCTGCCGACCGACAAATGGAAAGCCTATGCCCTGCTGTTTTTGATGGAGACATATGGATCTTCGTGCAGGACTTCAAGGCTTCTGCGCAGTTGAAAGGCGTTCAAGATCTGTCAGCGATGGAGCTGCTACTTGGGACGCTGCTGGAAGGTCGGGTGAAAGCAGCATATGAAAGTGTGAGACGAAATACTGACGAATGTTCGACAGGGTCAGGCAAACAGTTTCCAAAGTGGGAAGGACCACATATGGTCACTTCGAGATGGGATTACGCGGACACAATCGCAATGACGAACAATGAGATGCGCGTGAACGTCACCGAGCTCCAGAAATGGATACAGCGAGACAAGCCAACGATGACGCCTGCACCAAGTAGGTCAAGCCGACTTCAGTCGCACGTATTTGACGGGGGGACGAGTGTGGTGAGAGCAGGCCGTGAGAAAGTATGAGCAAGGCTGATTCAACAACCAATCACAGCAAAGTTAACGTGGCAAAATATGATTCGCAGATAGAGAACTCTATTTGTCGAGGAATCCCGAAACAACAAATCAGAAGCCTGCGTTTGTCTGCCTAACTTCTGATAAACAACCAATCAGATGACTGCGCTTGTCTATAATAATGTATGTGAAATATGTATAAATACGTGTTGATTTTCATAATAAAACGATCTGTTGCCTGGCCCTTGTCTTCTGTTGTTACACTAGTACTCAGAAACTAAATATAGGGAACAAGTAGTATTAAAAGAATAAAGGCATCTTATGATTAAACTCATTATTTCCAGGTAGATATAGAGAGATTTACAAATACTTCAGGTACTAATTTGATGCATCACGACTAGCGGTGGAATCTAAGATGTGCGCTTCATCCTGTTCGGGACTCATCGTCTGGATATACCTACATTCTCCAGTGAAGGAGTAGTGCTGTTCCCGCTGAGAGTAGGAACCAAGTACCCATCGTTTTAAACGCCAGAGCGTTATCCACTAGACCCTTTTGGGCCACGAGAGCCACATCTTGTGCAACCATTAGTCACTGGGAAATGCAGGTACACCCGGATGACGAGTTCCAGATAGGATGAAATGCCAGTCTTGCATCTACCAAATTACTTCAAGTTAGTCCACAGACATCATTGAGACATCCTTACAAGGAGCCAACATGAGTCCGAACATTTTGGTTCAAACTACTGTCAAGGAAAAAAAAATTGAATTAAAAACACTTCAGGTATTGTTAAGGAAAATAAAAACCAATCACAGTCAATAAACCATTCCAGTATATAAAGGTTAGACAAACAGATAAAATTAAGTAAAGTAGAAACTGGTGTAAATGGTTGGCCACTATGAACAACCACATGCCATATCAGCACACTTTTATAAGGAAGTCGAAATAAGCATTAAAGTCAACGAATAAATAAAACACAGAATGACAACTGACAGTAACAATTTACGTAGCTAACTGTCATGTATTTTTGCGTATATAAACTTTCAATAAAACTCATATACCCAATATCTAATCCAACCTTTTAGCAGACGAAATCTGTGTACGCACTAAAATAATATAAAGTTATTTTCAAGTATTGGTTTTGTAGGGATTTTGTTTGATTGTTTGAAGGATTTCCTCATGAGCTGATATCAGTTAGAGAACCACTGGAAAACCATCTAGGTGTACTGGAAAGCTGCTTCGTCCTAGTTTGGGACTCTTTATCAGTACGCAGCCACCCCCAGGGTTCGCACCCAGGACCTTCTGGTTACAAGACGAGCTCGTAGACCATTGGCCCACTGCAGCCCGATCCAAAGGTTTTTGAATTCTAACTTCTGCCAATTCACGACATTTCACAATGTCTTCTTCGACGAGTTACTGCCTTATCTTCGACCTGCTGTACCCTACTGGTCATGGCTTCCCCCTACCGTACTGGATCAAGTCCCGGTGGCCCAATGGTCTACGAGCTCGCCTTGTAACCAGAAGGTCCTGGGTTCGAACCTCGGGGGGGGGCGTAGTACTGAAGATTCCCAAACTAGTCTGACGAAACAACTGTCCAGTACTGCTAGATGGTTTTCCAATGGTTCTCTAACTGATGTCAGCTCATGAGGAAATCCTCCATACAATATAAAGTTATACTTGTCTACATAAAAATCTCTTGTTTAGTATGAAAGGAGTTTGGGGTAGTATTCACCTAATGCCAGAAAACGTAGGCAACAAGGAACTCTAGCAACGAACAAATATGCAGAAGGAAAGAGAGATGGGTCGGACACACACACACACTGAGAAGACCATTGAATGACATTACTCACCAGGCTTCCAAGTGGAACCCAAATGAGAAGCCCTGCAATTTATGTGTGTGTATGTGTGAGGGTGAAATACAAGAGGCTGTGTGAAGAAGAAGAAATGAAAGCTTACGGGCACTTGTGGAACTGATTAAAATTGACTGGTAAGAACACAATGAAGTGCTAATGTGCGGATGAAGGCCTATGATCCGTTCAGGATCCAGTGGATTATTCATAACGACCAAATGACTAAATAGTTTCCTTAGAAATTATAGAAATTTCAGTTTCCCTACTGTTTGTTTTTATCAGACTGTCATTTATTGACATACTGGCTCTTGAATGTTATCTGACAGGTGGTGGCTACCAGTGGAATCTATGACATCCATTCCGCTATATTATGACTCATCAACATCTCAGCAAATGACAATGTTCTCAAGGAAATTTAAGTATCTTCAGCTGATAAGTCTCTAATAAGATAAGGTGTTGCTGATCAGTACCGCTGTTATCCTCAACACACTTATCAGATAAATCATAAGTTTTACAGTCAACATAAAATAGACTATCTATTATACATCACTTACCATGTTGCTCTCTCTGTGTTTCAGTCGAATGGCGTGTCCATAAAGCAAGGTTCTATGACCTGATTGACCACCACCCTAAAAACAAAGGAGAACGACATAAATGATAGTTTAAAATATTTTTCTTATTATTTCATAATAGGTATAGCCAAAACAATGACTCAGAAATATATAAAAATGAAATCAGTTTAGGTCACAAAGAGCATCACTGAAATCCTTATTTAATCTTATTACTTGCAGAGGTTCTAAAAGTGATAAACTTCCAGTAATAGTCAACAGAAGACTGAATGCGTCAGTGACCAGGGCCCAGCCTACAGCTGAGTAGGTTCCCGTTTACCGGACAACCTGCTCTAGATATGATAGAGAAGATTTGTAGCTCATGTGGATGATTTTAATGTGGTTATGTTCTCTGAGCTGGGTGGATGGTTAATTTGCAAAGCTTTCATCGCCCTACAACGTCTTCAACAACATCAAATTCACAAGAGAAGAGGGATCCGAGAACGAAATCTCATTTTTGGACGTCTCAGTCAAGCGAACAGTCACAGGGGAATTAGAAACTCAAGTTTATAGGAGATCAGCTCACACAGACTAAATCCTGAATTACAACAGCAACAATCCAATCACACACAAAAGGAATTGCATACAAACACTATTCAAGATGGCTGGCCAGGACTCATTGCAGCACTCCCACCTTAAGGAAAGTTGAAGAAAGATATCTCATGGACGTCTTCCAAAAGAATGGATATCCACGGAATTTCATCAAAAGACATATACCTCCAAGCCAACCTATCAAATCAAAGGCCCCCAAGGGTAGCACAAAGAAAATCATCTTACCATATATAAAGGGTATCTCAGAAATCACTACAAGACTCTTCAAACCTTTAGGAATTGACGTCGTACACAAACCAACAAAACCACTTCACCACTCATGGCGGGCTCTATGTCAAACAAAATACTCAACAACGGAAGAAGATAAAACCAACATCATCTACAAAATAAATTGTAACAACTGCGGAAAACACTAACTAAATTGGCGAAAGTGGACGTCCCCTCCATCTTCGTATCCATGAACATAAACTAGCCGTCAAAAGACATGACATCTACTCCCTCGCTCATATCGCTGCATACAGACAATCACGGACGTCAATTCGTCTGGGACAACCAGTGTTCAAATATTAGACAGAGGAAACAACAAGAATGCTAGAGAATTTTTAGCATCCTGGCCTGGTATTCCAGTGAATCATCAATCAATAGACACATCGAGATAGACAAAATCTATCAACCGATTAGAAAGAAACTTCATATACAAAGGGTCAAAGTTCAAGTCAAAGAAACAATCAGTTCGAATACAAGTAATCTAGAAGGTATGAAAACACAAAAACAATCAATTACTTCCAAAGTCACCAGGAAAGAGGATGAATGAACTCGTGGAGAAATCTGAAAGCTCACTTTAGTAAATTGAAGTATGGGCGCTGAAGATGTTGCGTAGTAGGGCGATGAAAGCTTCGAAAATTAGCTATCCAGTTCAGAGAACACAACCACATCAAAAACAACCTGCTCTTTCGTAAAATCAAAAGTCGGCAAATACCTCTCTCATGTTAAGTCTTATCTTCGGGATCAGTTACATTGGGAGAACAGAAAGAAGAATATATCTCAGATTCTAGAAAATGTACAAAAAAGTCTACGTATCAAGGAAACAAAAGCTTTAAATAGGTACCATTACCAGGCATCTCCTTCGCATACGAGTCATGCGGTGGACATTACAAGATCCTTCAAAATTATCAATAGGCGAAAGAGTTCAATTCCCTACTTAAGTTTGCCAATGCGATCTCTATCAGACGCTGGAAACCTGACTTATGTGTTCAGAAAGCATGGGGGTTAACAGTCTTTTCTTTCCACTGGTAACTGGATATCTTTATGCACTCTATCATTTGACTACGTAACGCATAAAAATTCCATTCTGTATGATTATTATTATCATCATTGCCACTGTGTATATACAATGAATTTTTGTCTAAACTTTAACTCTCTGGACAACTATATATTAATAATGTTTCTGTACATAAACTTGATAACATCTTTAGGCTGTAAACAGCTGATGAGAAGTCAACGAAAAAAGATGATAACACCATTTTATTGCGCTCAAGTCACTTTTATTCTTGCTTTATTCAAATTCAATAATAATAATTAATATAATAATGATTTACTTTATTCCAAAAACAGTACTTGTGACACAGAATGGAATTTTCAGCATTAATCACAATATGCCATCTGATTTCCTCAAATTATAAATAAAAATTAATCACACAGAAAATTTTCCACATTTACAATAGTGGTGGGTAATGTCAAAAACATGCAGCATATAAAATGGAAATAATAATAATGATAACAGCTAAGGTATTATATAATAATAATACAAGTGGAAATTGCTGTGGGCTTGTTTCACACAGTATTCTCATTGCGGTATAGAAATCCTAGCATGTTTAAAAATATTGAATATAATGCTCTCTTTACATGATATGGTGAGGGGAAAAACAAAGATTACAACAGTCATAGAGATAAGTTGGTGTTTGCAATTATGGAGAGTAAAACAAAGAAGTAACAGGATCATAAATATAATAGAAATAATAAAAGTAAAACTTGAAGGTATATAAGATGGATGGATGGAGGAAATTGTTTATTTACTAGATGAAATAAGCTTAGTTAATTGTTGCCTGACACTATTTTCATCACATGAAATACGTGACAAGTATGGTACCATGGAATTTCTATACTTAGACGTGAGAGCATACAGTTTTCTGAAGTTACTTCTTGTTCTACCTGAGGAGGTGCTACGTGAAAGCTGAGGGAGGGTAAAGTGGATGCTCCGAGTCAGACAAAATCCCTCTAGAAAATTTATTGCATGAAGTCAAGTGCCTATCGACAACAACGTTAACTATATGGTCCACTGGGACTCCCACCACTCACCCTACTGACTGACTGTCTTCAGCATAGATGTATTAGCCCGTAAGAATATATGTTTATGACTGAGAAGATAAAGAAGCTATTGATCTTAGATATCTGTAATCTCTCTATCAAGTTTGGTGATACGGTAAGGTTAACCGTGTCAGGGTGAACTAGGAGAGAGATTATGAAACTATACAGTTTGAGATGTTTAGTAAGATACTGTGTGCATGCTGAGTCGTCTTTTTCACTCAATCAACCCTTGACCAACATAGAATTAGATTTGAAAAAAAAAATTAATTAGAAGTGACCAAATGAAAACAGCGGGCCGGTAGTGTAGCCGTATCATGCAACCCTCCTATGGTTGAGACCCGGTTTCGACTCCCTGCCGGTGCACACGGCTTCTGCGTCGGTGGCATAGCGGTTAGGACGCTCACCGACCATGGACATGGTCCAGGGTTCAATTCCCGCCCGCTGACGCACTCCTTTACCTCTCTAAACCAGAAATAATGCTGGCAAGGAGGAAAAGTTGGGCATGAGACAGGCTAGCAACCCCATCCTGTAAAAATTAAACACTGCTACAGAAACTTTAAGCCACTAGCTTGAATCCCTATATTTCACTGGGAAACGTGAAGGAAAAAAATAGTGTTCCGAAAAGTCTAAAAGGTCTTGTTGAAACACAGGAGTAATATTTTCTTTAATATTTGTTTCTTTTTTTGAATTAAGTGAAGAACTCACATGAAGCCTCATTAGAAAGCAAGAAAGAAAGAAGCGTTAACATAGCTAGTAGATTCAAAATGAAAAGTAAGGAGATGGTTTAAGATATCTATAATTTTGTTGTAGATGAAGAGAATATAAAAAAGTTTGCGTATGGTATCTTATAAGTCTGAAGTCATAACATGATTTCAACTCTGAGGAACAAATAGTTCGAAAAGTTTACAGTTTTGAAATGATAATTTGCATGGATTTTCTTTATTATTATTATTTCCTTCAATTCCTAGAGGAACATAGGGCTTCAGCCTCACGTCTCCATTGAGTTCGGTTCTCTACTACAGTTTTCATCTGGCTGGCTCCAAGTCTGCCCACATGCTTTCATCTCCTCTTCACATGACCTCCTCCGTGTCACCCCCGCACTGACGACCAACTCGCCGCTTCCCTTTCGGGTTCCACTCGAGCGATGGCTTGTCTAGTGACGTCACTTGATGGTTTGTTGTCTCAGAGTATGGCCAGCTAATCCACCCCCATTTCTTCCTGCTTATTTGTTGCACAATCGGTTCCTGGTTGGTTTGTTCCCAAAGATCCCTTACTACTCCTGATCTTTTCTGGCCCGCCATCTGATCTTGATTATTGGTCTGTAGTTTGTTTGAGGTGCTCTTTATGACGAGCACAAAAGAGTGAAGAAGTGCCAGGGAGACAAAGAAAATATTAAAACCATGGCAAACGAAGCAGAACAAGCTGCAGGCAAAGGAGACCTCGCCACACTCTACCAAAAACTAGGAACCTTTCGGCAAACGTTCCACAGATTAAGCCAATAAAGGACGACAATGGAAAGTCAATCACCAAAGAGGTGGAACAGGGAAAGCACTGGGCTGAACACTTCAAAAGACTTCTAAATCGTCCGCCACCTACAACACGCCCAACAATACCAACAACGGAAGCAGAACTACCAGTGAACATTGACCCCCTGACGAAATCAGAAGTCCTGAATGCCATCAAGATGCTAAAAGCTGGGAAAGCACCAGGACCAGATGGAATCCCAGCAGAAGCTTTGAAAATAGACCCAGAGACAACAGCGGACTTGATGACACCACTGCTGGAGAAGGTGTGGAAAGAGGGCAAAGTACCCGAGGATTGTAAGAACGGCTACTTATTCAAACTACCAAAGAAAGGAGACTTAAGTCAATGTAAAACTGGCGTGGAATTATGCTTCTGTCCATTCCAAGCAAGATACTAAGTCGCATCATCCTGGAGAGAATCAAACAAGCCCTGGATCAAAAACTTCGACCAGAACAGGCCGGATTCAGGGGAAACAAATCATGTATTGATCAAATCGCCACTCTACAGATCATCATTGAACAAAGCTTGGAATGGCAGTCACCTCTCTATCTCAGCTTCATCGACTTCGAGAAGGCCTTCGACAGCGTCGATCGAGAGGTGATTTGGCAACTACTTCGCTACTACGGGGTCCCATCTACAATTACACATCTCATCCAACAGTTATACGACAATGCTGCATGCCAAGTAATCCACAACGGGAAACTTACGGAGGCCTTCGAAGTGAGGACGGGAGTGCGACAAGGCTGTCTACTATCACCAATGATCTTCCTGATAGCAATTGATTGGATAATGCGACAGACAACGGCAACCAACGAGGGAACAGGCATAAAATGGACTGACACAAAAGACTTGGAGGATCTGGATTTCGCCGATGATATATGTCTGATTTCCCATAAACTGGAAGATATGCAAGTGAAAAGTAACAAGTTGGCAGAAGAAGCATCAAAGATAGGACTTCACGTGAACATAGATAAAACAGAGGTGAGGAAGATTCCTAGCCAACATCAACAGCAACAACAACAGACAACAATCAGCATAAGTGGGAAGAACCTGAAAGAAACAACCTCCTTCACCCACCTGGGAAGCATCGTTTCAACTACAGGCGGAACTGACGAAGATATCAAAGCCAGAATCGGAAAAGCAAGACAAGCTTTCATTACTCTCAAATCTGTGTGGAGGTCAACAGCACTCAGCATCAAAAATAAGATCCGGATTTTCAACTCCAATGTGAAGTCAGTACTACTATAGGGATCAGAGACTTGGCGCGTCATAAAGAGCACCTCAAAAAAACTACAGACCTTCATTAACAGTTGTCTTCACTCAATACTCAAGATCAGATGGCCAGAAAAGATCAGCAACAGGGATCTCTGGGAGCGAAACAATCAGGAACCGATTGTGAAACAAATAGGCAGAAAGAAATGGAGATGGATTGGCCATACGCTGAGGAAACCATCAAGTGACATCACTAGACAAGCCATTGCTCGAGTGGAACCCGAAGAGGAGGCGGCGAGTTGGTCGTCCAAGGGTGACTTGGAGGAGGTCATGCGAGGAGGAGATGAAAGCATGTGGACAGACCTGGAGCAGGGTGAAAAAGTTGTCAGGAAACCGAAGGCAATGGAGGTGCGCAGCTGAAGCCCTATGTCCCTCTAGGAACTAAAAGATACAATAACAATATAATAATAATAATTTGACGAGTCAAGTCTCTGATCCGTATAGTAAGTGGCATTGACTTCACATTGGAGTTGAAAATCCAGATCTTATTTTTGATTCTGAGTGCTGTTGACCTCCACACACACTTGAGAGTAATGAAAGCTTGTCTTGCTTTCCCGATCCTTGCTACTTTGATATCCTCGTCAGTTCCGCCTGATCGTAGTTGAAACGATGCTTCCCAGGTCGGTAGGAAGGTAAAGGATGTTGTTACTTTCAGGTTCCTCCCATTTATGCTGATTGTTGTCTGTCGTTGGTGTTGGCCAGGAATCTTCCTCACCTCTGTTTTCTCTATGTTCACCTGAAGTCCCATCTCCTCTGGATGCTTCTTCTGCCAACTTATTGCTTTTCACTTGCATATCTTCTAGTTTGTCAGAAAATTTTCTTTAGAAGCCTAAAATATGTTCTAACTATAATGTAGACTGTGCCTGATGCTGCAATAAATATCCAAATGGCTGATATAGGGTCAGGCTGGAAAAGAGCTAGTGGCGGTCAAACCAAAACATGGCTTCATCAGTCAATGAAATCTACAACAGTTAGTCTAAGCCACGTATCTTCGGGTCCTCGGGACAGTAAAAACCAATGGTTGGAAACAATTGGTGACATAGCTCAAAATCGTTCTTAGTGGCGCAGATGCATCCACAGCCTGTGACTTATGATTTCCAATGAAACTATATTGTTCTTCATTACTACTATTCCTTTGTCTCACACCTCTGTTTACTGTCTCTATTATGCATTTCTTCTACCTTCTTCTCTTGCTTTGTGTGGTACATGGAGGGAGTGTGGCGACTTGAAGTGCCGCACATATGTGCAAAGTTCTATGTCGAAAACAGACAGACAGACAGACAAATGGCTGGTTAAGTGGCGTTACTAATAAATGGGTGTATAGTTGAAAAATTGCCCATAGATAAAAAAAACAGTGACCTATAGATCCTGTGAATTTGATTAGCTAAGATGATTTGTCTCAACTACAAAGAGCCCTACCTTGTGAAATCTGTCAGCTAAAGCATTCACTTCATACTAACCCAAATGAGTCACACACACACACATGTAACCACAGCATATAAATTCCGAGGGTTTTAAAGCGAAAGATGCAATCAGCAGGCTATTCCCCTTGAATACACTGACACAATTTCAGATAAAAAGTTGGAAAGACTAGGATTCTAAAAGACTACTGTATTCGAACAAGGAAAAATGTTAGCACTAAAGATCTTTTGAAGTGGATTTAAACTATTTATAGGTATGTGGAAAATTCTATTTCCATAAAAGCCAAGAAGTGAGGAGCAGTAGGACTAGGGAAACTGGCGGTTTCTTTTGTATGGGAATGCCAATGTATATAGTTTGGCGCATGAAAATACTGCAATGTAAAATTACCGTTGTCTTGTTTCCTTTTACGGAAGTAAGGTACAGAAAGCAAACAATGCTTCAGAAATGACTTCGATTATGAGGTATTTCTTTGCTTCTGATAGCTTTATTCCTAAGGAATATAGCTAAAGGTCAGAGGGTGTTAAGTGTCATGTGTAGCATTCTATTTAAAAACACCATGATATGTTGAAAACTTACGTCTGGGCTTTGATGTTTTATCGAAAGCATTTCTTGAAGTGCTCGAACAGAAAGAGCTTGATCCAGCACAAAAACGCAAGGTGGCATATTTGGTGGAGGTGACTGAAAAGAAAGCAAAATTTATAGATATCAATTTTTTAGACGAATCTTTACGATAACAATACTTTTTAGTGTGTAAGTGATTTTTTTGCTCAAATAAGCGTAAATTTTCGCAAAAGGCAGGTTAAATGGTTTTAAATGCATAAAACGTAATTCAAGTCAAGGAAAACATTTACATCATTCGAAATGCTGATTAATAACAGTGCATACTGGCATATGCATAATATTATTGCACCTCCACTGCTTAGAAGAGACGCCAACCTCTTGGAAAGAGTCCAATGACGGGCAACAAAAGGAGTGGTTGGTCTCCAAAATGAACTATATGATGAAGGGCTGAAGAATTTAAGCCTATTTACACTTAGCTACTGACGTCTTAGGGGGGATTTAATTACTGCCAACAAAATAAAAAATGACCAGCATCACCCAAACAAAGGTGTTCTGCCATTGAGTAGGTATAGGCTCTCTCGTAGAAATCCTAGAAGGATAGCTCACCAGAGGGCAAGGACTCGGGTGCGCTTCCACTTCTTTTCACTGCGGATTTGCCGTCCCTGGAATTCCTTACTGGCAGATGGGGCTATGGCACCGTCTTTGGACGCCTTTAAGCGAAGGCTGGACAACCATGCAGCGACACAAGGACTGCATCCAAATGACCTACCCCCTTAAAATAGCATACATCATTCAGAGGTAGACAATTAAACTTGTCGCTCTTCTTCTTCTTCGCATTCTCTCCCGTCTCACTCTCCTGACAGCTTTAACTACACCTATTATTATTACCATTATTACCGATATAAATATATATATATATATTACATATTATTCTTTAAATTTAATCAGCTGACTGTTGTTACGTTTTCTTATTTCTTTTTCTGTCTGTTAGTCTGAATAACTTCACTAATTATATCTATTATTATTATCATCTCTTTTCTTTTGACGACGATACTGGAGGACTAACTGGTGAAAAAATCAACTCCATTCATAGTAGTAACAGTCTTAACACACCTCATACTACAAACCACATATAATTAATCCCAGCCTACTCCTTTTGGAGTCGAGTGGCGGGACGAGCTAAGCAGAAGTTTATTGAGATCAGGAACCTATACCTTACAATCAAGAGGCGAGCACAAATAAATCAAATTGGTTTATACTAGCTAGTAAAAACAATATTGGATATGCAGTGGTTCCCTAAATAAATAAAAAATAATCATTAAATTCCGCAGATGTATTCTTTTGTTATTCACCCGAAGGCTCTTACAACAGGATAGGAACTGATGTACTTGACAAAGCTTCATTCTGATTACTGTGACTCACATGATCCCGTAACATTCTAAACAGCTTCCACACGAATAAACGGTATACTTCACTACTTAAAAGAAATTTATTCTACTATAGCGTATATCACATACAAAATTTAGTATAGCATTGCAGTTGAGTGAGTTGGTACATGTTTTCTGTAACACTACTGTTTATCCAAGGTCGCCTATAGGTTGATGGTTCCAGTTTTACTAGTCACCAGTTAATACAAACCAACTTTAGATTAAAGCGATAAGACGAGGCATGTAAAGTCACCACACTTAAATTTATTTCGAATGAAGAATTTCAGTCAATCTTTCATAAGTGTAGTATGGCAAAATTTCAAAGCTAAGGAATAATATGGACCCAGTAAAGCTGTTTATTCACCTACTTTATAAGTAAAGACTGATGATGTATGTGACCAAAAATCTGTCTTCACCTCACTCATATATTTTCCCAATAATTCAAGCAAAAACAATCATTTCAAAACCAGCGGCTTTTATACAGATTTCCCACGGATTTTTTTAATACTTATTTATTATACTCATATATAGTATGCCAATGACAAAAATATTTCAAGATCTATCGATATAATAAAATAATACTACCAAAGTGCAGAAGTTGGGTTTTTTCAACTATCTACGCATTTACTATATCTTTTGAAAACAAGAAAATGGAAAATTCAAGGATTAATGGGTTTCATAAACAACTAGACTTCCAGGAAAACAGTCCAATTTGAAAACTCACTTCTCTTGAAATGATTTCTAAAGAACACATCCTATTCCCAAATCCCTCGGCAGCCAAACACAGCCTTTCTGAGCTCCCATGAGAGAAGCAGCTGAGGCAAATGAAGTCCTCCTAAACACATAATATGTAATAAACGTGTTTAGTAATCGTACAGTTCTCAGGAATGAGGTCTCCTCCTCAACAGGTAGTGAAGACATTCTTTAAATTACTTCAGTACTTAGTAAAAATTTCTATGTGTTTTGATAGTCATATACGCCATCTCAAACAAAAGTCATTCAAAATTTGTGCATGAACCACGAATATTAAATAAACACTTCAAAAAATTGACCAAAATATTGAAACTGATGCATTCAAACAAATTTAGTACCAAATTGAAGTCGATCGGTAAGTTTTCGACTTGTTACATCAAAGTGAAATAATATCTCCATTTTCTTGTTTCAAAAAATAAAAAGCCATTTCAGAGACTCTTCGAAATGCATAATACCGTACATATTGTAAGGATGATGCTTCCCTATTCAGTATTTTATTTGCCCAGAATACCAGGAAATATTCCGTTACAAATTTACTCTCAAGAGTTGGAGTGCTGTGCGACTACTTTACAGCCTAATTGTTTGTTCTACCCCCTATTTAAGGTCTTACTGAGGACAAGTCAGTGCATTTGTCCACATGACATGTCTGTAATCCCACTCGTCAAGCAATGATCTGAAACAGAGAGCAAAGCGCACGTTAGCAGTGTGATCACACAAGTGTTGCGTGCTAGTAAGAACGAAGACTCAAGGTCAAGTATTATATTTACAACCAATCGCAATACAATTAGATAAGAGGGAAGGGCACTCCTATTGGTCATCCGTTGCCTCGTCTTGGGTAACCAATCCCTGCATACTTCGCAGCCAACCTGAAAGTAGACAAGCATAGTTTGAACATTAGAAAACCGCCAAACTTACCATGCCTTACACTACCCCCTCTCCCATAGGAGCACTGTCCGCAGTGCTAGGTGACTGTTCCTGCGGGACTTGTCTGAACTAAGGCCTGTTGTCGAAAAGGTTTTAGTCTATTGAAGTGTGTGACTAGACTATGAGAGGAATTCGGTTCCTGAATCCTACAGGTGCAGTCACTTAGTACCTCTACTACAGTGAATGGTCCTTCCCAGCGTTTATGGAATTTAAGAGCTTTCCCTTTAGGTGGTGCCTCCTTAAGTAGCATCACCTTGTCTCCTGGCTCCACTGGTGATCCATGTGCTTTCCTATCATAGTATTCTTTCTGGTACCTCTGGTTTGTTTGGAGTATATCCCTAGTCATCTGATGTACCTTGTTCAGGTTTCGTCGAAGTCTGATTACGTGTTCGGATGCAATCAGTGTATCCTCTCCTAGTGTGTTTGAAGTCAGATCGATTGGCAACCGGAGTTCTCTTCCAGTGACCATATAATGAGGCGTTTGACGCGTAGCTTTGTGAATGCTTGCTCTGTATGCCATTAAGCACTGTGAGAGTGATCGGTCCCATTCCCTGGGGTTGTTTTGATCTACAAATGCCTGCAAGAGGGATTTAAGTGTCCGATTGGTGCGTTCAACCAAGCCATTTCCCTGTGGGTGGTACGCGGTAGTGCGTGTCTTCCGGATACCCATTATACGACAGAGTTCGCTGACAACGATACTTTCAAAGTTGGATCCTCGATCTGAATGCAGTTGAAGTGGTGCCCCCCAACGGCTGACCCAGTGGTCAAAAATTGACTCTGCGATGGTTACAGCATCAATCTGTGGGATCGCAATAGCCTCGCACCATTTGGTAAAATGGTCTACCATGACTAAAATATAGTTATTATTTCTGGAAGTTACTGGGAGAGGTCCAACCAAGTCTATTTGTACTAAGTCATTCGGATGGCCAGTTATAATGGGTTCTAAGGGTGCCTTATTATATTTGTGCGGAGCCTTAATAGTTTGGCATACCTCGCAGGAGTCACAGAAATCTATGATGTCTTTCCTCTGGTGAGGCCACCAATAACGTCTTTTAGCCGCTTCAATCATTTTCCCTGAGCCCGCGTGGCCTAACTGCTGGTGTAATGACAATAGTACTGTGGGTAGTGCCGACTGTGGAGCCACAACGCGACGAGTATAAGTGGGTCCATGTTGGTAGTAGAGGATGTCATCGACAATTTTCAGATTATCCCACAGAGACCATAAACACCGGGTTTCCCATCCAAGCTTACTTATTTCCTGGGTTGTCGGTCGTTCGCCTCCATTTCGAACACGTTCGTAAATCAAGGCCAGTTCAGGGTCTGAAGACTGAAGTTCAGGCCAACTATATGAAGTATGAGCCTCTAGTTGGAGCAGCGAAACTTGTGCTTCGGTGCATGATGGGCAGTCACCGTGATACCTAAGAGGTTTTCTTGACAATGCATCTGCATTTCCATGATTCTTACCCGGTCTATGCATGCATTCGAAGTCATACTCTTGTAGGTGTTCTTGCCATCTGGCAATCTGACCCTCAGCTTCTTTGAAGTTATGTAGCCAGCTAAGGGCTTTGTGATCAGTGCGTACAATGAAATGTCTACCGAGGAGATATGCCCTAAAGTGTTTAACAAAATTGACCAGTGCCAGCATTTCTTTCCGCGTGGTGCAGTAATTCTTCTCACTCTTGTTGAGTGCTCGACTTGCATAGGCTATCACCTTTTCTACTCCATCTGCGTCTTTTTGAGACAAAACTGCCCCGATACCAGAGTCGCTAGCATCTGTATCTAGGATGAATGGACCTGCCTGGTCAGAAACATTGGGATACGCTAGGATAGGGGGGCTACATAAACAGTTTTTAAGTCTTTCGAAGGCTTCCGTAGCTGATGCTGTCCAATTGTAGTCTTTCTTCTTAAGAATGTCGAATAGAGGAGCTGCAAGGAAAGAGAAGTTAAGTACAAAACGTCGATAATACGAGGCTAACCCTAAAAAACTATGTAACTCGGGGGCTGAGTTTGGGAGCGGCCAGTCTTTAACTTCCTGAACTTTTGCTGGATCACATTTAATGCCTTCGGCTGAAACAATGTGACCTAAGAAACACACTTCTTTCCTGAAGAATTGACATTTCGATGGGTTCAGTTTTAACCCAACGGTCTGCATCCGTTCTAATACTTCGGAAATATCACTTAAATGTTCGGTCAACGTCTTACTATGTATGATAACATCATCTAGATATACCAAACACTTACCTGGTATGCAATCACTCAAGACCGTTTGCATGAGGCGTTGGAATGTTGCTGGGGCATTGACTAACCCAAACGGCATTGTTTCAAACTCATACAGGCCTGCTTGTACAATGAATGCTGTCTTTTGCCTGTCATCTGGGTGTACTTCAACCTGCCAATATCCCGATGCCAGATCTAGAGTGGTAAACCAATTCGACCCCTCTAAGGCATCAAAAGTGTCGTCTATGCGTGGAAGGGGAAAGCAGTCTCGTCTAGTTAACAGGTTCAACTTACGATAATCTACACATAACCGGAGTGTCCCATTCGATTTCTTAACTAAAACTACCGGTGAAGCCCATGGAGATACGGATGGTTTGATGACATTTTTCTCTAACAGTTCATCAACTAACCTGTTAAGCTCCTTCTGGTAATGTGCAGGTACTCGCCGTGCAGGTTGTCTACAAGGTGGGGCGTTACCCGTTTCTATGTGATGTTGGACCAGTTTTGTTCTTCCCGGGCTTTTTCCATCCCAGTCAAAACAGTCCTCATATTTGTCTAGCATTTTATTAAAGTTGGCAGCCGTTTCCGATGGTAGGGGTTCTATAGTCGTCAGCATTCGCTGTTTCTCAGTCTTAGCATCTCCCTGCACGCCAAAAGTGCCGTGCTCTTTGTCGTTCCCTACAATAAATGGGATGGAACAGTCCTTCAGTATAAGAGTCCTTTGACTACAATCTATTATTCCGGACAGCTTTTCCAAGAGGTCGACTCCCAAGATTACCTGCCATGGCACCCGGGTAGAGATGATGAAATTGTGTTGAAGTGACAGTGTTCCCAATTTAAGTGGCAGCAGGACCACTCCCTGGGATTGCATGCAATCCCCATTGGCTGTCGTAAGCCGCAACTTGTGAGTCCCTATTGTTGGCCTAAACGTCTCTGGAACACATGAGGAATGTATGACAGAACAAGTTGCTCCTGAGTCAATTAACATAACACACTTTTTTCCACCTATATAACCTACAACTTTCGGGGAGGAGGTGACACCGATTAGGTTTACAGTAGGCACACAATTCATATCGACATGTGACTCACTTGCATTGTGACCACAACTCCTAGCAAGCTTACCAAACCGCCTGCAGTAGTAGCAATCGTTTCTTGAAGTGGATTGCGACTGTGGGCGTTTTTTCCACGGTGGTTTGGGATCCTGTCCACGCTTTGTTGTTGTGTGCTGATATCCCATTGCGTTTACTTGTGGGCATGTGGTTCCTGGCTCTTCCAGGCTTTCCACTAGGCGTGCCCTAGCTTCCGCTTCTGCCATGGATGCTGGAGTGTGCAAGTTGAAGTCCTTCCTGTAACGGACGTCGACACCCTGCAGGAACTTGGAATATATAGCGTTTTCAACCTCTGAATATGTCTTGTCCTGCATAGCTTGACGCGCAAGCTTGCGGAGACGTAAGGTGAACTGGTTGATGGATTCACCTTGTCTCTGGTTGCACTCGCTGAATCTTTTCAGCGCTTCAATGGGAGGTACTGGTGGCACTATAGGTGCTCTTAGAGTACTCAACAGGGTGGTCAAGGGCATATGCACGTAATCCAAACCAACTGTGTACATTTCCAAGGACCGTCCAACAGAATCGATGACGAATGCGTTAGGGTGAGGCACGTTCATCAGATCAATGTATCGGCACACCTTGTCCGACCACAGCTCGAAATCATCACCCACCTCCAGTGTATGCGGCAAGGGATGGACATAACGCGAAGCAGGCTGATTTGACTGACAAGCTGGAGCCCTCACTTCAGCTAATTGATCAACCCCGTTGGATGCTGTATGTTTGACAGGAGAAGTGTTCTTGGAAGCCTCATTGGGTCGAGACTTAGAAGAAGAAAGTTTTTTCGTTGGCAGGCTCGCCATTTATGTAATCCCACTCGTCAAGCAATGATCTGAAACAGAGAGCAAAGCGCACGTTAGCAGTGTGATCACACAAGTGTCGCGTGCTAGTAAGAACGAAGACTCAAGGTCAAGTCTTATA